GGGAGAAGTGCACTGTATACCTTCTCCACCCACTATACGACATTGCACACTGCGTTTAACCGTTTGGACTACCAGTACGAGGTCAAGGACACGGCTGAAGACTCATCTACGAAATCATTTTGTGCGCATAGATACGTCCAATACGCATCATATGGAAAAAATTCAATGTACAACCGTAGAAATTGGAATGTTTCATTTGAAAAGGTACATGAACCCCGACAGAAATAACCTAACGCAACCTCGGGTCAATATCGCAACGGACCCTTGAAGAACGGTATGTTTTCGAGTTGGATTGTAGCGTCGTGGCGCTGTTCTGCCAAAAGGTTAGTAGAGAAGCGCCGGATTGATTTTCTCTGGCTAGCGTACATTGTGACGTGACAGAATGGCATTATCTGCTCTGAGCAACGCGCTGCTTTTTACGATCGAACCAGAAAGATATTTTTCGTCGAGGAACCGCGACGAGTTATTCGTTGATCGTTAGACACTTTGGATCCCTCAATAAATCGGAAATGGCTGGAGACGTGTATTTCTCGTGACGATGCTTCGTCGCTGCTTAATCGTTTCGGAAACAAACATTATTAATATGAATCTACGATACATAGAAGCAAAAGAGGCTCTGAATTTCCGGCACATAAAACGACCCGACAACACCGTGCGATCATTTGCGGCGTTGCCAGACCTTCGGGTGACGTCACAAGACACACGACTCTCGAACGAGCACGTAAAACAGCTCGCCCGCAAAGCCAGACTTACGCTCGGAAAAGTACAACGCTCTCTTTGTTACTCGATAGGAATAATCTGAGTTCGTATCTACCCACTTCGCACGTGGTATACAAACTACAGTCTGCAGACTGCATTATTCGTATTCGTTCGGATAAGAACGTATCCGATGCTCGAGATTCAGAGTTTTTACGAAAAATCTATGCGTACGGTTTTAAAACATTCGGATTGGATCGATTGAATTCTTTTGCTAAATAAGTGTTTTGAACGGCTCGTAACATATGTTCCATATATTTATTTTTAGTTATCTTATAAATTGTAATGTGTAACTGTTTTCAGAATTGATTCGATTGGTGATTGTCTCGTGGAGTTAAAAAATATATTTATCAGAAATAACAGATGGAAGATATTAGTTACGTCGCCAGTTGTTGATAAGTCGTAATGTTTTACCACGTAACCAGAGAAGCAGCTATATCTTCCTTTTATTCGTTATGAACGTAATGAAGTATATGTTCTGTTGAGAAGTCATTAAATTCTGTTGCGTAATGGTCCAACTGATGATAACCCTACGACATGCATCAGGTGTGTCCGGATATTTACTGTCAAGTTATCTAACATTAATATTTAAGAAATTATCGTATTATGCGATAGAAATCTCATCGTTTGCTCGAATCCTCGTATCGTTAATGACGAACTGTGAATGATACGGTCTTTTGCAAGATTGTAAACATAACGTCATTCACGTGACCGGGCTCGCTGGAAAAAAAATTCCGCTCAGAATAGATTGTTATCAAAAATGGAGATATCAAGAAATTTGGTGACACGTGTATACGAGTCTATTTTTAATAATGTTAACTTCTTTTACGGCATGTCGATTTCTTCCTACTCCCGTACAAGAAAACACGAGTAATCGAGAGAAATAGAAATAACTAAATCGTGCGTTTGAATACATTCTAATCGCACGTGATCTACTGGAAAAGCAATAGGATTATAGTTTTCGATTTAAAGAAGACGTCATCGGGCCAGACCTGTCTATCGCGTGTCTCGTCAAAGCGGAAACAATTTTGCAGCACATCGCACTAAGTAGATAAAGTTGCCCTATTAGTCGCCCCTATGAAATATGGTAACCTATATAGTAGTGTGTACTCAATACATACACACGCTCTTTCTTTTATGCGTGTAATAGTAACGTTGTCGAGATGAGCAAATCTCTTATGTAGATAAAAATAACGAATAAAGTAACTTCAAAGCAATTCTTGGCAAATTTTTGACTAGATAACGGATAAGAATAACAATTAATATTTTATTTAGATAAAACTCTTATTCGGGCTTTACGAAGAACTGTAACTTTCTAGATAAAAATTTGTGAATATCATAACATAAAGTATTTCACTATTTAAATAAAAATATAATTTCTCCATCAAATATATACGTGGCAAATAAATCCCTATTCGTTAACTATTATTCGAATACAATTTTGCTCGTCTCTGACGCATGTCCACTTCGAGCGATTAAAACTGTAAGTGCGTAAATCTTTCCTTGTATTTTTTGCAGATAAATGACAGTGAATAAAACTTTGTCGCAGCAGCGAATTACAAAACTGTCCATTTTTACTCGCGAATGATACATTTGATAGCGCTCGATGTATTCCGCAAGCTTGACCGCGATGATGTACACCAGCCTTGCACATGGCCGAGTTATCATCGAAGAGGTCACACCAAAATTACCAAACGACTAAATCCGTGTTCGGTTCTGCTCGGCACATTTATATATGGTTAGGTGAAACATCGTGTACACTCGATCCATTTTTCTCGGTCTTGCTATTGATATAGCTGCGAGAGATAAATGCTGCTTAAGGTCTCTGATAAGAAAACGTTACGGTGCTGTTCTTCAATTATACACACGATTTTCAGCAGTTTATCGATATACTAAAGCCAAAAAAAAAAACAGTTTAATTACGAGAGAAACAACGACGCACTTGTGTTTATTTTTATTAGCAGCGAAGATGATATTTCCTCGTGATTTTTTATCTGCGTTAAAACAGCAAGAACCTATTATCAGCCTATCCAAACTGTGGAGTCATTCACTTTTCCTGTGTATTTAAACATTTTTTATTTCTCCGTTCAGCTGCAGCAAAAGGCTCGCGTTACGAAGTCGTATTTAGTATGATGTCAGCGTGATGTCATTTCCGTAGATACCCGAACGTTTAGTAGAAAAACATAACGCGCACGCTAGACTTTATTAATGATAGGATGATCATTATTTCGCTCGAGTTCAGAAACAACGGTAAAAGGATATTGATTTCTTTTTTTTTTTTCTTTTTGTATTCGCGATACAACGTCCACAGTTATTTCGCAACGTCAACGCATCAGATACCTCTCCCAATAACTGAAATACAGAGAAACGGCTATTTACAAACGCGATAAAAAATTCCGTTCAATATTTACAAATTTTTACATTACGAATTTCAACGTTGATGTGCAACGCTCGTTCTACAGATTACGTAAATTTTTATCAGGCTTTACCTGTACGAGATATAAAATCGGGCTCGACATCGTGCACACTGATACAGATGACGACAAGATACTATCGCAAGCGGAACAACAATCACATAATTTAATACGTTTTCCGATAATGTATTGCTATCTTATCGCGCTTTTTTCTTCATAATACTGTTGTTAATCGAGAAATACCGGTCTTTGAAATTTACAGACATTTACAAAATACAGTACCGTGTATAGTTTCACACAAACAACAAAGTTGAACAACAACACGGGTTTTATCAATGGGTATCTATCGACTATAAATTGAAATTTCGCTTATGTATAGTTCGTTGTTGTAATAACAGCAACGTAACTAATAATCAAACTAACCAGTTCTATATGACAAGCCTCCTGTTACCGTTATCGCGTATTCTCTTATCGCAAAAGAAAACCCGATAAAATGGCACACCATTATGTGATTACTGAGCTCGTGTCATGGTATGAATAAGCCATTGTTTATATCCATTCATTCGATGCAATTTTGTGTAAGTGCACCTTAAGATTGCGATTTATGATCTCTTCTTTTAAAACGATATCCAGTTATTGGTTGACGACGAACATAATTACGTTAAAATAGATTGATTCGATAAAGAGTTGGCGTTAAGATTGCTGTAAAATAAATGAAGGAGTCGCTTCTGTAGTATCTCTTCAAGACATACGTAAAAATTAGTGGACTGGAAAAATAAAAATGGTGCGAAAGTTGAAACATGAAAAAGTTTAACAATACAATATTTTAAATCGTAATTGTTGCGAGACGCTAGTTTCATCGTAATGTTATTTGCTATAAATATATAATGAAGAATTTAAAGGCACAAACGCTACAGTTGTAAGATAGTAATTTAACGCATTTATAAGCTATACTGTCTCCGTTAAGTAGATTAACAAACATTGAGCACAATTAGAGCGTAGAGCGGTTGCATTTCGTATTAAGCGACATCTTAATTTAAAGCGAATAAAATTAACGAGATACTGCGTGGACAATAGAATGGATAAGCCCCTCTTCAGTTTGTATGCACCTTAAGGTTCGTACAGTGACGAGCAAAATGTACTTTAAGAAATGCTCGAACGATGAATACATTATTAATTTATATTTAATTTACTATATCATGTCAGGTTGTTCGACATTTGTTCTTATTGTATACATATATTCAATATTACAGATGTATATACGCCAATTACAATATCAATCGAACGAGCCCATCCCTGGATTGTATATTTACTCTGGTAGAATAAAAAAAAGAATTAACAGTAGCGTGAAACGTCTAAGAAAATAAAGAATTATCGAATTCAATCTGCAAAACATTATAAGATCTATCCATATTCAGTAAAATCAAAGAATAGTTTGTTAGCAGAATTTTCTCGAGTGTAAAGTGAACCTCTCGTTGCGAAGAGTGGGTACCGAGTGAGTGCGCGCGCGTGCTATCGTCATCTTTTTTTCTCTTTCCCTTTCTCTCTTTATCGGTCTGTTCGCGCTCGAGTCCCGGTCGCTGACTACGTGTCCCCCTAGGGCGCCAGCGATGCGCATGCGCAGCTTTGCGATTATGACGTCATGCACCATGACGCCACAACGCCCGATTGGCGGAGCGCGTCGTAGCCGTCGTTGTGTCGTCGTCGTCGTCGTTGTCGAATCGTGGACCGTGTAGTGGGAAGCGGGGTGAGGGAAAGAAACGACGGGTGAAGGGGGAAGAGAGCGACACCCGTAGCTCCGCTTTACCGCCGCATTCTCGAGCGTTCGTCTCCTCGTACGGCAACCAGGCGAGCGAGCACACGTCGTGTCGCGCGCATACCATTACTTCGTGTCTCGTGTTCAACCTAGAATACGGTTCCCCGCTTTCATTAGCGTGCGTTTGTGCATTATACCAATGACGCTTAGTCATTAGTTTATTACGATAACCGATTACTGCAAGGGTAACTTTGTGGCAAAAATATCTGGCGTCCGGAGAAGAAGCGTGTTCTTCTTTTTCTCTGCTCCGCCTCTACGGCGCGTAGCTCGCTTCGAGCGCCCGTAATACGCGCTCGCTAAAATTCCGGCGCAATAATCGACAAACTCTCGAGCGTCGTTTCGCCGCGTCGATCCATGTAGCCACCACACGAGAGTGAAAAGAAAACGTGAGAAACTTGGTGCGAGTATTCAGTGATTCTCTCCGGGAGTGAAGTTCGTTTTTGTGTGGTGTTTACGCAGAGATTTCCTACAGTCTCTCGTGACGAGTTATGCTGTAAAATCGATTTTGTGCGTTTCCGTGTGCGTGGAAGAAATTCAGAAACGGATAATAGACGTGTGTAAAAGTGGATGTGAGTGATACTTGATACACATTGTAACTCTCCGAATATTCACGGACGAAGCAGTACAGCAAAATGATGGGAAAGAGAACGCAGTGCTACTTATGCGATCTGCCTAGGATGCCTTGGGCCATGATCATGGACTATTCGGAACCCGTGTGTCGAGGCTGCGTGAATTACGAAGGCGCCGACAGGATAGACTTGGTATTGGAATCAGCCAAGCAAATGAAAAAGGCACACGGATTTCAAGAAGCCAGATCATCCACGTCAAAAGGATATAGAACGACAGGGCATGCCGAACACAACGGCGCCACTAATTTAGACGCTCTACCGATACAGAATACTGGTCAGAGCCATTCAAGGCATCACAATATAGCCAGTTATACGCAGCTTCACCATCGAAACTCCATTACTGAATTTAACTCTGGTACCACCAGGCAACAGATCTCTCGACAACACGAGGAAACTCATGAAATTGCAAATGGCATGAGGAGTAATAACGTGAGAATTCCGAACGCCCACCTAGCTGCTGTGGCGCATCACGTGAACCTCAGCCACAACAGAGGTATCGCACAGCTGAAGCGAGGTATTTCCACTATTGATGAAGACGAACACGCGGAAAAGAGGCTTTCCTTGGAGGAACAGCATCCGGTTAGGCCGCCATTGACCAGGGGCGATTCCTTGCCAGCTGTAAGCCTCGCTGTTGGTTACGTCCAAGATAGAAGCAAGGAGAAACATCCTGTAAGAGCACCCAGTTTCGAGACCGCCACTACATTCAAGGCCAATGGTGAGTTGCACAGATGGTACAATGTGGATACTTGCGTTATATATGTAGTTTTTTACATCTACGTATCTGAGCTGTATTTGCAAATTTCCCTTCGTTTTATCAATCGTAGTCGAAAGTTGAACAATTCTTGGAAGGCGGTTTATTATAGATATCCTCGATCATCTCACGAAATTTAATATCGTTGGTATTTTCAATTACCATAGCTTAATTTTAATCGTTCGTGTTCGTATTAAATCAACCTCTACGCTTCTCAAGCAAGCGTTCTTTTTCATGTTATCGGTTGGTAGTAAAAATAGGAATGCGTTTTAGTTGTGCGCGTGGCCATCTGGCAGGAGAAAAGAGCCGCATGCGTGTGTTAAAAGACACGCACGCGTGCTCAGCGTTTAGACTTCGGAGAATCATCGCAGTTAAAGGAAGTTACGCCTCCCTTCTCTCTTTCCTCCTACTACGGTCGTCTTGGCGTAGCCTTCTTCTCTCTTTCTCTGTTCTTCGGCCAGTTCCTCCATTGGGACGAACGGCAGTCGTCCAAACGCGTATAAAGGAGACGTACGTGAGCACGTGATAGGACGACCAAAAGATACACCGACTTGCCGCGCCGTGACGTCCAATCGAATGACGTCACACAGTATATTTAGATACAATGAATGAGACCGTTGTTGCTTAATACAAATCACATCGACGTTGGTGATATGTTGCGAGCGTGATTTCATTGCTGAATCGTAATGAACGAAATGAAACGCTCCTACTATATTTTTTTGTTTTTTTTTTTGCATCTAAATCTTTCTACAAAGTATCATATTCTATCGAATAAGCGTAAACTATGTTTACATTCGAATTGTGCATAGCATTGCGTAGAAAGTATTCCTTTTCGCATAGAGTGTATTATTTCTGTTAATTCGATCGTGTTGGTGTAATACTTTCTTGAAAACCGGTTCGAGTCTGTGCAGCATGATATTTTGCTGCATCGCGAAGGTAACTGTAGCGTGGCCCCCTTTTTCGTTGAACATGGCTCATTGACGAAGCGGTTGACGTTGCTGCTCGAGTTGGTTCGCTTCGCGTTGTTGCCTGCACGTACCTACCTACAGTCGCGGGGTGACCTTGGTCATCGACCGTTATTTCGACACTGGCCACTTTCTAATTCGACCTTAACGCGTGTGTTTACGGTTATCGAATGGCTTGCTGCAGTGGCCATACGAACGGTCATCTGTCTCGTCATCGTACACGCCTTCGTGCTATAAATATGATCAGAATATTTTGCTCATGGGCGAAAAATTGCGAATAAAGAGAATCGTTCGCAGTTTGTCATTCTATAAAATTATCAATTTATCGTTGACTGTATAAACGAAACGAACAGTTTTATATTTATTAATACGTTTCGTGATGTAATCCTTATCTTAAAGAGAAAGAAGACTATGTTTTCATGTGGCCATTGAAACATTTATAGACCGTTGTAATGACTTAACGCCATAAATACGATAGAGAAGAATATTTCTGCAAAGTAACGGAATATCGTGGTTGGGTTTCTTCGGTCCAGGTATTTTTCTGTTACCTGACCTTAAATCGTTAGTATCTTTAAATGACGTTGAATAGGTAATTAATGATTATTATTAAGCTTTTAAATGATTCTACGAAGAATCTATATTTGAAGGATCCTAACGGGTTTTAAAAACCGTTTTATTCGAAGGATTTGGGAGAAAGAAGGTAATTGCACGGGATTAGGTATTCTAGAAACGGAACATTCAGACAGTTGTCTGTACGGTATAGAAATTCGGTTTTGCATTCATTCAGAGGGCTGTGGTTAACTGTTGATGGCTATAAATACTTTTCGACTGTGACTTAAAGAACATTGAAATACACATAGAGAATTGTCATACCTTGATGTATCCATCGGTTTATTTGCTTTTTCTCTCTTTTTTTTTATCTAGTTTTTTTTATACTCGAGGGTGGCATTTCCGTTCAAAAGATAGAATCCACATTTACGTATGCGCGTTTTGATAAAAATAGATTGCTGCTGGCAAAGATTAAGGTCTGGAAATAAACACGTGTTATGACAGAATTTTTTGAAAGATAAAGCATCGTGTTTTTTTATTTTTCATTTTTTTTTTGTTAACTCGCCCGTTACGAGATACTTGTAGTTGAGACTTGAATCGATAAATTTGATTCAAAATTCGCCTCGATTAAACCGTGACAAATTTATGGCGCAGTGTTTTGTATTTTTATTTATTAAACAACGAGCATTTTAATACGTGCACATAGTAACGTAAACAGATATAACAAACGCGAAACGCTGTCCTCCTCGTGTCCTTATCGCGTTAAAACTGTCCGGTCGGTATAATTCTGCGTACAATTATCTGACCGCTTGTACGATATTTTCCCTCCCTGGTTACTTAAATTTATTGCTCGTTTCGCTTTATCTGTGCGTATTATGTTCTTTCGTCGCTCGGTTCTTCTGCAAAGGAAGTTATGTCTAGTACTCTGAATAGTTTAGAAATGTAATCAGTCAGTTGGTTTTTGGAATCATATCGATTTGAACTAACTGCATAGTGAAAATATATTGTGTCGATTTTTATCCGATAGTTTTACCCAAGCGCGCGCATGAAGGAGAAACTGGTGAGAAACAACGGCCGTCAACGGTAGTAACGAGAGCGAGCTCTGAGTCGTGTTTCGAAATGATCGCCACGCTTCGCGAGTTCTCGACTATGCTCCATCGATCGCGTACAGATACAGAGAGGCATGTATACATCGGTTTCGTCCTACGTCACTGGTCGATTATCGCGTTCGTCCTGTCTTGCGTGTCTCGTCGTGTTTTATACGGGGTGTTGTAAAACGCGTCACGGAACTGCAGTTCGATAGTAACTATTTTCCTAAATAAAGTCGTTAGGTACTTGTGATCGGAGATGGGCAAAATTTGTATTCAACTGAATTGTTAAATTTTTGCCTGTTCGTTGTGAAATATTTAATTTTATAATTTAAGTTTTTATTTTTATTTCACGTGTAACGGATAAACAGTTTAACAGTTACTTGTTATTCAAACTTTTTATGTTGATAAGAATTTTGCTCATCGCTGGCCATGATAATCACAAGCATTATATATAGAACGTTTTCGACCTTCATATTTTATTTTTTTATCGGTAACATTTAAGTATGTTAGAATACGTAAACGTAATCTATATTTTGTATCGTCTCATAACTAACCGAATTTTGTGTCGACCAACGTGACATTTACTTACTGATCAGAAGATGAACTTTTTTTTTTATTTTTAAAACTACAGAGAGCAAAACAAATTTTGTTATTTAGTCGTGACATTTAGCTAGCCATGAGTCAAAACCTGTTGTTTCCTCGTTTCATTAACGATTCACCGAGGTTATATCTTCGAATTCCTAAGCGTAGCCTAAGAATAAATTTTCAGTACACTATGTAGACAGACGTCAACCGTGAACGCGTGTTGACGACTGTGGCGTCGACAAAATGCACTGGGGAGGGTCATACTTTCGAAATAAGGCCACTCTATAGTCGACCGGTTAGCAGCTATAGTCTCCTCCACTGAAAATCGTCCACCTCCTTTGCCTTTCTAATGTTGCCCATAATATTATAATATATAAACGTACTTTTGCAATCAATGTGAAAATATTTCATTTAAACTGTTACTTATTTGATTGTAAAGAACGTTGCAAAATTTTCAATGGCAATCCATGCATTGGGCATGTATTTGTATTTTTGGTATTGTGGTTTGGGGAATCTTACTAGGGGAATCTGAAAGAAGCACAACATCATACATATATATTTACAATGCTGTACGTTGTTAACATTCTACAAAATTCTGCATTTCTAGGTTATATCGCGTTTAAATAAAGACAGAATACGTTTGGGTTCGTTATAAACAGAGTTCTGACAAATGTTATTTGTGAATAACACATAAACATCTTTAATTTATTCGTAAATCGAAATATTTCCTAACGAACAAATAAAAATTTAACAACAAGTTTAACATAATCATGTTTACGAACAAATCTAAAATTGTTATTCGAGAATAATATGTGTTAGAATCAGATTATAAATGTGTTTTGGTATCGACGAATGCGTAATGGAGAGTGGTGGACGATTTTCACTACGAGAGAGACCGTATGTTCAAAGCGCAGTGTGTGACTAAACTGGCCGCCTACGTGCATGATGCGATGTCGTCTGTTATAAAACCCGCGCATGCGCCTTCTTTCCCTCCGACCTCTCCTTCGGTCCCGCGCGCCAACTCTTTCCCTTCGCTTCCTCCAACCAGACTACGTTTCTTCGCATGATTCGAGATAGATAGAGGGACGCGGCAGCGGTCCTTGCTCTATCAAAGTCGTGTCACGGAAAAGTACCGGTCACACGGCTTCTCGATGGCAGACCACGCTCTCTCTGCTCGAGACCTCGGTGACTCGATGCCGGCTCGATGGTGGGGGAAGGTACGTGCGGATGCTGCATTGCACTGGAATAGCTGGATATACGAGATATCGCGTGTCACGGTCCTCCGTAGAACGTGACGAAACCGTGGTTTTTTAATATCGATTCACGCTTATCTGTCGCCGGGGTAATGCGTTTCTTCGTATGGGGGTTCGAAAACGTGTAAACATCGGCGAGAAAAATAATGAGAACGATAACCGAGAAGTAGTGCGTTGTCAGTAAATTCCATTGCGTAGCATCGATAAAACTGAATGGATAGTATTATTTCCGATGTTGGACGTTTATGGAAATTAATAACTGGTGGATACCAGTGGTAGACGCCTAGAGTCATTAACATTTGCCCGCGACTGCGCTCGTTTGAATGTCGATTTAAAATATCCGTTCATGAATTTTAATTTGTGAATAAAATACAAGTTGATGTTAGTTTATGAATGAATCTAAAATTCATATTAGTTAGTCACGAATAAAATTTGCCCTACACTAATAGACACGTCTCGGAGTGGGGATTCGTCCATCAAAAACTATTGCTTTAACACTATTTTAATCGAAGATATTGATCATTTAAAGATACGATTAAAAAGTGATTGGATTGCCTGATAGATTGGCTTTAGAATTCCGGTGTGTCCGCGTGTTTTATGATTTCTTCGCTCGAAGCGTTCCAAGATGATTCAAACGTGTTTCGTAAACAATATCAAAATGCGTAACCTCGTAACATTCTATAGCAGTCAGGCCACCAGGATACTCTACATTCTGCGGTATACGAGCGACGATCGCGGTCATGAAAAGTAAATAAGTCACGAAAAGCATTCTGTACACAGCCCCGGCGATATCGAAGGCACGTCTTGTTTCTCGATCGCGGCGTCTCCACTGGAATATAAATCTCCCGGTAATATTGAAATTCGATCGACTTAACGGGCACAGCTGATAATTCAGCTCGTAACGTTCGAAAGTTGGCCGAAGTTGTCCCTTGTTTCGACCTGTGGAAAACGAGATCCCTGTACCGACGTGCAACGCCGACGGATAATAAAACTATGCTCGGCTCGTTTCGTTTAAGCGTAATCGCGATTATACTCTGTACGACGAGGTCAAAGGATATCTATTTCTGTCTTCCCATCTGAATCATTGCCTTATTAAAAGCTGCATAGCAGGAAATGTCTCTCGTAGATTATATTCGGGGAAAAATGTAAACAGCCAGATGAAAATAAACGCGTACGATATCTTGGATTTTTGACGATTGGCAATCGTTAACGATACTTTGTAACGCGTATAATAGGTTGCTTTTGAACATCGGAATAAAGGTGCATCGAACTGGTTGATTTTCAGGGGCGTACGTTGGTCCGTCTATTCCGTTGGCACCAGCAAATGTGGCGGCAAATGGCGGAGGTTCTCCTCTTCGTCCGCGAACGAGCCCTCCGCCGCCGCCGCCACCAGCGCAAGAAGGGTCGAACGATAATTCACAATCGAATCATCACCAGGTAATTAAGGTCGTCGTACGTTGACGATTCCACGAATACATTTGCATCTTAACAATTTTTAAAAGATTATTTATATGTGTTCGCATACGAGCATGCAAATTTAATTATAATTATTGTCCCGCAGGGTTCGACGAATGGCCCGTCGCCTATGGCCGCGCTCATGTCCGTCGCGGACAATTTAGCGTCGCCAGAATCAGTGCCACAACAACCGAACAATCCAAGCCCTACCAGCAGAAGCCCACCGACTACAGCTGCAAACGCTCAACAACGCAGCACCTCCAGAGGTTCCCAACACAGCCCGAACAGTTCAGGTAAATAATTCTGTTGCAGACATTTTAGTATACTTTCTTACTTTATTTACACATCTTTATTGCACATCGTCCTAACAGTATAATGATAATACAAAAATAAAACAAAAGAAAAGTGCAAAAGAGGTGTAGGTAAATTGTTATTACGATACTTAACATTAATTTATTTTTAAAAACCGATCATCTTGTTCGTGTGCAGGATCCTCGAGCAGGAGGTCCAGTGGTTCAAGGCACGTATCGTCTACGACTGTGACAACGTCGTCGGAAGGGGCGGTCGCCCAAGTCGCTGGGGCCGAGCAAGTGTCAGCACCGATACTGAAATGTACCCTGTGTCAAGAACGTCTTGAAGACACGCACTTCGTTCAGTGCCCTAGCATGACGCACCACAAATTCTGTTTCCCTTGCAGCCGGGAAAGTATAAAGAGACAGGGTGCTGGCACAGAGGTAAGGTTTACTCCATGTTCCAGGTTTAAGGGGTTCCATCGGGTGGAAGACCTCGGATATTCATGATTCTTGAAAAATGTATCGCAGCGAAACTACACGTTTGAAAAGTTTGTGCTTATAATAGTACCTTCATTACATAAACCTCCATTGTCCGAAAAGATATACTTTGTTTTATATACTTTATTTTTCTGTGGGTTCCTCCAAGAAAGGGAAACTTTTAGCACGCCATTCAGTGTAGATGTAAATTACTACTTGTATAATTGAAAAATTGTTATCGTTTGTTTGTCCAGTGTTAACCTGATGCAATCCCTGTCTACCCTTTAATTCGTTGTGCAAGAATCTAATTCGACGGTAATTTCAATCGTTACAGGTTTATTGTCCAAGCGGAGAGAAATGTCCGCTGGCGAACAGCCAAGTGCCATGGGCGTTCATGCGAGAGGAGATAGCCACTATCCTGGGCGACGACACCACAGGCTCTGGGCTGAAAGTAAAGAAGGAGAGAGAAACTTAAAAGGTTCTCGTAGAGTTTAATCGGGGCTCAAATTTTGCACCCTCGCCTAGAGGGGTATCATGGTGGAACCGTGAAGGTTCACCGAAATACTTTTGGTAATGGTGATAAATGTTGGCGACGTGGGCCAACATATCGACTCGAGCCAAAGACGTTGTCGGTGTAAATTGGATTATCACAAAGTTGTTGGCGTTGTCGGGGAAAGTGGACGAATTTAGTTTCCGGGCGACGCGCGTCGTTTCCGGGCGTTTCGTTTCACGGACGGCAACATTGTTTCGGTCGATCGTTTGTTCGATCGAATTGTTTTGGCTGGTCTTGAGAAGAAGTCTTTGGCACTTTTGCGCGCTGGCGTCGGTCCTGCACACGTGTACATATGGGATTAACGTAGGATGGTTAATACGCGAGGAATAAAGGAGAACGTGGTTTTCTTTTGGTCGAAAATTTGTACGAACGAAACAGAAAAACCGCGGAGAGATTTGTGTCCGGTTTGTGTTTGTACTTAGGCACGATCGCCTTTATTGTTTGTTGTATCGCGAAATTTTTGTGCATTCTTTTTTGAAAGTACAACGTACACACAGATACAGACAAGCACGAACGTGCTTTACAAACTTACTACATATTACGAACATACGTACACGTACACAGTAACACACACACACACGCTACACCGTACGAATTGGGGCGGTTGTATTGTACTTCATTTGTACCACGCTGCTATGCGTGATTCGCGGATTAACCGAAGTCGGGAAGAATCGCTTCGGTGTTAATCGTCGGACAGATCCGACGGTTATCCTTTTCTAATCTTTTATTTGTATACTCTTTTTACCGTTACACTCGTTGTATGATAAAAACAAAAAAAAAAAGGGCATGACGGACATATTCAGACCCAGCGTACGGGTTTTTCTGTACATTGTGTATATGTGTACATACCACGTTATTAATAAAACTTATGACTAAAGGAGTAACCATTTTTAAATGTACAAAAAGAACATTTGCATTCGTTTTGCGTGTGATCTATTAAATTATTTTTTTCGTCTTTACTTTCTTTACTTGTTGTTTTGTTACATTCACGCGAATGCGCGCGTCCATAAATTATTTCGTGAAAGGACGCGCGAGCGCGTGTCTCGCTTCGAGTTTTATTTTTCTTTTCTTTTCGTTTTTTCTCTCTTTCGAGAAATCTCGCAAAAAAAAAAAATCCGTTGTGTGCATCTTCGGTTCAAAACTCGTAATTTTCAAAAGCTTGGAGGACATCGAGAAAGGGAAGGGGCAAAACTGAGGCGAGCATCGTTCTTATCCAGTCATTCATCACGGATCGACACCCGATCACGTGTAACGTCCACTTTCGCCTTTAGTTAATCGCTAGACTTTAAGTGAGGGCCTTTTGGTTTTTCATTTTGCTGATGGAAAGAAAAGTACGCCCGTCAAATAGGAACCATACACTCGCTATGTCTAAAATCGTAAAAAAAAAAAGGAAAAAAAAAACTGAAAAAAATAACGAAGAAGAAGGTTTGAAAAGCAGACATAGAGTTCTCTCGCGGGAGGATTTCGGGCTGCGAGCAGCTCCTTTTGTATATATATTTGTACAAAACGGATCGGCACCGATAATTGGAGCGGCGATTGTGGGGAGTATCGTCGACGAAAATCAGCCGCTCAAAGCTCTCAAGTTCTACGCTGACTTGTATCGCGAGAAAACGTGCTGACGTCTTCAACACGGAACTTGAGATCGTTTCTTCGTCGATCGGGGCATCGTTTGATAATGTTGTTTCGCCGATAATTAGGCTGAGCGTACATCCGGCACAGGGTGACGCAGCGCAATATTTTATGAAACTTGAATCGACTAACACAGAAACTGTACGAGACCTTTAGTCGAGTCACAGTTTTCTGCATTGTACGCACTCGGTGAGTCTTGGGTTGAGAAATTTTAGAGGTACAGTTTAAACGTAAATTATCTAAATTTTGTGGAACATTATTATACGACAACAGCAATTTTATTCTCACGACACATTCGAGTTATGGCGAACATCTTACGCATTTGCTTCCCTTGATACGAGTAATACTATTGGAATTTTTTTCTATATGAAGTCCTGATTCATTTGCAAGAATAGAGGCTACTGTGTACCGTTTATAATAATTTAGTGCCTTAAATGTCTCAACGAGACTTAGAATTCGATCTCCAATTAGTCCTGCTTACGAAAACGTTAGCTGTATCGAACAGAAACTACGTTGTGCAATGCAAAATATAATCTGTGCTGCGTCAACGTGCGCTCAATGCACGCCTAGGCTAAAACGAAGCAACTGTAGAGGCTATCTGCGTAGGCGTAAGCAACTTATGTACCGAAGTATCGTGCAAAATTGACGAAAGAAAGAGTGCGAGAGTGAGATAGGAATGCGTGTGCGCGCGAATGAGGAAACGAGAGACAGAGGAGGGCCGATAAAAAGAGCACAATTGATCGTAGCAATACTTACAGAGGCTGTACGTGATATTTTTTAGTCCGAGGCAGGTAGTTCCTACCTTCGATATCAAGTTGATTACGGCACTCGTTCAAGGGTTTGCAAACCCGACTGCAAAGAAGAAAAAAACTTTGTTAGAGGAAAAATAAAAAAGAAGAAGAAACAGAAAACAAAGGACAGTTGACACTTTCTCACGCAGATACGATCTCTCTTTGTTTGTTACGTACACGATCGCGAGCTGTGCTCTCGACCTTCGGTCGGCGTTAACCTTCTATTGCAGTGGTTTTTAAAACTTTTTGAAAGGTGTCCCCCCTCAAAAAGAAAGGAAATATCTGCGTCCAAAATAAATGGTAGGTTTTTAAACTCCTCGCACTCGATAAATGTTCTAAAATATCGTTCATCCAACTGGATAATCAAGAACAAATTTTCTGGTTGTTTGCCAAATTTTATATTTTATACTTTTTTTTTCACAGTGTCAGCACACCTGGTTATTTCGATTGGAAAGAGCCGTGGTACAAGAAAAATATATATTCTAACGGTTGTTAAATTTTGACGATGAATGTATTTTAAATTTTCTTTTGTACCCTGCACTTTGAAGAACACTGCTCTATCGTATACGTGCCCGCTCGTGAACCTAACGAAGATCCCTTATAAAATTTACCGAGAAATTTTACAGGATTCGCGCACGTATTTTCTTACGGGGACATCTAATAACTATGTAGATTCAGCCACTTACCGTTTAGCTGAAACATTGATTAAGTCATAAATGTTTAAATGACTAATTTCCTTTTTCGACAGATAAGATGAAATTCTTGCAACAGAGGGTTAAACTGTTTTATCCTCTCGCGGCTTCGTTTGGTCGTCGAATTCGTCGTCTAAGCGCAGAGACGGGCAAGCTTTCATTCCAATAACGAACGACGAATAGAAATATCGTACGACTGTATATTAGCGTCTTTTGTTTCATTCAGATACAGTACTGCCTCGCTTTTTGCATCAATTTGCATCAAGTGTAGATACTTGCAAGGCATCACCCCCCACCACTGTTCGTTTCTTCGGTTCGAGCAATCGACATTTCGAATGGCCGATAGCCGTGTTTAATTAACCTTTAGAGAAACGGCCTTTCTTCGATAAAGTCAAAGGCAGTATTATATTCGAAGGAAGCTTTCATTCGAAATTTCTTATCTCACCTATTCGTTCAAAATTTCTATTCATGGACGAATATTGGCCGTCTCTGTCCGAGTGCCGATCGTTGCTCTTTTTTTGTTGGTATTCGTTGCCTTTCGCAGTTTGCGCGATCGATACGTTTGTGAAAAAAAAACGCTTGCTCAATTTCCCAACTATTTTTGGACGATATTTTGCGGATGTGGAGAAATTGGTTCCAGACACGAACGCGTTTATTATTCTCGGACGGTGCGTATAAATGCTTTTTTGGTCAGCCAGCGAATGTGTATAGCGGGCCTTTCGATTCCTTTCGGTCGGCCAGATGAAAGAAATTGGGGCAATGCACGGGAGAGAAAGGAAAACAGACGTTTCGTTGTAAAAAAAGAAAGAAAAAAAAAACGAACGCCTGTTTATCGTCTGTATTACCTAACGCTTTTGGCGTGTCACGCGTAATAACGTGTTTGCATTTTTATTCAATTTCATTGTCGACGACCAAGCTACGAAAACTGTTTTCACGCAACGTTTCTCGAAACGGAAATAAAGAAGCTGCTCTGAATTTTTTTGCGAACAGTCGTCTCACGCACTTGTACCGTTCGTTTCGTTTATTTTTTATGATTCTCTCGTATAGCTACACAGACTACACACGAAAGAAAGCGGAAGTATGAAACAATACGTCGAATAGCAATTGTAGTAGTGGATAATGAAAATTTTCTAGTATACCATACCTCGAGGAACGCGTAACACTGTACTGTTTATCGTATGTATGCAACATGCAAAAGCAAAAATATATGTGTTGATGTGTAATAATTGCGTGTTTTTATTTACCGACACGCATGGAAGACCACCTGTGAACGTCGGTTGCTCGCGTGTTTACGAGCCACAACAGCGTATTTTCCTTTGCATTACCATCGTTACGTTATTACTTCGCACGATTTACGCATTTTATCTCGCGATGATCGTTCCCTGACCCTTACATCTGCGTGCTTTGACGCAGACAGACATTTCTTTATCGTACAAAGTAGTTAAAATGGAAAATTTCAAAGTTTTGGATTTCTATGAACAGACACTATTTTGGCATCCATTATTCTTCTGTACTTTAGGAAACGGATGACTACAGTTCAATAAAGAGAACATTTCATAATAGTAATAATCGACTTTATTATACCATGTATATACAATGATTAATAAGTTAGGTTCATTAGTAACCTTGATGCATACTATCCACCATAGTCATCAGACATGCTTGGCTTCAGCTCGTGATAAAACCAGATCAATTCCTGTAAAAAAAAAATGTTACCCTCCTGAAATTTTATCTTGGGATCAATGAGGCTGAAAAGCAAATGGCGCATACAATGAACCAGAATTCATTCGTAGCGTAACAAAAATAATTTACTGGTTTCATTAATTACGTATAGAAATATTTCAGTCATAATCGTTACATTATTTTCTTTGTACCGACATATTAAAGAAATTATTTATTGAATATTTTCCAACGTGTAGTTAGGATTGAGATCAATGAATTACGTTTCTCACGTTACGAATGAATTCTAGACCACTTTGCGCAGTTGGGAAAGAAAAATTTCCCACCGATGGCTATTGGAGCGATCTTGCTTAATTTGAACCTGATTTTCATCTGCAGGGATTATTGCACACCTCTTTAAGTCGAAGTTTCATTCATTTTCCTTAGTAAATACTTTACAAGTAAAAAATAAAAACATAACCCAACTCATAATTACGCAGTGTGAGACATAGAAATATTCGATAATTAGATAGTTATTTTACAGCATTCTTAATTAAAGTAGTCATTTACAATTTTACAAGTGTCAGGGTTCTTCCATCGTAAACAATATTGCAACACGTTGTAAGATTAAAGTGCTGGTCACCAGTGACGGGCAGTCAAAGTGTTAACGCGATTAAAAATTCTCCTATGCAAATTTTTACGTCACCGACCGCGCATCGATCGGCGTGCCACCGAAAGTACGTATACGCGACGCGTAGTCTGGTCACAACACTCGTCGAAGCACTCGGGCTTCGGAAGACTTCCTGAACTTTGAAAATCAATGCCAATGTTCAGCTGTTGTGTGATAGGTGGGCCAAAGAGAGAGAAACAGGGGAGCTCGAGAGCAGCGCCACGGTGGGGGGCAGGGTGAAACGGGAAAAGCAGCATATTGATCTGTCTCTTCCAGACGGCTCGAATGCCAGCCACGCTTCGCTGTCTGCGCAACGGGTTTGTGCTTAAAGCGGATAGACATCGTTGAACGAGAACGTGCCCAATCTACACATACAGCAAATGTATCGACGTCACTTGCACGAACGCAGCGTGATCGTATTTTCTCGGATAATTGTACAATCGCGAAACACGAAGTCGCCGTGGCCGTTTCGAAAGGAATTTCACTGGCGCGTGGTTGGTTCCCTCCATGCCTCGATAACTCAACGTTTACGATTAGTACGTGAGTACCGGTGGAACACGCGCACCCGTATACGGACCTTGGAAAATCACGACGGGACGAATTTTTTCGTCTATCGGGAATTGTGTTAAATTCGTGGAACCGTTCGTTTCGAATCCATTGTCCGTACAATGGACGAGAATCCCGGGGAAGTTGACTAACCGTGGACAGTCTTAAAGGCGATGGGGCTGTAGCACTTATACGTTATTTGTTTGCTTAACGGGGTGAACAGAAGGTGAACAAAATTTTCAGATTTTCCAACCCTTTCCATCATACGACCAACCATTGCACTTACTAGGTCGGATAATCGAGGAGCTACATATGTACTGCATTGATAGAACCTGAGTTACTCTATTACTTCTATTTTATAAAACTGTAGTTGAAACCATCTTGATCTATTGTCATATCATGATCCATATACGAACATTCTGATTAATGAAAATTGTTTTGCGAAAGTAGTGAAGCATTTTCATTTTGCCCTAAAGAAACGAACATATTTTATAGGTCGAAACTCCATGTTTCAAGAAAATGTATTATGGTTCAATGATAGCGCCTCTATACTCAGAAATAACGTTACGCGTAAAAAAAGTAACGAACCATTACAGCATACTGGATAAGAAAGTATTTTGTAACGGATTGTTGCGAGTAAAAGTCCATTTCCAAAGAGTTTTAGATTCCTTCTATTTCAGCCAACCACGGCAAGCTAGGCCCGTTACATGGCCGGTGAAACTATGAAACTCGCGGAATTGGCGGCACGTGAATTACGGTATTGCTATAATTAAATAATATCGGTATAATAGTGGAAAAGAGAGTCGTATATTGTATATTGCCTCAGGCCTCAAAATACGTAGACACTGCCCTGGCTGGGGAGTCTTATTAAACCAGTGTTTCCCAACGTGGAGGCACTTCTGAATACTTTGGAGACAATGAAATTTTTTCTTAATTTTGTTGTTCGACATATTAACCCCTATCTACTTCTTTATAATATTTTTGGTTTAGAAAACGACCAAACATCGAAAACGTTATAAAATGTAAAATAAAGAAATTGCTTGAATAGTCCGAAATACAAATTAATCTAATAATTGACCATATTGGATAACCTCAATATTGTTTATTTAAGGTGTTTCGAAACTTTAATCCGTCGGAAATGTATTACATTATACTGTTAAGTGTCTCACCCAGTATGGCTTGATCGTACACTGGTACATCAACTTTAAATGGCGTCGCGAATTACGTACCTTTGACGTATCGTTATTGATCACTGGTGTCCGGAAGCATTAAAGCAGGAAGCCCGTTGGAAATGCATCGACGTCACCTTCGACGATTTTCTTATTATAGCTTTCTGTAAAAATATTCGATCGTCTTTTACTTGCGAAGTATTGATCGCGTTTGATTCTCGTCCGAACGGAATAAGGTCTCGATGAAAAAGTAGCACTTTAATGCGCTCGAGACTTCGTTATTCGAATATTCTACCATACGAACAATATAGTTCTACAACGTTTCCGTTTCTTTTTCTATCGAAGCAAACTTTTGTACACAGATTATTGCTCCTTTTTATTGTATTTCAATCATTTTTATTAAACATATGTATTAAGTGAATATTTATGAAAATAAAATATATCTAAAGTACGTAAATGCGTAAGAGGCAAGGTTCTTTGTCATTTTACAATCTGAAAGATTATTTATGTTAGCCTGTAAGTACTCGATTCATGGCTTTCGATTCAGCGATTCGCCGACGTTTTGCAAACGTTGCAGCTTGTATCTTCATGGCTGGAGGCTCTGGGTTCGAGGCCTCGTGTTCTTTTGAAGTCCTTATGCACCCGTGGTCGTTGATGCGGTATGTTGCATCAACTAATCCGCGGAGTTTTAATAGATTAGCTGATCTAGAACAGGAGGCCTCAGACCAGAGTCTCCAGTTCTGAAGCTGCGAATTGCAACGCTTTGCGAAACGTTGGCGAATCGCTTAACCTAGACGCAGCATTTATTGATGATACTTTCGGCACGCGCCATGTCTATTCCAGTCATCTTATCGCATGGTGCCATCTGGATGCGCCCATACACTGGCAACTGGAATCCATTGATGTTCTCGTAGACGAAAACTTTAAGCGCCCATATCTCGAAAACGAAGTTTCAGATTTTAAAATAGTAAAGGACTTTTTGAATTTGCATGTTTCGGCCCATCGTTTTGAAACAGTCTGCATATCAGATAAATATAAAACTGATTCGAAAACGTTGAATACATTTTTCCCCCACGAGGCTTCGTTTTCGATAAAATAAATATTGAATTTACTTGGGGCACGTTCTTCGAAATTCAATTTAACAAATCTACGGGCACCACTAGCGAACATTTTTTTTTATTGAATTCTCTATAACAATTTTGGCACTTACGAACCTTTTGAAATCTCATTTACAATTTTTAAAATTTTTGTTGAACGATTGTTAAATTATATTTTGTCTCATTTCGCGTATGTATCATCGGTGGGTAACCCCGAGACGAAAAACCCTGCCAGTAACGTAGCTGGAATGCTCGCAGTAAATCTCAAGGAATTTTTTAACGGTTTTAACGTAGAACTACCTTCACAGCCAGGAACACTAGCAGCAATTATGAGAAAAAATTCACACCAGTATTGTAATATTTGCAACTGAGTCCCCAAGATTGTGCTTTTGAATAAATTGCAAGAGTTCAAAGGGCCTTTCCTTTCACATCTTTGTTTCGCGTTTTGTAGTGGCAACTGCGATAAAACTCTTGCTTAACAATTACGTCGTGATCGTGATGTAGGTAATACTCATACTTATCATACAAAAGATTAGACGGGGCAAGGAAGGCATATTTCTCAGGAATTTCGCGAAGCTATCGAAATGTTAAAGTCATCGTTTTGAATCATTCTGTCCAGCGAATGAAACGTTTCTCTTCCTTGTAACTTGAAAATAAAATTTTTTTTTCAACCATTTCATCCTATTTCGTAGTGTATTAAATTTTTTTTTTCAAGTACTCGTTACATTTTATATTAATAATTAGGACTGTTGTTTTGTTGCAGAAGGAAGCACGATGCTTTAGAATATTTGGATTTGCGCAAGGATCCTGTTCTTCCTACGTCCGCGCCTTGTCGCTCAAAAATGCATTCACAGTCCACGTGCGATTGTTATTGCAAAAGTCGGATGCCAACAAAATCCGAGAAGAATCGTACCAAACTTCTAACGTCGAAAAGTTCCGTTTCTAGGACGGACACCGTCAGGAGCGCAAAAAAAATTCCAACCACTCCAGCTACCGTTGTCGACGAAGATCAGGTGTTTATTTGCATTTATTTCTCTTTGTAAAGAAAGAAGAGACCCGATGTGATCTAATAATTTTGATTACAGCCTGGCACTAAGAGATCGACCATAACGCCATCGGTTTCTCCTGCCCTCAGTCCGGAAACATCGGCGGTTCTCGAGGACGTGGAAAAATTGGTAAAAGATGCCCAGATTCAAATCAAGGGAATAAACATGGCCGTTAATTCGAATCGCGTTGAAAAAAACGTAAACGCGTGAGTGACCCGTATTTGTAAAATAAAGAAATTATCTAGGTGACCTGTCTTAAATTTTATATCGACATTTCTCGTAGATATCAGGACGAAGTAACTCTGGACGATGAAAACGATCAATTGCTGTACGTTCGGGAGCGCGTGGCGCACAAATTTCAAGAGGCAAACGGTTGGATTTGCACGAATTACGATGATTCGAAAACGCAAGAAGTTTTGAACGAAGGGAGACCACTCGTCAGACCTAAGAGAACCACGGACTACTCCGCACCAAAATTCAAAATGTCTGAGACATATTGTAAAGAATTTTCGCCCTACGGAGCATTATTCGGAAATCCAGGATTCGCGACGCAAATTGCGAACGACGTCGCTGAGAACGATGACAAAGCTAAGAACCCTAACGGATCGTCGTGCCGCGAGGCTGGAAAAATTAAAAGGACGAGCACGTTTGCTGTTCAAGTTGGACCGTCGGTGAATATCCAGAGAGGTTTGATAGCGCAAAATTTGGAAAATATTCGGATACCACCGGACCCGTTTTTCATTCAAGAAAGCACGAACGTTGGAATTTACATGCTCTGTCACGATCACTGGAAACAAAACGGCTGTTCAGCGCCCAAGGAGAAGTTCATGAAGATACCCGAGGAGCTTCGACGAATCAATGCAAGACCGACGAGCGACAAACAAGCAAGGAAGAACTCGAAACAGGTCAACGAAGATGGAAAAATCGTCGATTCTGCGTCCACTTCGACGTCGAAGGAGAGGTCAGAAATTTCAGAAGGAGACGACTACGATTTAATGAAAAATAATGGAACGTCGGCGAACTCGGAAAAATTGGACGAAGTTAAGAATGTGACGGCGGCTCTGGAGAACGAGAAAAGTTCGAACGACGTTGCTGTTGGTCTAGACGACGAAGAATCGAAGAAAGATCAAAAGGTGGAATTAGTCGAAACTGTTAAAGAAGAAACAGATAACTTAAGAAAAGCAATTTCTGGAATTAAGAACGACCTGAAGCAGGTACGATTCGAGGAGGAAGTTTTAAAAGAAACGGAACACCCTGTGAAGGCTCAGAACTGCGAAACTACAATGTTGGAGCAAGGCTTACAAATACCGAAACACGTCGAATCGGAAGATCGCGATGTAGAAGGATTCAATGAGCCTTCGACTTCGAAAGAAATAATTAGTAAAGAGACAGAAGATAGTCGTAAGAAGACTTTTAAAAAGGATGAACGCCACAAGATTGTCGATGAACGTTTTGCGAGCATTCTCAGAAAATATCACGTTCAAGAAATAGATTCGACGAACGATAGTTTGGTGTCCTTGAGTACAAATTCTTCTGCAGAGGGTTTAAAAGAGTCAGAGGATCTAGATAATTTATATTATCCCTCCATAGACAAGTTAGACAACGTTCTGACCGTGTATGATAAAATAATTAACGACGTTTCCCGATCGACGAGAACCATCGACAAATTTCTATCGCGACCCGAACTGGAGGAATACTACATTCAGGAGAAATCAACGATGGAAACTAGCGAGTCTCTTGATTTCGAAATATCGAAAAGCAAAGTCGAGAAGACGAGCAGCGTCCATTCTTCGAAAACTAAACCTAACCCAGACCCGAGAAGAAAGGATCCAATTATCAAGGAACGACTGCCAGCTGCGAGTAAACGCGCAGGTAAAGAATATCGTCCGCACGGAGCTAAAATTTTGAAACCTGCGTCGACGAGGATGTCAATGCGCGTCAGCAGAGATCAAGATTCGAGGAAAAAGTCTACCTCCTCGAGAAGCTTCAAAGTTCCAGTACGAAACGAGTCGAACGAGGAGAGTTCCGAGTCCAACGAGAGCGACGAAAGTAATGATAAAATTGCGAGGCACGTCGAAGCGAAAAAATCGTGTTTCAGTAACCAAAGCTCGAGTTTAACAGCTTCGTCGGGGAACCCCTTATCCTCGAACACAAACGTACAAAGTTCTAACGACGCTGCAGCATCGCAGACGATTTCAAAGTCCATCGTCGACGCCACTGAGGATAGACGTTTGAGACCACGCGTAACCTCAACGCAAGAGATTGAAAAGATAATTTTGCAGAAAGGCGGTTTCGATGACAAGACGCTGTACGACGTAGTGTGCTCCGACATCGTGAAGCGAGGTTTTCCTGAATCAAGGGACCCGAGAAACATGGCGGAACGTTTAATCAATTCCGCCTTAGAGGAAGAGACACGGTTCATCGAAGACAAGATTAAAAACGCTTTCGACGAAAACTGGATCAAAAGCCTGTTGCAGCATTTGCAAAACGATGCACCGACTACTCAGGCGCAGAACTTAGAGCTGTTGATCTCCGAAAATGCGTCGGTAAACGACACAGTATCGGCAAACATCCACGCGGCTGAAACGGCACGCATGAAGTCAGAATTCGAGGAACGAAACGTGAAACTCGAGTGTCTTCGAACGGGTGAGAGAGATAACAATTCCAACGAATTTGGCTGTAAAAATGTTGGCCCGGAGCCTGACAGTAGTTCCAAAAGTCACTCCTCCGTAGTCGTCGAAGAAGCATCGCACGCGAATTTTGAAGGTTCTTCGGTCAAGGAAACAAGCAGAATTGAAACCAATGTCGAGTCGTTGAAGCAGAGTTCTAGGAAGAGTCCCCCCATACACGTCGTTGATGAACGAACTGAGAATGATGTAAATGGAACAGTTAAAAGTATGGAAGTCGTTGAAACGCAGATCGTGAATGAAAATGCGAATTCATGGGCGGAACAATCTATTTTAGAACCCATTGGCTCGTCAACGATGCGTGAAAATGTTAAAAGCATGCCGTGCAAGGATTCTATTCTAATTCCTGAAGTAAAAATAGAAAAATCGTTGGAATTGCGTTTGATTCAGGGTACAACAAAAATCCCCGAGCAATCGCTTGATAACGTTACTCGTGTTTCGTCGGCCGACTCTTTGCGCGATTGCGTATCTCTTGAATCCTCTCCGAGAAACGTTTCGAAAACTTTGTCCAATATGGCGGAACCCACGCGCGAAGATAATGAAATTAAACTGTCGCAAACGAGTAACGCACACGACGGTGACCCCAACGAAATAATGAATCAAAAAAGTTCGTACTGCGGTAATATATTCACAAAGGAAAGAATTTTATCGGACTTGTACGACGATGTGCACAAGAAACTTCTATTTTCTACGATGGAAACGAATTATTCGAGCGCGGTTGATCAAAATTATAGGTACAGAAACGAGTGTTTAATATTTATTATTTAACATATTACTGCAACGTTCCGTATTCTATGGGTATGGTATTTATGTTTATTCCTGATCGTATACTTCTTTGTATTACAGATTGTCCAACAGCGTATCCGCAGTAAAATCGAATAAAGTAAGAGAACACTTATTCGATCAACGTACTGAAATTTAATAATTAAATTCACGTCAATCACGTTTCATAATTTCAGATTGAAACATTTTCATCCGACACATCGCGTTCCGAAGGAGAGTTATGTATTCCGAGCTCCGGTTCTTATTCTTTAGGCGAAGTTAAGATATTAAATACAGACGGACGTGACAGTAACGTTACAATTTTGATCACAAAAGAAATGTTGAATTCCTGGAACGAATCTTCGAAGGCAAGTACAATAATTCCAATAGTGAATAAAAGATAAGCTACTTCTGACGTGTTTTTTTGTTCATTAGAAATTATTTATACAAAGTTTCTTTGATATAAAACAATTTATTTATTCTTTGTAAAGCAATTATGACATTCTTGATACAAATGGAAAGTTTAGATTAGAAAAAAAAGTCAGTGTAATATTTAATTCTTTAACACGAGCAATATTTTTTAATCGTGTTTACAATTTTCGATTTATTTATTTTTAGTCCTTGATACAAAGTATGGGAGAAATTTAAAGTTGCTGATTTGACGGAAAACGCGCTATCCAGAATATGTTAGCATGAAGTATATTGTAATTGCCATTGCAACTGAAAATGCAGCGACGGTGACGTATATTCCGTAATAATCGTGCTTCCAAATGAACAGTAAAAAATGTTTAGTAATAGCGCCGATACATAGTAAACATTATTATAGGTGTAAGCAATGATGTCATATACCTAAATATTACAACCGTTGTGTAATTAAGCAAAAGTAATAAAACTATGTATAGAATGTGATTGTCGGTATTATCTCGCTAACCTATGATTGTACGTTGTGCACCTTAAAGAAAATGATGAAAAGCATATTCGCAAGCAAAGTTTAAATATACGAAAATAAATATACTCTAAATCCGAGTGTAAAACATATAAAAATCAGAAGAACGCAATAGTACTGTGAAGGATGTTTTTTTAAATGTCACAAACATAACCTTACATTTCGGCAAAAATATGAAACTACTTAACATACGATTCACGTAGATAACACGTTACTAAAATACAGTTTATTCAAGGAGTTCGATAAAATAATGTACTCTATACGTTTTAATGGATAAAATTTATATTTCACGTAAGGATACAGTATCTAGAAAAAAAATGTGCGACAAGTATGTCATTGGTTATTCGATATCCGAAAAAAAGCGACAGAAATTTAATTTGAACGATTTTTATAATCTTTGTGAATCCGAAGGGTTCCTACTAAAGATGGTAAATAATTTTTCTACTTTTTTTCAATTATTATGAGTTAGGTACGTTGTGTAAAGTGTCATAATAGTACGAGGTTATGTATATAAATTCCTTTTATTGAATTTTATAACATCTGCATAGTATGTAATGATATATTTTAAGGCTAATGCATTGATTTCAGATTGATATAAACTCTGATCTTGAGTCTCAGGGACCACTTCACGTTTTTATATATAAAGTGACGGATAAATTAGCATATGCAGAAAATGGTGACCAAAATGTATGATAAAATTTTCCATATTTGTTATAATTAGAACAATTGAAATTGTAATTTCTGTTCTAGGCTAAAGCAATCATTTCAAGAATTCAAGAGTACTGTTGCCAACATCCTGAGATAATAGTTATTGACCCTTTGGATAATCTTAAGGTTTTAATAAATCGTTATAAATCGTACAAACTCATACAGGAGCATGTACAATTTAATGGTAGCCAAGAAAAACATTGTACTTGATATAATTTTAGTAGTAGGAAATGATAGATATAAATTATAACGATCCCTTCCAATGTGCATATTTATTTTTCAGATGTATTTACTCCAAAGTTTGTAGAAATTAAAAGTAAAAACATTGTTGAGAATATGTCACTGTTAAAAAAGGCAAATATTAAATTTCCGTTACTTTGCAAACCACTTATTGCTCAGGGCTGCAGTGATGCACACAAAGTAAATATTTATGTTAGAAGAAAGTGGGCATGCCGTAAGAAAATATACCATAAATATGTATTTTCAGATGATGATAATTTTCGATGAACAGGGTTTGAATGATTGTCAACCACCTTGCGTTGCACAGGAGTTTATCAATCATAATGCAATTGTCTATAAAATATTCATTGTCGGCGAACATTATCACGTAGATGAGAGACCCAGTTTCAAGAATTTTTATGAAGAAGACTGTACCGCATTAAACACGATATTTTTTAATTCAGTTGATATATTTAAGAGTGATTCTCGATCCAAATGGTCCATTTTATCAGAAGAAGACATTCCACCAACAGTAAAACCGAAACATGAAATATTTGAAAAGATTGTTAAGAAAGTTACAAAACTCTTTGGGCTTGTTTTGATTGGTGTTGATGTTGTTATTGAGAATCACACTGGAAAATATGCAATTATAGATGTAAATGTCTTTCCTGGATATGTTGGCTATCCAAACTTTTTTGAACATTTAATAGGATGCATCAAGAAGTTGTTAGTCGAAAGAAGAGATGTGCAGCAAAATTCTAAAAGCTATACATTAAAAAAGTGTTTAAGCGACGATTTGGATTCTGGTTTTGAAAGCGATGAAAAGAAGAAATATTCTACAAAAACAAATAAATAATATAAATAACGGGTATATTAAAAGGATGAATAACTATATCAGATTGATAACCCAATTTACTATATTCTAACAAGTACAAAGAAGTATTGTTTGAAAAAATAATACATACTTTTTTTTTTGTAATAATGACTTCATTCATTCTTCAGTCTTCGAAGGCACTTAAAACTTTTGTAACAAATTTGTGTTTTACATTCAGAAGTATTTATATCTTTTTTACGTTTTTGGTTTATTTTGCTTTCTTGATATATAGCTATCATAAGAGATTAAATCGATTTATTGACTACATCGACATTTTTTAAACGAATTGTAGTAAGGAACGTATGACTGCCAAAAAAGTACTTTTCACTTATATACTATACTTGCAATGGTTGACAAAAACCTCGAGAATATATGCAAAAGAAATTTACACTTTCATAGCAAAGTATAAAAAATGTACATCAAAATTATGATAAAGACATTAAAAATACATAATAACATAGTTATTATATAATGTAACATACATTTTTTATTTAATTAACCCCAGCTTTAAGTTTGTTACCGATACGTAAAATTTGCAAGTACAAATATTGTGTACAACAAAACAAAAATAATAAGTGCTGATTATACTGTGAAATATTCTAAATAAAATTTTTTTTTTAAAGTTTAAATCGTATTTATTCATTTATATGCAGAATATAAAAGGTAAATATTGATTTATTTACACAACAATTTTTACATTCAAAAATATAATTAAGGTTTAACTGTTGGATTCTAATTGATTAATATTTGTGCTTGGGTTAGTTTCACTTTTCTCAGTCAGTTCTTTTTGTTTCATCCAAGCCTTGGCAGATGCCAAAAATTTGAGATTTGGCCTTTGAGACTCATCTTCTGGGAAAACAAAATCAAATACTTCTTCCCAACCGTCGTCCCTCTAAAAAGAAACAGAAGAAATAAATATGGTAAATATTTACATTTTTTATTACAAAAAATATATAATCATAAATTATTATCAAATAATTTACCCCGTCTTCTCCAACAATACGTCTTATACGTTTAATTCGTCGAGGCATTTTTTCTATAATTTTAGCTCTAGTATCGTCATCTCCTTTCTCGTTTTCGAAATCTCTCCATGCTTCTAGAAGCAATGCTCTACTTTCTTTGTCTCCATTTGATCTAAGAGCATCATTTCCGCGTTCAAAGATTGTTCTTGCCAAAACAACATTGTCAAGAGCATCTTCTGATGTTGTATTTGCCAATTCAAATTTAGCATATGCAATCCAGACCTAAATAATGTATGTCATATTCAATAATATTCAATAATGTCATAATTCAAGTTTTATTGCAATTATCGAACTTACTTTAACGTGAAGCGTACGTTCTAATAACCTCTCAAATAACTGTCTCGCATTGTCTGTTTCGTCTTGTGCTATTTCGAAGTCAATATACGATTTCCACAAAAGTTCAGGCATATCTAACCTACAAATTTAAAATAAATATGTTAGACGAGAGTATAATAAACCATATAAATTAAGAAATATTTATTTTCAAATAGTTTACCTTGGTTGTGATATAGCTAATTCATAAATAGCTCGCGCACGTTCTACATCACCTAAAAGTGTTTCCAATTCTGCAAACTGTACAGAAAGTTTTTAATGAGTACATAACAATTGCTGAAATTTTAATAAACAGTGAATTGTCTGCTTTACATACTTTCATCCAAGTCGTACAATTCTCTGGACCAAATTCGAGAAACTTTTGATACAAAATTCTACACCTATCAAATTCTCTCAATTGTATTTCCAAATCAATATACCCGCGGTATAATTTATCTCTAGGACAAATACCCAATGACATACCCTAAAACAATTTTAAATAAAATTATTTATGCTAGAGAAAATGAACAATTTATGATGAAATAAATATTCAATTGAATACTTACTAATGTTTTCCTAGCTGCAGTTAAATTCTTTTGTCTTATTTCAAAATATGCATACAGTAACCAAATTTTCGAAAAAGTAAAATGTTTATGAGGAATTAGTTCTAAGCATGCCCTGAAAAGTTATATTATTTAATTTATTATCAAATTATTTATAACTGTATAAATCATTGTTTCAGGTTAGTAGAAGAAACATTAATTACCTGTACACCTGTCGACATCTTTCCATATCTTCGGTATCGAGTTCCTCAAAAAGAGCATAATTTATCCAAAGATAAATATATCTCCTCCAAAATTGTTTTTCCTGTAAGGTATATCAACTTAAAATTTTCTACACTAATACAAAATATGTAAATAGGGGCGAATTCAGAGGAGAAACGAATTTAATTAATTAGACTACTATCAAACAAAAATATTAATGAATAAATTATAAACAAATTTGAAATTGTGAAAACGTATGTTCAAAAATATGTTTCAGTACAATTGCTAAGCAAGACTTCTACATTTACCCCTGTACGTACGATACTAAATTATAAGTATAAAATTGCATGAAATGTTTCTTACTTTGGTTGGAGGTACATTAGCTATCGCGCGTTCATACGTTTCTCTAATAACGTCTACATTTCCTTCTGACTCCACTAATCTCAAATAGTCAAACCAAGCATCATAATTAGAAGGATTCTCTTTTACTTCCTGTTCATACTGATATTTCCTTTTGCTTACAATTACGTCCTCAATACCTGAACGATCCCCATACTTCTTTTCATGTATAGTATATGCTTTATAAATTTCTTGTGTCTTTTCTTTTGGAATGTGATCTAATGCATATTTGTAAATTACTCTAGCTCGATCATGCTATAAAAAAACATATTATCTAGAATAAATAATATAATACGTATTCTACATTGAAACTAAACAATTTTACGTAATACTTACTTCTCTTTGACCTTCTTCAAACTTTGCAAATGCAATAAATAATTTTTCGTCTAAACTTTCATCACCATAAAAATTAATGGCACGTTCATAAACATTACGAGCTCCATTAATAAAGCCATGGGATTCTTCAAATCGTGCATACTTAATCCAATGCTTAACATCAGGATGAACCATCACAAAACGTTCATAAATTTGTCTAGCTCTTTGTATTTCTTTGTACCTCAATTCGAACTTAATATAGGTTTGCCAAGCCTGTTCATCAGGCTCCCATTCCATCCATCTTTCAAATACTTGGCGCGCTCCTAAATGAATCTTTCTAATTAACAATTCTTTTTTATACAACATTTAAAATTCGTGAAAACTAAAACTTTACCAGCAATATTTTCTAACATTTCTTCCATGTAAGTATATTTATACCAAAATTGATTTGCTCTAGGTAATATGGTAACAGCACGATCCCACAAATTTCTGGCATGATTTACTTGACGATTTCGCATTTCCATCTCCGTGTATTTTAGCCATAATGTAATATTTCTGTGATCAACGTCTAATGCACGTTCGTATATAGACCTGAAATTTTATTTATTTTTTTATCAGCAGAAGTTCATTTGCCATTTATTATATAATTTTAAACACAAAATTTAATTATATGTATTGTACCGTGCTCTTTGTATCTGTTTTTGGCTTTCTTCCCACTGAGCATATTTTATCCAGTTTGAAATCACCATGCGATTTTTACGAATATTGTCTTCAAAAGCTTTACGCTTCCGATGTTGATAATCTGCTAACTCATGGGGATCAGAAATTTTTTGTTTCGGTGGCTAAAAGAAAATATTTTTATTATAAATCATTCTTATCTTACATGTAGAATTATAGTTCATAAGAAATATATAATTATAAATTGGAGCAAGGTCTTCAACCGATATAGATTTCAAAGTATTCTTACTGGTGGTAAGATTTCAAGGTCTCTTTCTTTAGCTTCTCGCAATAGCTGTTCTGCTGTTATTTGAATTTCAGCAGGTGCTTTATTTTTAACCTGTGATAAAAATGATATCAATAATGTTATATTGTAAAACAATATCAATTCTACATTAAGAAATATGTAAGAATGGTAAATTAAATACCTTTGCCACTTTTGGCATTTTCTGAGATTTCTCCATAATGTTTGATTTAATTTGTCTTTAAATGTGCAAAATAAAGCAGATAAATTATTAAACAAACACAGAATAGTTCACAAGCTTTCCCGTAGTTCTATTTTAACTTGCACATTTTATTAAAGGAACAACTGTTACTTGTACAAAATTACTTCAACCTGAAACTGGATAATCATAATACTATTCATTATCACTCTTTTACATTGTATATACAGTCAGTCTCAGAGGCATTCGTACTCTCATCATTTAAAAAAGCAATTTGTTAATGAAAATGTCAAATTCAATATTATTAAAATTTAAAATAAATAATCTTAAACGCAGTGAATGATTTCAACAAATTTCTTTTATAAATAGCGAAGGTAGACTCGCTGTAAACGAATTTTTTTAAGCCTTAAAACGTTTCGTAGTAAACAGATATGAAATACGAAGGTTAGGTATAACTAACCTATACACTGCAACTAAACACTTTATTATGCTAATGGTTATTTTATACTGACTTTTCATTGAACTTTATTCTAATGTAACTGTCAAGGCAACTACCCTCTCAATGTTTTTATAATGATTTACACAATTGCTGTTATTATTTAAGGAATCAGTATCAAAATATTTATAGATTCGTATAGAAAAAATAATATTTTATGCTCACAGATTGTAAATCATGCATTAATTCTTCGTTTAAAAATAATGGTTTTAGTTTTGAGTTGCACGTTTTATAAAATTACAAAGCAATCTGTTCGATTATGTTAGATTCGTTCAGTAACTTTTATATGGTTTCATTGTTGACACTGTAGTACAACATACGCGCGAACCATGTACTTTTTTGAACCCAATGCATACAGGATGCGGAAAATGGGTAACATTAACGTATTGTTTTTTTAACGTGTACACAAATTTGTACAACACGAAACAAGGATTCAGTGTCCGTGAAAGAGATCTAAAATTAATAAGGGATCGAAGTAACGAAGAATTTGTTGGTTATTTCAAGGTAATCCCCTCGAAGCGAAAACAAGCGCGTGATTGGTTTTAATAGTGACGTTTGTAGATTTGTGACGTTTGCACAAGGAACAGTTTATGTTTAATTGCAAACATAAAATTGTTAGGATGACAGTACTCGTACGATCCGAGTACAGTGCAGTTTGAAGTATCTATGAAATTAGTGATTGAGTCAGAACACGATAAAAGATAGCGAGAATCCTGACGAGAATTTTCTTTTACGTGGGCTGTATAAAACAACCGTGTATGAACGCATCGAAGTGAGAGAAAGATAGAAATAGTACGTAAGAAGGAGAGGTTAATTCGTGCACAGAAAAGAGCCAGAGAAAGAAAGCAAGAGCATAGAAGAAAAGAGAGGGCAGTCAGTGCCGAAGCTTTATCTTTATTATGCGCCGCTGAGTGAATTGTCAAGTGAAATCAGAAATGGCTGCCAACGAGCAACAACGGAAGGTGAGTAGGGAGAAATACATTGTATTTTTCTCGAATCGCGAATGACTTTTCGATACGCTCAAATAAACAACAGATTCGTAACATTGTCGCAAGATAAGTTCGTCATTCTGAACGATTAAACGCATGATCCATTCACAATGATTTCGTGTCAAAAAACGGGATTTATACAATATCTCGGGATCAGTCATACTAAAAGGAACAACGACGTCTTCGCTTTAGTTCTGTGTTGATAAATATTTGACAGTGAGACGGACTAAAAAATGGATAGTACGAGAAAATAGTTCCGTTTCGCGTAAACAGGAATTTTTCAAAGAGACATTTTACTTCATTCAAATATTTGCCAGATCATCGATGCATAAAAAGACATGTACATTACTGTATGCAGTATTTACATTCGTACAAGCAGCTGTCAGTATACGATCAGATAGGTGTCATGAAATTCTACCAAAAATATGCAATGTCTGATTCCCTTCGACGTTTAGTTCGCACAAGATACTAAATAATTTTTTTAAAAAGATCAAAAGCTCGTACGAATTTGACAGGGATTGTACGACTTGGACAATCAACGTATAATAGCATTAACGAAAGCTGCAACGTATAACGAGCTACATGCTAACAATTTTTTATAATATTTCTTTCATAATCTTTTGGTTGACTTTCGAATCGATGATTTTTGCTTAAAAATATATCAAAATTAATACAAAATTACGACGTTCGGTAGAAATATTCTGGACTTTGTGCGCTCGAAGTAATTAGACAGAATACGAAAATTAACATATGCCTGTTATGACGACGGATATCTGTATTTCTTTTTTTGACAAAATCGACCAGTTCTTGTTACTGATTTCAATAGTGCATTGTTGTCAGTGTAATTGCGAGGTATTTCGGGAATACGGCGAACGTTTCGTTTTTCAGACTTTGAATTCAACCAAATCAAGCGTTTGTAAATCATTCTTGTCGTTGTACCATAAATAGACGTGACTTTTTCCTCAAATTTATCACGGAATGGGATCTTTTTTTGGAAAAATTATTTTCCATAAACGTCGCGTATTAGTGAAATACCATTCTTTTCGACAATTTGTAGATGCTGTTTCAGTTTACATTCGATTTCATAATGTTGCACGAAATATAAATTATTACATTTACCATACGTTATTTCGCAATAATGTTGACTTATCAGGAAGGTAAAAATATTGAAATGATAAGTATGTATAACGAAAAGGCTGTTCTCGACCGAAACTAATATTTTTCTTTTATTTTGTGCTTATACGTATGCGTGTATTACTTATGTATGCGATCTCCGTCATGTTCGTGCGTTGATTCACTTTACATTTTGCGATTACTTGTATAACATTTAATTAAGTATGGAGGTGAATTGAGCCCTACTTGTAGTATTAAGAACAGGAAATACTTTAAGAAATACATTTTATTCAATTGTGCACGTTATAATAAATTATTGTTCAGGAAATTATTGTACATTTCTTTTTTATGAAATTAATTTACCTTGCACATAACGATAAACGATTTGCATAATCTATTATTTTCAATAGTATGCAGACAAAATGATGATTTGAAAAAATATTTATTATGTATTACTTGAAATATAACATTAGCCAATTTTGATAAATATTTTATTACAACAGTACTATTAAGGAAAAGTTAAATAGATTCTATGCTAGTTACTAAAAAAATATGTAGTCGTTTGTAATATTAATATATTAAAGTATATTTTTTAAACTGTGTTTAATATAAGTAATAGATTTTAATGGATTATCATTACATATAAATATCCATGTAAGCATATGTGACCTTAGAATCTGTCAAGGTATGTGATTTTAAGGCTTCACAAATGCTATAACATGATCATATATTGTTGTGTCATAACAATTAATAAAAGCATATTTTATGTACTTACAGTTTTTGTACATTGTTATTTAACACTATACAATTTTTACATTCAACGAAAAAATTTGTAAACTATTAAATATTATACATGTGATATATAAGTTTTAGTCATACAATATTACTGTTTATGTATATTAAGTTCTAAATATTTTGATTTTGAAGCTTTTTCAAACTTTGCTATAAAATGCTAATACTTTGTGTATATGTAACATTATAACACTATTTCACAGTATAAAAAATATACTTTTAAAAAACAATTCCATTTTTTCTTTTTATTTTGTTTAAGTATCATTATCGATAAGTTGTATGTTTTTACAAGCATTTAATAAAATTATAAATTTATACAACTGGATTAATAATTAGGAACCACGGGAGTTAAGAGAACCAGCCCACCATGCAAGGAGACCGATGAATGCATTTCTCATTTTTTGTAAACGACATCGTGGTTCAGTGCGGTCTGGTTTCCCACATTTAGAAAATCGGGCAGTCACAAGGGTTCTTGGTGAATGGTGGGCCACTCTTCATCCAGACCAAAAGCGTTCTTATACAAATTTAGCACAGGAGGTAAATTACTTGTAGCATAAAAGAACTAAATGTTATGTTGGCGATCATACATTGATGTAATTTTATATAGTGTGTTGTGGACCATCAAAGTTTATTATATTTTTTAATATTTTGTAAATTCTTGTTAATAATTAAGCATATTTTCTTAATGATATTACATACATTAAAATATTTGTAATCAGATTTCAAGAAAATAACACCATTTTAATTATCTTTCAGTACAAAGATGCATTTTTAAATGCAAATCCTGATTTTAAATGGTACAAATTACCAGCACCTCCTTTACGCACTTTGAATACTAGGCCTACAAATAAAAAAGCAGAAACAATCTCTAGCGAGCAAAATGTAGAGAAAATCAAAACTGAGAATGAGTCTTCCAATTATTCAAAATCCGATGAGCGAGATGGACAATCAATTCAACCGGGTAAATTAGCCGATGAATCCCAGATTGGTGGCCTCAGTTCTTTATTTACACCTCAGAAAACACAAATAGCAGATGAGCAAGTGATTGTCAATTGTTCTATGATTGACAGTGACAGTGAAGTTCCAGAAACTCCTAAAAAAAAGTATCCAGACTTACCTCTTTCACTTGATGATAAAAGGGAATGTAAAGTTGACCTTTTTGATGCAAAAAAAAGGATAAAATCTGAATCAAACAACAATGAACAACAATATGTAAGAAAACTTTTCCTTGAGTATATTTATATAATTTAAATGCTTATTTTATGTATTGCCATATATTTAACATTATTAATCATATTTAGGATATAGAAGATGAGAAACCAGAGATAAATAATTTTTTGACGACAAATATGTCTTCTGAAGAAAGTAATTTTAAAAGCGAACGTACGTGCAAAGGTTTACGTTATCAGAAATTTCTTGCAGAACAAATGAAAAATATTGGTTCATCAGGACAACAACCTAAGCGAAGACGGCAAACTGGTAATCGTAGGTAAATAAGTATATTTCATTAAACTCATATTTAGTGTAAAATATTAATATATTATTAAAATTGTAATCTGTTTTTCAAAATGCTTCTGCTAGCAGCGATGGTCAAACAAGCGAGAGAAGAAATTCTATTTCATCAAATGTCAGTGAGAAAACAGATTCGTTGAGTAGTGAAGGTGGAAATAGTTCTCGAGGCGAATTAGAACATCTTGCAGAAAGGTAATTAAATTTTTCTCTTTGTAATAGATGCTCTTAATTATGTGTTTGTAAAAATGAAATCAAATGAAAATATCGTATTAAGTGCCGAGGGAAACATTGAAGCTTCAAAACCAGAAGACACGGAAACGGAAGGGACAGAAGGAGAATTAGATTTTGGACCTTGGACCGCGCGTAAAAGATTTCGAGCCGAGTAAGTTTGACATTTTTCGTATTTCAAACTATTGTATGATGAAATGTTATTTTTATGTGTAGGGATTTTAATTTAGAAAAGAAAATTGAAGCATTACCATCTTTAAGTTTAGAAGAATTTCAAGAAAAAAAGAAACAGCAACGTACGAAAAAGAAAAAAATTGTACAAAAGTTAACATTAGCTTTGAGTAACAAGAAATATCAAAATAATTTTAACACTAATGATCAAGCAAATAGCCAAAATACGGAAGATACAGAAAAAGCGCTTCTTGTTGGGAGCCAAAAAAGGAAAGCACGAAAACAGAGTATTACGCGTAACGCAGCAGCTATAAGTGATTTTAAACAAGAAATAGAGGAATCTAATGAATGTAAGTATAACGAAGTAAAACGACATAATGTTTATTGAGTTTTATACATTTTATATTATTTATTAGCATTTTATACAAAATTTACAATTGTATTTTTTCACAATATTTATTACAAATATTAATGCATTCTATAATCATTTGCATATCCACTATAAAAACATAAATCCATGTTTCTATCTATAAAGTTATTATTTATGTATGTTACATTTTTAAATTATACAATTTGTGAATAATTTCAATCTAAAAATTACAAAATTTGTAAACTGTTACCTTCAAATAATATTTATATTTCATTTAATGTAAATAATTCACAAGTGTATATTTTAAACAAAATTTAATTATTTGTATAAATATTAATAGCGTGGTGTGCATCGCCGGACTTGGAAGCACTGGCATGTCTTGCAGCAGTTGCCGCCAACAGAACAAAGCTTACCAAACATAATACATAAGATATATTTTTCGATATTTAGCAGTCTTTCACGATGATATAACCTTGCGCTGTGCAAGTCAAAATCTTATTCATTTATTTCTTAGTATAATTTCTTATTAGTGGAATTATTGAAATAATTGCTTTGATTGCTGTTAAAACATAATAACGTTTCCAACTGATCAAACATGTATCACGTTAGTATCGTTAATGCCTGTGTCGTTAATTGCTGTTAATTATGAATATTAATATTGTGACTGCTATAATTATTTTGCCACTCAACATGTAAAGATGTTTCTTTTATGTTGCATAAATGTCCTACGAACGTGGTCAATGAATGATAGTTTTTTGTATAGTTTATTCACAAATAATGTTGTTACTATTACATACTGAAGAAAGATTCTAGTTTTCTCTTTTCGTTGTGTGTAATTATTAAAATATTACGTCACACATTCTATACTTGTTAATAAATACCTGCAGTGCAGATGATAGCCATTTTATCTAATTTGAGAAAATGCTCGCGTATTGATACTGAATGGAAAATTTGTGCAACTTCCATCAAACATAATATTGTCACATAGGACCTGACTGGGAAAAATTATCGATGAAGGATAGAAAAGGTGCATATAATGAAATATGTTAATGTGTATTATAGGATGATGTTGGCAAAGCAAGGATTGAACTTGTAAATTAATTTTGTTAATATAAAATATTATAAATGCGATTGAAAAGTAACAGTGCCGTAAACCTTAACAAAGCCGATAAACAGGGCATTTTATCATATCTGTGTGTAGTAATGATAACATGTAATAATTGAAAAGTTACTTGTTACTATTTTTGTTATCGTCATCGGCGTACGTTTCTCTCTATTTCATTATGTTCTGTAAACACTTTATGTACATAGAAATAGGTGCAGTATTATGAAAGATATCCTTCATGATCTGAATATCAAAAAAGGATATAATCAAAATATACATGTATAAATATATATGTATATATATTTATACACATATTCAAGACCACTGTTTATACGTTATACATGCGTACATGTAAACATACGTAATAATGTAACTTATGCAAGATAGAAAATGTAAATTTTATTGTTAGTGAGTGTTTTCTCGTATCAGGAAGCGTATGTATACATGTACGTATGTAATTTGATAAGACTACATATATATATATATATGAATGTATATTTATAATATTTATATCAACTAACTATTATTTTAGTGTTAAGACCATGAAAATGCGATCCTGTGCTCTGTTTGAGAAAGTAAGGGACTTGTCTGTGATTTTGGCTAAAGGAGTTTTTAATATTTTATATTTTTCTATTCATTTTCTCTCCTTTTCTTTTTCACATCGTTAAGTTCATTCAAGTCTAACTCCAGACACTGTTAGCGAAATGATAGGAATAACTAATGTTAGTAAATTCCTCTATTATATGGAAGTGAGTATACTGATTACATTTCAAATGTGCCTTGAAGAGATATGAACATAGATATTAAACAATGACCAACAATATATTTTCGATTCGTTTCGCCATTCTAACTGTCTTTTGGCTTTACATTTATACCTTCTACAGTTTCTAATTGTGGTTACGGTACATAACTATACAAGTATAGCAAGCCTTTATGGCCAGCATCCGAATACTTGGATTCTTAAAAGAAAAAAAATTAAGGGAAAGTGTTTCGAATTTTACTGCACAAACATCTATGTACCTAGCTTTAAAAAGTATAATTTACACGAACATATATATATATATATATATTATATATGTATGTATATATCTGTATATATACATATGTATATATACATACACTCCTATATATATATATGTATATGTATATATACTTGTAACATATTGTATACCATTTATATGAATAATAAAGATATAATATTTTGATGTAAAGTTTAAGTCGTTTGCAACATATTTTGATCGTTTAAAATTATTTTACTCAAGTTGAAAGTACTAAATCGACCTAACAGTTACTTTTTTTCATTAAATGTTTTTATTCAAATGGAAAATTAAATTATTATAAAACATTTTTATTCGACTTTTTAATAATTTTTAGATCTATATATGTTGCAAATAAATATACTGACAGAAAATAATTCTTGTTATTACTTGACTTATTAAATTGTGTTAGTATCCTAATAGTAAAGTATATTTACGTTATTTGCGTCATTTTCTAAAAATATAGTTTGATGCTTGTATTTTATTCCGTTTTGTGCGCATGCATACATATTTAATTTTATACTCCTATATTCTACATACATGATTATATGTAAGGTCAGAATTAAAAATTGCGTGGCTTGTTTTATTCCTGACCTATGCAACAAAAATAATATTAAGTAATATTTTCCTTACCGCCATGAAAATTAATAAATCAGTTTGGGTGTTGCATGATAAGATCATTTTTTCTGTATCGTTACTAATATATATTTAATAAATATATGCAGTAAAGTATACATTAAAGGATTTCGTGTAAATAAAACCACGTGGTAGCAACAGACTGAAACAGCAGCGTGATATGACCAAATAAAATAAATACAGTAGAATATATATAAATAATAATAATAGTAAATGCTTAATAACAACTTTAATATTTCCAACAATTTTTTAGGAAAATTTTGCCCTTGGTTTTTCGATCATGTTTTAAAATCCATTACGCATTAAATCTACGATACACCCCTAATTCGAGACGAAGGCAACCAATGAGATTCTATGGATTACATAAATCTTAAATTAAAGTAAAAACTGAAAAAAGTATATTAAAGAAATAATAATTTAATTCTACTCTATAGTACACTATAGAAGATGAAGTTGAATCTAAATAGAGCTTATCGCGTGGCCAAAATTTCATTAATCCGTTATATCGATATAACCTTCTATAATCAGAGATGTTTTGTAGATTTAATGAACGGTGGATAAAAATACTTTTACTTTTATTACTTTATTGGACATCTTTATATATTTTCTTTTGTTAACGTAGCACATGTAGAAATTTTAAATGATTAATTGCTATTCATATACGTATACGGTAACTTGAATAAATTCTATTGTATTCATATGTATTCAGGGAATAGCATTTTGTCAGTACGACCTTGTAGTCACGTGGTTTGGTTTGGGTCTACTTGATTGTTTCATGTAAAAATGTATTATTAGAATTTCATCGGATGTTTTTCTTTGTGAAAGGTTTTGTAAGAAGGTGAAGTTTGAGAAACACTGGTATAGATATAGTTTGGATATCGCATGCACCTGAGCTCCATCCTTGCTGTCAGTGTCGTTATAAACATACTTTGTACGTTTAAAGTTTTTATAGATGTTGTGCATCTAGAAGTTTGAAATCTATAAATCGTAATTAAAGCTGACTTGACAACTGCGAGCGCTTGTGATCATTTATGATGGTACTGTCGCGTCTATGCTACTACAGTATACATGTCTTGCTGTGACGGTAGTGATAGCTACGTCAAATTACGTGACTTGCTCGTTTTGTGGATTAAAAGCAGATTGCTTGATTTATCAGCCGTTGCTATTTCGTATTGGACATTTGGAAAGCAATTCACGACATTTCAGAATGGGTGTAATTTTCTTGGAACACATCGGAGGTACTCGGCTATTCTCTTGTGCTGCCTGTGACACCAATCTCACAAACAGAGGTCAGCTGATAAGCACGCGTTTTACTGGCGCTACGGGTCGTGCTTTTCTATTTAACAAAGTCGTCAACTTAAATTACAGGTATTCGCATTTCCCTCCATTTTTTTTGAAATATTAATCGATGCGATATACTGTACTTTTACGTTTCGAAAGTTCTCGTTTTCAACAGACAAGACAATTGTAAAAAGATGAAATATTGTTATTTCCATGCACCTAAGAAAGTGGAGAAGAATTTTACTAAAATTTTGACAGTACATATTTGAAGTATCCGTTTAAAAACGCGGGATATACGAATATGCAAGGGAAATAATGTTGTCATAATTTCTGTTTTAAATTAATTAATAAAATGTAATGTAACGTATTTATTTCGATATATTTTAACACGTTTTAACGTACAAATATTGATATTGGTGGTGGAAATATCCGGTTATATTATTTTAAAATAGATTACTTAGAAATAAATAATCATTTGTCGATAGCTTAACCGTAGCAATTTTTATGTATTGTCCATTCATTCTTAGGTTCATGATTTTTGTATTTACGTGTATTCAGCTTTTTAGCTTTATTTAGCACACAGGATACCATTCATAAATGTACAAAATCTCAGAGAAATTGTGCTAATGGAATAATCTTATAAAATCTTTTTGCATATTCATAATTTAATTTGTCTACAATGATATACAGCGAGGTACAGGATAGAGTGATGTTGACGGGTCGTCACATGGTCCGAGATGTCAGCTGCAAAAACTGTGATGCTAAACTTGGGTGGGTGTATGAATTTGCAACAGACGATAATCAACGATACAAGGAAGGCCGTGTCATCCTGGAACGTGCTTTAGTCACAGAGAGTGATGGAATGGATAACAATATTTAATACCCTACGACAAATAGCAAATCATAGGATAAAAATACACTGCAATCACCACGAAAACAGTTGTTCTTTTTCTCATGTTCCTTCATCATTTGGAATAATTCTAAAAATTATGTTATCAATGTATAGCAATTTATATTTAATATTAAATATTTTTGTAAACATTGAACATGCTTTGTCTTATGGTATTACATATTTCTAATGATCTGTCATTATTTCGTCTTTTTAATTTATTTTTTATTTAAACATGTATAATATGTTAAGTCTGATTGGAAATAAAGTTGTGTCTATGTTATGTTAATAGTTTTAAGATAATATTAAATAAATAGAATAAATTATAAAGAATGAATGTAAAAGTTTTTGAATGAAATAATTACTCCCATTAATGATAGTTAGTAATATACAGATCCTAATGTAATGAAATTCTTGTTAGTAGCAATAGCAATAGCAATACTACATGTATATATTTTTCACCGATTCACAAGACCACAAAAGTAAGACAACAAATATGTATTCCAAATTTCTGTATTTCTTGAAATGAAAATGTTATTTGAAAGATTATTTCGGATCATTGTACCTATCAGTGTATTGTTGATTTTGTTAATCGATAAAAGAAAATCATTATAGATAAAAGATGTAGACTAAACGAATTTGTTTGAATTTTGGATGCGTACTGAAAATGTAAGTAAGGTGACACAAACGAACCGCGCCCTAACTATCACATGATTGGTTGGTACCATTTGAGCGAGAACCAATAGCAAAGCCGAAGTTCTGCAACGAGTCGCGACGGCGAACCAGTGTGGTCACGTAGGCCCACCATACCGCATGGTGGATAGATGTTTCCTTTAACTCAACATTGTATAAAATGCTATAATTGTGTATTGTTGTTATTTTGCAAGGAGCACAACGATCCTGCGGAGCAGCCATCTCCAGCCTTGCACACGGTAATTACAACAATTATATAGCTACATTACATAGCGATAGCGCGTTGACCGATCCGAGCATACAATTTGTTGTTTGCTGTTCGGCTCAATGGCCGAGTGCTGGTCGCACAGTAGCAATATATTCGTTACATCTGTAGAATAACTTTTTAGATCGTTTTATATGTATTCGAATATGGAGCTTTTGATCGTCGGGTAGTTTTTGTTATGAAAACGATTAATATTCCCGTATATATGAATTTTTTCACTCTCTTGTTTTCCTCCTTTCGTTCTTCGTCCTTTCCCCTCTACAGTGTCCCACGCATACAGAGATACGCGGCAGCACCAACGATAGCGACTCTGACTATTCTTTGGAAATTTAAAGCAGAATTTTGCTGGGATACATCGAAATTATATCGTGCACGAAAGATTTCGATGTTCGGCAGAACCTACGACCATTGCTGTGATATTTGTGTCCGTAAAAAGTATCATATCTTATCAATCGCTGTTAGGCATGTAAAGTCTCACACACGGTGCCATTGCACCGCCGAACGGATCGTAACAGGAAAGCTATAAATACACACGCATCGCGGGGTAAACAAACTTGACCTCAGTGGAATTCTTATCGATGTATCTACATGTCGATGCAATGTACACAGATAATTTGAGGTTATGTTAAGCATCAGTGTTCGTTATTGTGCGTACGAACTCCGTGAAATTTAATTGTTTGGTACACTAGGAGTGGTTATTATTTCGTCGAAAGGAGACCAAACAAATTCTTCGGATATTAATTCACAATAATATTTCTCCAATACTAGAAAACACTTTTAATTATTGTTACTTGTTTTTCTTACAGTCTAGTACCCGACATTTTATTTGTATATAAATGTGGTTAAATTTAATGCATTAATTTTGCAAAAATATTTAAATCGATGTTTGGTGTTTATTGAGTTTTACGCGTTACTCACTTTCACTGTTCTAGAAAGCTGGTATGTTAATTTATGTTAAATATTCAGTTGATGACACTACTTTAAATGTTAAATAGCGTTATAAACATCTTGAAATGATAATTAAATATCTTTTAAATTATTAAATTCTTTGATCTTTTTTGCTAATCATATTTCTGGTAATAAAGATGAACTTTAAGAAAATTCTTAATTAATGTATAATTTGTATATAATTAAAATTTGTTAGTATTGTGATATATAATTTTTGTATCTACAATTAAACAATTATAATATGTGTGTAGAAAAAAGATTAATTTTTTCATTAGCAAGAAGAATTAGAAGCACAATGTAAATATTGACTTCTTTCGCTACAGAATATTGGCACATGCCGTTTATTGTCTGAACATCGTTGGAATACAACTAAATCGTAATCCACGCATCTAAGAAGAAAGTGGAGCTTTCGATATTTGCTCCTTGATATTAAAGCACTGTCAAAAATGAAGTGGTCACCAGGTGCTCTGTTCTGTGAACAAGTTGGTGAACTCACTCGAGTGTTCTCCCAGTGGAATGAGTGCGAACAAACTGTAGTTCTATATGCTCTACTTCGTCGCATTCCTGCAGTTCAAGCAAGGTTTCTTGCGCAAGCAGTACAGCATTCCTTGCACTCTGTTTCCGAATTGGACACACAGGAATTAAATGCCAATAATCCAGGTAATTATTACAATTAATATGAGAGTAACTATGCAATATTTAATAAAAAATATTGTTGCAGCGTTTATTAACTCGCTGCTCTCAGAATCGACAGAAGTTGCTATCAATCAACTTTTAACGCACTTGCCATTATTAAGGCCTGGGAATGTAGAGTGCAAACAATGCTACCTAGTAGCTATACCAGAATTAGTAAGCCACTGTGTAACTACAGGGCAATATACTGAACAAACTCAACAACTTTTAAGTTATACATTGATCCATCCAGCTATAACTAGTCAAGATAGACGTTCTTTGACTCAGTGGCTTCGACATCTTGAAGAACGTATTAGCGGTACACCACCGATACATAGTCTCGAAGAGTACACCAATAATACTGTTAGGTGAGTTAGAAAAATCTATAACTGGCGTTTATGTAGAATGTTTATGATAATTTTATTTTTATTTTAGGTGGGACAATGCGTGGCAGCGAAATTCTAAACAGCAACAAAATGATCAGACAAATTTATTTGGCACACAACCAGGTACTGCCTTCAATTTGCAATTTCCTCCGCCCGTAACTCGCCAACGTCGGTCAAATAGTTTAACACGACCGGTTGCTCCTCCTCATCATTTAGAAGTCGTTGATCGCAGTAATAACGTAAATTGCTCAACGGGACACAAACCACGAAGTTTTAGCATCTCAGGAGACCATATGAGTTAGTTTGATTTGAAGTTGTAGCGTAAAAAAAAATGATTAATTATATTTTTCTTCCTTGAGTAATTGTTAATTTCTAAATAGGCAATCTTATTGGATTAAGTCCATTGAGTCCTCAGAGCTCCTGTGCAAGTAGCGGTAGCGAAGGGCGTTTAGACGAAGCTTCTAATCTATCACTTGCTAGTGGTATGAGAGGTACGTGTTTATATAGTGTTAGAAATGTACGACCGATTGCTAAAAAATGTCTAACGCATTCCGTTCTATCTACAGACGTTCCATCATGGCTTAAAACCTTACGTCTTCATAAATATAGCTATCTATTTGTTACTCTCAGTTATGAAGAAATGCTTCAACTGTCAGAGGATCAATTAGCTGAGCAAGGCGTGACAAAAGGGGCTAGACACAAATTGGCCCTTTCCATTGCGAAATTGCAGCAGCGCTACTCGACGCTTTTAAATTTAGAAAAAGACTTACTTCAACCAACGCGCGACAGTACACAATCAGCATCGTTTTTACAAGGACCAACAGTACTGGTCAACACTATCGACGAATTGAAAACAATCTTAGCTACGCCTATGAAACCAAGCCAAGAAAAAGATCCTCAAGACATACCTGCGCAATTCACCAAGGTTCTTGGAAAATGTAAGTAACGTGACCTTGTCAGCATGATGTTTAAACAAATATGAAAACGTTTTAACATACTGTGTTCGTTTGTTTCTTAGTGTGTAGCAGAATGGCATTGGATAGCGTGGATGATGGCATTTTGTGCGCTTGTATTAACATATTAGAGAAAGTATTGCAGCATGATTGCTTTACTCCAAATCAGAAGGAAAAGGTACAACAATGGCGCAGCAGACTCGGAAATCCACGACCTACTCCAAAGTATGGAAAAATACATAAAATCATTGTACATCGTTTAGAGAGCTAACGATTAAAGTTTAAAACAAATAATCAACTAACCAAATGACAATTGTAAAATTACGATTTCAGGTGGCAACATAATTACGGATATAACAACAGAAGATACTGTAACCCGCAACAGCACAATAGAAAGCCAAGTTTGAACTTGGGACACATTCATAATACGCATCCGCAAAACAATTCATTTGTGGTTAGCACCCACAGAAACAGTATATCGATTCCGTATTTACAAAATAATCAGAACCAAAGTGTAAATCAGAATACTTTACGTTCAGTTCATGCAACCGAGAAACGACCTAGCTTACAAGAATCTAGTTTACAGGTATGTATTTCTATGAAACTATTATTAGGCGTTTATTATTGACTTTCTATATGACATTTATATAAATGAAATAAATTTAATCGGTTAAAGAAGTGGTGCAGAAATAATACACATTGGAAGGAACAAGAAAGAGTTTATACTATATTTGTGAGCGACAAGCTAATCTAAACTATAATTTCCGTTTGTATTTTAGCAGTTACAAAGAACGTTGCAACGCACGTATAGTGCGCCGAGAGATCATTTTCTTGGACAATCTGGGAACACATCGGAAACAACGGAGCCGGAGATCAATTCTCGTCTAGAATCTCTTTGCTTAAGAATGACAGAACAGGCGATCGGCGGTTTCGGTGAGGCCTAACGAATTCTTCGTTTCGTTGACTGCATCTACACAGTAAGTCCTGTTTGAAAAGGAAATTTCTATAAAGGTGATACGCGTGTCTGAGCTCCGTTTTTTTTCAAAGCTGACAAAGCAAGACTGACTTCTGTAGATCTTGCAAACAAAGAGACCGACAGCGACAATGATAGTGCTGACAGTTGCGCGTGTCTCACGTGCACACATTCACGCTTTAAATAGCCCTACCAAATGAAAAATGTCCGACATTTGAGACATTACCAAGGAAACTCAGTTCGCGACGTTTGAACGACTCGTGAGAACAAACAAAAAAAAAAAAAACAAGAAAATAAAAAAAAAATAATATTTTTTATTATACCCGATGCAATTATACTATTTAATGAAACTGACAGAATTTGGCAAGCCAAATGCTATTAGGAAGATAGATTCTTTCCTTGACTATTTGTTGCATCTATATAAATGTATTATATAAAGAATATATATGTATACACATATGATAGAATTTTATGGGAAGCGGATTAAATCGTATAACATATATATGTGAAAGAGAAAAAAAATGGGGAACGAAAAAGGTACACCACATTATTGTGCGATGTTTGCAATATTATTTTTCGTGTGTTATCCATTTCGGGAAATGGAATTCGTCTGATTTTAAGCGCCAGGACACATTATACTAATGTAATGTAATTCATTTTAATGAACTGACTGATTTTACTTCTTTTATCATTATTATCATTATGTTTATTCTGCTCTTATTCATCTATCGCCGCTATTGCTAATTATCATTGCTATTTTCTATTATTTTCATTAACAGCTTTGCCACCATTTGACCATTAGCATCGTCATTTACTATTCACCAATACTATTATTACTATCATTATAGTTACTGCTATTATTATTACTATATAAACTCTTATTACCGCTGCTGTTGCTACCATTTCTTCTACTACACGACTAACAAACGCCATTATCCGTATGCTTTTAACGCTGTTAATACTTTTTATCCTCTGTCGTTGCTGCTGCTTCTAACTATTACCATCTACCACTATGCTATTACTATTCCTACTACTCTACCACTAGTAGTGTCACTATTCTACTACAAGTACTGCTATTACTACTATTATACTATCTCCACTATCACTGTATTATTACTGTAATTCTCCCTATGGAGGAATCATACTTAACAAACAAAAAAAAAAGTTTGACAGTTCGTTACATGCTTTAAAAGAGGGGGTGGGGAGGTGGGGGTGAAAAAAAGAAACGAACAACGTACACGTTTTCTTCGTCTCTCCTACACCGGGGAAGAGAACGTAAACGACGTGTATGCTTTGTAGTTTGCGCACAGATCTCGTGATTTTTTACACTCGTATGCGAGAGTTACCATGCGTCTCTTCTTTCGAACGCGGTTTAGGCTGTAACGAAAGAAAGGAACGAAATAAAGAAGAAAAAGAGAAAAAAAAAAAAGGCGAAAAGATTATACAATAAACGGATTTTTAAAGGCCTTAAGGATGTATTAAGCGAACGTAAAGGGTATAAGACTAAATATTATACGTAGACAACGTTGTGAAAACGATGGTGACGCGTGTATATGTATACATATATATATATATATATACATATTTTGTGTATATATATATAAAATTGCATCGTACTTTGCATGATGCGACATCGAAATCTGTGGCTTTAAATTATAAGCATACATCATTAAACTGCTCTATTATGCACTTTTTAGCACTCAAATCTAACGTCGCGAGTAAACGTAGCATAATATTTTCATGCAAGACAAGGGGGAAAAAGAACGACGAGAGAGAAGGTTAAATTTAACGATAATAATAATAATAATAATAATAATAATAATATTAATAATAATAATAATAATAATAATAATAACGATTAAGGATAGTATTAGCGACTAATGTACCGATAAACGCGAAAAAAAAAAATATAAACGAAAGACTGAATAATTCACGCGCCGTGAGCCGGTGAATTTCGGACGTTTCGCATTCGTTTATTCGTAGACAGCTGCACGGCTGCGTGAATAGAAACAATTGGAAGACTGCGGAAGGAAAAAACCTGTCAAAATATTAAAAATTAGAACTTATACGAGTGCGAGAGAGAGAGAAAGAGCAAGCGAGTGCCAGCGAGTGAAAGAGAAAGGAGTTAACGACAGTAATGTTAGCCGTATATCTAGGTTGTAACGATTATTTTAACGATTATACTCTCACTAGGATGATGGATCTACGTAATGGCGCGCGGTGATTTCTCGATTTAATTAATAATTAGCCTGCTCGAGCGAGAATGATCGTCTATGCAAGCATGGAACGATCGAAAACAATATGTTACAGTGACGATTTGTTCCCCACATTGCGAAACTGCTTACCCCATTCACACAAACATACACACGTACAAACCGACACGTTAAAACATTCTTCTTGCGATTTGTGTCGTTCATTATGAAAGTAGGGTTAGGTTCATGTAGCCTTTTGTTTTGTGACACAAGGGTTTTGCATTTCCAACGACTGAAAAATATTGACTTAGGGCTAATTAGTTCGTTGTACAGTTCTGGTAGATGTTAACAAGTACATTGATCGGATGTTTAAACGATAGGAGAGAAGATGGGAATAAGATATGGTTATTTTGTTTTGTGATTAGGCAGTTACAGAGTAGTCACTAGTAAGAATGTATGACGAGAAACCATGGGGAATTTTATATGACATGTGTGTGTTACATAAATATAAATGTTGTAGGTTTTATAGAACTTTTTAATTTTTAATCTTTTTTTCTAAGGACAGTCAAAATCGGATAGCAATATAACGTAACGTTAATTTATAAAAGGATAGGTTGTAAAACTGCGTGATAGTATCACAAACAAAGATTTATGTCCACAGAAAAGACGTTTATTAATAATAATAATAACAACAGAATATGTCAGTAGTAATCAAACAGTAGCACCTTATCGAATATTCCAACCTTCTCTTCTACAAACATTACCAGAAGGAAACTTATGTCCTTGGTGACTACAGATAAACTTGAATAATTATCGAACTTAAAAAACGTGGACTTGCATCAATGTTTTCTCTAACATAGTGTTTCTCAAAATAAGAAACTTCTTACAGTCTCCTGGGGGAGGGGGGCGAAAGAAGATTTTTAATGTTGAAATCGGAAAGATAGGAAAGTAAAACTCAAAATTATGTTTTATTTTATTTTATTTTTCACGTGTTTTAATCGTGTTACTTAATCACTTTCATAATAAACGATTCATTTTTTCCCCACAACAGGAAACTAACTTAACTTTCACATGGTTGACGCACGCGCCAAACGCGGAAACGTTTCGCAGTGACGATTTGTCCCCCCTTCCCCTCCTCACATCGCGCATGAAACTGATCTTCTCATGGTTTTAGCGTATGCTACGTACGAAACATTGTGCAGTGACGATTCGTTCCTCCGGCGTCACGAAACTAATTTTGTTTTCCCACATTGTGAAACTGCTTTCATACGGTGCGTGCACATCATACATACACGCACACATACACTCGATGTACACAACAAAAATTCACGCCTATACACGTAAATGCACACGCAGAGTACGTTGTCCGATTAGAATTCCAGAGTTTCGTACACGTATGATTTTCAGGAGAGACGGTCAAAAGCTAGTCAAACACAATTCTAATTTTTACCAGCTAACGTGTGTATAGATAATTATTTGTACATTAATACCGCGCGATTAACGCAGAACAAAAGTGTAAAACCAGAAAGCGAGGACGCACGCGTGCGATCGAGAAGGCAACAAAAAGAGAAAAAAAATACAAAAAACGAGCGAGAAAAAAAAACCAGAAAAAGTAGCGAGGATGAGAGAAAGGTCGAAGCGAAACGAAAAATCGAAAAAAAAAGGAGAAAAACGGGAGGACTAACATGTATGTACGACGACTTTTACGTCACACGCACGCGAAAATGTTGAAAGACTGCTTCCAAACGACTTCAGGAAACTCGTTCAACGTAGAATTATTATTTCGTACTGAAACGCAGTATCTGAATACGCAATTGATTTAAAGGGCAGGACCTGAACTAACTAATGTAAAACGCAAAGAGATATTATCCGCATCGAACGAACGTGTATGATGTTTAGTAATAATGTAATTGATAACGCGCGTGATTCTGCCAAAGATCAACGGGGCCGTTAAACTGATAAAGAGATTTTACACGCACCGACCTCGACGTTTTACGTCGTTGTAATTCAAAGTAAGATAATCATCATCGCGTAAACGAGACGATGATTGAACATTTGTGCTTAGTACTTACACCGTCGTTGTATCGAGATCCGTGGGGAGGCGCTGCTTTCGTTGAAAATGCAATTCAGTCGCGAAACAATCGGCGCGAGGTCGGTATCGATAAATGGCTTTTTTTCGGGCAGAAACACGGCGTATGTAATTCGATGGTACCGAATGGATAAGGTACTCGTGGTTAGCATAGGCCAGGAATGGGAAAATTGTATTTTAAAAAGTATTCAAACGACGAATTCCTTCTCAGTTTGTATCGTCTTTCCACGAGAAGAAAGCACAGCGTGTTTACATCCCCACTCTTGCTGCAGTCCGCTGTTTGGCTGTCACCGTTTTCGACCAGTACCTGTGAATCAGCGGACTGTAACAAGAGTGGGGATGTAAACACGTTGTGCCTTGTTCTCGTGGAAGCACGGTAGCTGTGCAACTACGTGATACCTTTATTCAACTTGTTCGTCGAATACAGAATACATAGGTATCTTGTAATAGACTGATCAATAAATGCCGAATATATTAGCATTTCGTATTCGATAATTGTGTAAGCGTAGAATAGTTTATTCGATTTCAGTGTTCGATACATTTTAATCTAGGTAACGAATATCGAATAACTAAACGATTGTTCTGAAGATTTTTATCGGAACAGTTTAAGTACACATCGTAGTCGTATATATACTATATAGTATTATCGTGATGTTTGTTCTTCAAATTTTAATATGTTTTTTTTTTATAGATTTACAAATATAATTATTCGTTTATTTAAAAATTTGTAGATTTCATTATTTACGAAAATTTAAAGGGCTTTACGAGACCCTTTATACATTCGTAAATTAATTTGTTTATAAGTATATAAATATTTATAAAATTCATGAATGCATCAAATTTTATAAATTCATATATTTATAAGCTGCTTAGAAATAAAAAAAAACTCGGTTTGTAAATTATTTGAAATTCTTTAAAATTGTCTGAAGCATCTAGATTTCTTAAAAGTTGATTTCAAGTTATATTATTTAAAATTTATTTTTGTATGTGTATGAAACTTGAAAAGCAAACTATGTTAATGCCCATATACAGACGACCCGAAACAGTGATGTATTTTTTATTCGTCAGTAAATCTGAATGTAAGTGTTCTTTACTAATTAGATACCGAAAACAAAGTAATGCATTCTGTTGTTCGACGACGCGTCGAATACATGGTACCAGGAATATTTAACATTCCATAGCACGAATGGAAAGAAACTACAATCGAATATCGATAATTGATCATCGCAGAATACAAATGTTAGGTTATATTCGTTACGTTAAGTGTATTCCGATTACAAAATAATTCGAATCTGCCCATTCCTGGTATAGACTTTGTTCCGGTTGAAACTCGAGGGACGTTTTTACACTTTGTACGACATTGTTTAATTCGCTTTAGAAGGAAAAAGGTGTACCCGCGATGAAAAGTAATTGTTAGCGCTAGCACAGGATATTCTCTTTGGCCGGATGCTTGCGTTTCAGGTGATCGACTCTTAGGAACGTATATATCGAGGAGCATAACACGTAGCGACTTTGTTTCGAGAGAAAAGATTTCACTAATGTCGTAGACAGCAAGTTTCCGGCCGAAAGCGTCATTGACGATAGCCCAGGTAGCAAAACGGTGACTGTCGACTGATTTGCTTCGGTAAGCTAGAAAGAAAGAGAGAGAGAGAGAGAGAGAGAGAGAGTAAAAAAAAGAAAGAAGAGCGTTTAGATATGTGTAAGCAAAACAGAAGAGGTTAGAATGACTCGATGTAATAATCGTGCGGTTACCTCCTTGCGGGGAGGTGCTTTTGCACATTTTAGGCGTGCTTTGGCTGGCGAACGTGAATGCTTATGTGTAATGACGACAGTGTACGTAAATTAACGAAGCCTCTGTGTAAGTTTTGTATCATTATATTTCGATTCAGGGTGTTTGTACGTTACGGTTCAACGATCGAATATTTTCTCGTTACTCATGGAAATAGATCGTGATACCATTTACGTCCGTGTAACGGTGATCGAATTAGATCAGTCGGTTAACGTTGGCCAGCCAAATTATAGAGAACGAACCGTAAGTCAAACGCCATTTTATTAATGCGCAGCAGAAAGAGCGAAATTCGTGCGACGTTCGAGGATACGCGTTAATATCTGGATTCATATCCATCGTTTATGTATCGAGGAGTAGCAAAGGTTTATCGGGACTAAGTATGTTGCGTTGTCGCCAAAGAATGCCTCTGCTACGGCGCCTTCTGTTAATTATTAAGAGACGTAGCTTTTGAATTGTCAGATTGCTAACTGGGATATTTTAGTCACGTAAGCTGGATAACTTGTAAAAATGCAATTTTTGTACTGTTATAACGTTAAATAGACGAAGGTACACTGACGTTGTAGCGTGAAAGAACATTTTTCAATAAAAAATTTTTCATACGCAAAATACGTTCACTGTATTTCCTTCGGCATTACGTTCTTTTCTACGATCAATGGTGACATTATTACGACGTATCAATCGTCGGACGCCATCGTGTTTGATATTCGAGATTGTAGATGGATTCAGACCAGAGTCAAACAAGCGTCGAAATAACGGACGTTTGTGTGTCTTTCTTTTTTTCTTCCCAATTGAAAAAAAGAAAAGCACAGGAATTGTCCGGTGTTTGACTCTCGTGTGATTTTGGCGTAGACGCTGTGTATTACAAATGATACAGGATCGAGCTTCTACGTTCTATGTATTACTTTTGCCACGCTATTTGTAATAAAAGTTGCATGGTCTGGGTCTTGTGTTTCAACTTGGCCCACATAAAGTTTTGTTATCAAGCCCATTGTATGACATATGCGATATTTATTACTTTTTTCTTTAATGAAAGTTTTGTCTTATCGAATAATTCTTAATAAAATAAAGGGGAAACAAAAAACATTTCCACGGTTGGACAGTAAGTGATTTTATTTCATACGTAGAAAGGAATAACCTAGACAAAAGATAATTTGAATAACAGTGTCCAAAGGGTTTAAACATCTATAAAATCAAACGCACCAATGTCATGGTTCTCTAAATGGTATTTATTTCTGATACATTTCACAGTTTGTGAACTGCCAAAGAGGCAATCCTGTAGCGATTTAGTCGCAAAGGATACAGTGAATGTTAACACATTACCGTTCATATAACACCAGTATTTAGACCTGCTTCGATATCGTCGAAGGCCGCATCTAAGCAAATGATTCGCCCGATTAATGTTTTTAGTAGCACGATATTATTAGGTACGTACACGTAGGGTAGACTTAATAATGTAATAGCGCGTTGTGTTCGGATTGCATCGGGCTCTTAAAATCCCCAGAAATACGAGAAATTTCTTTCATACCCCTATCATAGAAATTCATTCTCAACAAAACGCATAATCGTCGACTTCCTTTTACATACCTACGTAACGTACGTTTCCGTATCTAGTACAAATAACTACAGAATAGTAATAAATACTTATCATCTACTTAACGCTTCTTTAAATGCATGAAGTGTAATAAGTTCAGAGCACAAAGTACGTGCTCTGAGACTCCTGCCCTTTGCTATAGAACTTATGTTGGTATACATTGACAATTTGCGATGAAAAACTAAGGCAGCATAGTTTTGTCGTGTAAAATTTTAATGCAACTTTAGATTTCACTAACGTCTAGAAAATTCGCTATTATTAAAAGATTAGACGATAACTCGCTTTTGATTGAAACAATACACATTTAGTTTATTTTGCGCAATTAAGGGCACTAGTTAACATCTTATTAGTTTTCTGTGTGTCGTGTATCGGTGATCGTACACGATGTCAGGATAAGGGAAGCTTCTCTTCTCCTCTCCGAGTAGGGCCGTGGCACTTGGCCCGACATGAGCGTGAGGGGGTTTCGTGATGAAACTTTGGGGGTACCCGGAGCCCCCTCATAGCGTTAGAGGTAGACCACAGTGAGGTTTTCTCCCCTAAGGAATCGGGATGTCCATGAGGATATCCCCACTTACAAAAAACAAAAAGTTTTCTATGAACAGCACATAAAATATACATACATAAATTAAATAAATTAGCAAAGTGTACAGAAACAAAGAAGATACTAAAAAATATTACAGTACAATGTAAAAGCGAGATATTTCTATTGGAATATTCTATATCGTTCTTATAAGTCTGATCAATCTCAATACTCAAACGTTTGACATCGATACATACATATTAACGTCTTGCTTCATTCATAAGGAACCAAGCATTGTTTCACAATATGCTTTTTACCTATTTGAGTATTACGTGTTGGTAACATAACACGACTGGAATCAGTTTTCTGTTGTTCAAATAAAACTTCACGCGTCAATGTAACAAGACAAATTTGCTACAAGTTTAATTTCAAGTTATTCTTGCTCGACTATTATACTTTTTAATCTCATTTCTCTTACGTTATAACATATTGTACTTCTCGGCAGATAACTTTGCTCGTGTTTCGGTTAAGAAATCGGTTTTAATGTTTATAAATGCCTACCTTAAAAAAGCGTTTCGTTTAATTTAGTCACAATGTATACATCGGAACAAAAGTACTACAGAAAGAACAGAAGCCACTTGTAGCCGTCGACGTCATTCTTTAAATATATTCGTATAATACATACTTAAAATTTGACGTTATTACGTATCGTATGCTTAATAGTATAAACACCGATTCTTCCTCTTCGAGTCTCGCTTATTTACTCTATACACATATATACATTCACCAACGGTATACTCTGTACTCTTTTTAGCGTTAACCAGCCTGGCGCTGCTGAGAACGCATCAAAGACTACGAGAATGTTATAACCAAATTTAAAGGCAGCTTAATATGCTAGATGGATTAGATTCTTTTTCTTCTTTTTTCCTTTTATTACAGATTGGCATTACATAGCGACGTGGCTTGAAATTTATGTTGCGCCGAACCCTGTTTCTCTCTTATATTCCCTGTTTAAAAGCGCGTATTTCTAAAGAACATCTTTGAACATCTCACGATTACAATCGTTAAAACTACGAATTTGATCGATATATTTTCATTTACGATTTAGAAATCGAACGCACAACAAGTATCACTTTGAATCATCCGCAAATTGGAACGAAAGGCTCCGTGTCAAGCTTTTCTCGATAATCGTTCATTTTTTTTTTTTTTTTTATCTTGATCTCGGTACACTCCGTATCGAATACAGTCGTTGAAAAAGAAAAATCGAGGGACGTCGAGAAGAACGGTGTTCTCCCTGAAGGTTTCAAAGTTTCACGGACTCATAGAAACGCGTACCGTATTCCTCGCTCGTACCAACCCTCACTATACTCGAGATGTTAACACTAATTAACAGTAGTTATTCTTATAAAAGCTTTGTCCGTTTTGTTCGAGTAAAACAGTAAAGCGTTGCGAGCCTAGACTAATTATGCATAGGAAATAATAACATTGTTCCGAATACTCCACTTATTTTTTTAATTTTTTTGTTTGTTTTTATTTGGAATAGCGAACGAGATTTTTCATTTAATTTTTAGTTTTTAATGTTCGGTAAACCTTACGTTTAGGGGAGGCAGCTGCGATGACCTTGACCTTGATATATGTTGTCATGGTCACCTACTTGAATGACCCTCGGAAGGTTTTAGCCGTCGCTCGTTTTTTATTAAAAAGTTATTAATAAAAATGTATTAATACTATTACACTAAAATGTGCGTATACGTATACTGAATGTGACCTTGACGTTCACACAGTTTATGAAGGTCACACTCTTGAGCATCCCCCCAAAAAGTTATAGCTACCTCTCGTTTCTTATTAAAAAGTTATTAGTATATAAAAATGACCGAAAACAAAAAACAAGAATATGGAATTTCGTTCCACGAGGCAACATATGTCAAGGTCAAGATCATCGGAGCTGCCTCCCATAAACGTAAGGTTTACCTAATGTTCTTTCCTTTCCATTCTTTTTCCACGATCAGTGCGCGAATACTTTACAATGCCTTATGTGATAGTAATTAAATAAATTTCGAGTGAAATTCGGGTCTGACGCGTAGCAGAGTATCGGAGACATTGTCGGGGAAAATATTAATTCTATTCCGATTTCGACTAGGCAGCAAACACGGTCGTCGATCGACCGCGGGGTTCACACTTTGCAGTTGTTCCTCGTGGTTCCCTCGTATTCGAACCGTTTGAACAATACAAACAGAACGCGTGAGTGGCATTCACATAATTATATTTGGTGACGTTCCGGAAATGATTAATTACAAAAGAATGACGAGCACGGTTCAGCGTCAGGAGTGAAGCGAATGGAGGAGTTACAGTCGCATCGAAATCAATTAGCCGCTCAAGGCCACCGAAAAGTTAACCCTATCACTCTTTTAGTTACACCTCTTTATCCAATTTTCGTAGGCGAAACTTCAAGCGCTGTATCGAAAGTGGCTTTGGACGATTAATTGAGTTAGATTCAATTAGAGTAAATGTGCATTCGTCTAGAGCAGTGTTTCTTAACATGGAGGTCTTTTACAATCCAAATGGGAGGTGGAAGAAAATTTTTAATATGGATAAATATCCTATTTGTTTTTGATAGGGCGTCTTTCAACAAAATTTGGAAACCACTGAGCTAGAAGAATTACAGTTCCGTAGATTGAGCTAGACAAGCTTCGCTCTTTTCATTTGCAAACGTCTCTTTGGTCTCGTGTATATATATATAATTCAAGTGAAATAAAAATAAATTTCAATTCGCTTCCGGCGCATAATCATCGTTGAGTCGCACGCACATCTCTACACTCCGTCCCTTTCTTTCTTTCTTTTTTTTTTTTTTTGTTTTTAATATTTATTTCCATGTACACTTAACGACTAATAAACCTCTAATTTCAATAATTCTATTTCACAATATGTTCCATTGTGTGATACGCCGCACGCGCGTGTGTACGTGTAATTATATATGTACTAACAAATAATATGGCATTACAAAAATGTACATACAGTCGTAACGTCGTGACTTTTTTTTAATAATCGAATATGCTAATAATACTATCGGTGTCATGCAATATTAATGTCACATTCTGTGTTCTTACGGAGGTAAGGACTTTCGAACATCCTAGATTTATCGTTTAAACGTCAGTTACACGTTTCTCTAAAACGAAAATACATATGGGTTCCTTTGTGTTTATGTGTGTGTGTGTGTGTTTTTATATATATTTCTGTAACGCAATTGTTTAGAGTATAAGAGTATACTCACCATTGGCAGTACGGAAAAGGAGTGTGCGCCAGATACTTAAGACATGCGACGAATTAGAGATTGAAACTTTTTCGCTCTTTCCTCTCATTCTCTCATGCAACTTGCATACACACACGCAGCACATGCTTTCTGTATTCTCAGATTGTGCATATTTACCGAACGTAAATTCTTAAATCGAACAACGAATACACCATGTGTCTACCTAATACAATCGATATCAGCAGCAAGATAAACCAGTATCCGCTCTGCTGTTTCACGATACGAATGAATTACCGTGATTCACACGATGGACTGACCCCCCTCCCCGGATCGTGCATCGTTTGTTCGACCTCGATGCACGCACAACAGTACCGCTAAACGTAGAATTTGTTCGTTAACCTGATTCGTAATACTAATAATTTATACTGAAATATATCTTATATCACATATTTTTTTTTTTTTAGTTTCGGCCTTGAAACCGCGAATCGCTCCAGTCTTCGATTACCAGAGCCCCTCGCTCAAACTGTTCGCTCGACGTACATATATTCTCCTGTTCCTACACTGTATCAGTTTCACTTAAAACGTATCTACATAACACGTTCCGACCGGATTATTCGCGTTTAGAATATAAAAAAAAGTATCCCCTGTATTTAACCCTCTAATGCATGAATTTTATTTCTCTTTCGACAGAGAAATTATTTCTTTGTTACCTATACGTTCTTGGTTATTTATAAATAATGAGCAGCTGAATCTTTAGAGCAACTACGTCTCCCCACAAGCCTTACGGTACTAGGAAACGTGAGCGAATGGATTATTTTTTATCGAGGTCACCGATCAGGAACATTTGTGCAATAGAGGGTTAAGTGGATCCGACTTTAACAGATACGTTTAGGTATAGAACACGAACCGTCGAGTTTTTATCTGTGTTTCAAGCATCTTAGAATCGACCGTATCATAAGTGAAATTTATTACAAACGCGTTTCGCATCTCTGATCGCTTTTTCTACGGCCCAATTTACATGTTAGAAGAGTCGGGTTTCTCGTGCATACGCAGCCCCTCGACAGCCCCGAAGGCAGCGACGTGCATACTCAACGTCAGAGTTAGGCTAATTTTATTTCCGAATAACGAATAAAAATGTTGGATTCATTAAAAAACTAATTTAGGAATGAATGTAAAATTTTGTTCGTTGCTCGGAAGTAAAATTTGTCCAACTCTACCCAATGTTATGGCCGTCAATGTTTTTGCCCCAAAGAATAGGCAGGCCAAATAAATTTATTTTTTAAATATATTCTTTACAATTTCAGCCAAATAAAATTTTTCTTTCGAGTTACATAAAACTGACCTGTTTAAACCAGTGTTTCTCCATCCATTTGTTTATTAGTACGAGAGCTTTGCAAGCATTTACTTTGACTAAAGACATTTGAAAAAAGAATTTTATGTTTAATAAATACAAAATTTGATCGATAAAAAAATCAATAAAAACAATTTAATTTTTAATTAAAAATATAGAAATTCTCTTTATGTAATCACTGGTTTAAACAGGTATCTCGACATCTTTCCTTACTATAGCTCATCTTTAATATTAATATTTTATATAAATTATTTAACACTTCACAATTGTATAAAAGAATTACAATGAATTATCTTGTAAAGATCTTATAAAGATAATTCATCATAATAAATAAATAATGTTCACTGTGTAGACGTTCTGATTACCAAAAAACTGATACAAAAATTTTTACATACTTATTTGGCGGAGCAAATAAATATACGTATTGGACATTTTATTATTGAATTTACATGTACATATGTATATACTTTATCCTCACGCTTTTTATTAATTTACCAAAAAACTGTTAGATAATTTTCATAAACAGTCATAAATAGGGAGCTATACGACGCCATTTTTCTTTCGATCGGAACACTTTATTAATCCCTTCCCGTACATTAACGAGTCTGACTCGTGATGAAGATTTTGGCCCAAACGTAAACATTACGAGCCAGGCTCGCGGACAGCAAATCACGATCGTGATTGAGTTTTAGTTTCTATCGGTACGCCACAAGAGTCGGTCACGATTCTTATAATCTCTGTTACAAAGCAGTTTAACATCAGTCTGATCTGTTTACCGCGCGTTGACGCCTCCCAGTTTGGGCCCGGATTTCGTCGAGCTAAATGGCACGGGAAGGGGTTAATGTTGTTTTCTCAACTAACCTAAAGATATGCGTTCACGTGACATTAAAATCAGTTTGCACAATTCTGCAGTTGAGAGAACGTTTTGTCTTGTATCCTCTGTTGAAATAAAATACATGTAAATCTTCTTGATGCTATTGCAAGAATTCGGGTATAACTAACCTTCATAATCTCCATACTATTGAACAGGTCAGTAATCACTTAGATTTTGAGTTTTACCATTAAATCTGACAATAAATGTCACGGGAACACGTAGCTTAGCATCAATGACGGACCACGAGTTCAGAAATGCAATTTCGGTTATAAAGATGTCAAACCTGATTGTCATCCAATCTAAGATATGCTGTGTAGTAATCCAGCCGTATGGCGATCTGTGGTTAATATTGTTCAAGCAATGTAGGAAGTAACGCGTACGTTCCAAACGAGTCAAGTCTTTTAGACAGATCCAAGCTTCCGAAGTTTCCAACAAGACGTGCGTATAAAAGTTTGAGGCCTGCTGGTATTATAGATTAGAGTTGCGTATGGAGGACGTCCCTTAATCCTTCGATTTTCGCATCCAATTTTTCCTGCCGAGACTAGCGACGCTCACGGTGCTGGCAGTACTGGAAACACTTGCCAACGAGTTCAGGCTTACCGAATGTTAATCTTGAAACATGTGTACGAAACTGATTGGGAACATTCCTCTTCTTTCCGGGGCTCGTTCCAGCGCGCCTTCCATCCAATTGTCGTCGTCGGTTTGCTCGTTGGTGACAATGATAACTTCGCCTTCGCGGAAGGACAATTCGTCCTCGTTGTCGGCCTCGCAGTCGTACAGAGCTCGACAACGTCGTAGTCCGCTCAAAGTCGACAAAGTTGGCTAAAAGAAAAGCAACGAAGAAGTTAAGTTTGAGTTTGAGTGAACGATCTATCGACGAGACCATACTGCAAAGAGGTACAGAGAATGCTCCTCTACAGAATGTGTTTTCATGATAGTAAGAAATTCTATCTAAGATAAACTTTTCTACCCAATTGAATTCTATTCAGAAGCATTCTGTCCACCCCTCCGGTATATATTTTAGTTTTTCATGGACGAAGCAAGCACTCGTAAGAGCATTGAGAGTCGACTGTGACGAATATGTAGAATCCTTAGATTCAAAGGACAAATTGGAAATTCTAGATGGAAAAGGCAGAAGGAAGACAGTTTCTTTTCAACAATGTACATATGTAGGTCGTGCACGATTAAGTGAATATTATTTAATTCGCTTTTGTTTTACTATAATGAGTGTCATGCATGTAAGAAACTGATTTTGTATAGAATATGAGATTATGTTTGTATATCAACGCATGTTCTGCTTTTCTTAGCAGCTTCATAGAGTGCTCTATAGGTGACCGCAAAAGGATTCTTGGGTATTGGGTTCATCTTAAATGTGTATGCAAATGTAATACTTTAATTATTTGTTCTTATTATTCCATAGTCATTGAACTAGAATTTCCAATAATATGCGCCAATTTCATGCCTGTTAAAAGTACTTTTTAGATTCAGTTCTTAGATTTAAACTATTAATACAATCTTTAGTTACATAGTGGAAGATAAATGTGGCATGTCTAATTAGAAATATGTACAACGGATCTTTTGTATTGTTAATTATGAAATGCCTTATAGCTAATCACACCACTAATTTCATCCACTTTGCAAAATTACGAGGGTAGTATTATCTCAGAATGATTAGAGGAGTTTTTTCTTGCATTCAGGTGCTATTATCAAACACAAATTTGATAGATTCATGCGAGAATTAAGTTTCAAAGTACGCATCCTACCATGTCAAATTTTGATTAATGAAAATGTTGCATCAACGGGTAGGATTGGTGCGCGGGAAGCACGAACATTGATCAGAAAATTATATCAATAATTCAGTATTAAATATCTTTTACGTTTCATCTTGATGATACTGTATGCTTATTACAATCATACAGTAGAAATCTAGGAGGTAAAGTGACTTTGATTAGGACTGAACAAAACGACCGTCTTGAGATTACATTAATAAACGATTTGGCGAATTAAAATAAAATGTTACTTTCACAGAAATTATATGCAAAGCACTGACAATGGTAAATATGGTTACGGACAGCACGACTGATCATGCAAAGCATTACCACACTTGAAAAGATCGTTTCAGTAGCAGAATATTTTTATATTAATATTTTACTGTTTCCATTTATCGGTGGCTTAAAATAAAAAATACTTTCAAATGATTCATTTCAATAAACGTATGGTCAAACAATAAGATAAATAGCTCAAACAGCAAAAATAAGTAACACGATCTAAAAATGTAAATTTATGCCTGTAAACGATGACACGAATTTATTGGCTAGGCAACGAAACCTACAGTGACATTAATAATATGTTTGAAAACGCAAATTCTCAACTATTAATTGTTTCGTTTAGATATCAAACGCGAGTATCTCCTTTTCTTTTTATTACTGTTTCGCCCGTGTATTGTATATCAATGCTAAAATACATTTCAAGTGTAGCAAGCTGTAATGTGGGATGGCTGATGTTTACCAGATTCAGATTTGGGAGCAAAGATGAAGGCTCCTCGGCGTAGCTCTCTAGCCTGGACCGGTCCCTTCGCTGTACCAACAATGGTTAATAACAAACCATAAAGCACTGTCTTTGAAATACATGCAGTGTCTAAATACCGATTCGAAATTAAAAAAAAAAAAAAATACACGCAACGTGTCACGAGGTTGTGTTGCAGATAATACTTTCCTATCATCTTTAAACGCTTTCGTATAAAAATTTTTCTAACCATTATTTTCTGCGATAGAATGAACAATTTTATATTGGCGTTACTAAATTTTGTAAAAATTATTGGTAAAATTAGTACATTAAACTTTCGATTATTGCTCCGGCTGTATTTCGAAGTGATATGAATTAATGATTTATGCAATATAAAGGGAAAATGTGCATCGTATTACTGCAAAAGTTTACCAACATTAATATGTAATGGAAGTATGATGTTTATGAACAATGAAAATGTACAAATTCTACTAAGAATCACGGGTAATGTGTGTGATTAGTATGATATGTAAAAGTACCAAAGTCTGTAAAAAAAAAAAAGAATCAACGAGAAGCTATTATTGACTACTAAATGGGAGAAGTGATAGGTGTAACATCGTGTTAGTTAAAAGTTTCTGTAGTTAGTATGTATATTAAATGAACAATAAGTATTTGAACGGATGTATATACATACACATACGGCATTAAAGGAGATGTTAGAAATCTACCGGCATTGATGATTGCGCCAAATAAAATATAAATAAAACATCATTCGCTTTAGCGTGAAATAATATCTTAGTAAGTTTGCATTACATATCCGAAAATAATATTTAAAAAAAAAAGAAAAAATAAGGATTATTCCTCGATTTCCTTGTTTCAGTATTTCCCCGTTTGAAAAAGTCCCTTTCCATTATTTGTAAATACCCAGAAAAGATTTACCAACTTGTATCAGAGATTTGTAACTTACCTTACGTGGAGGAGGAACAGGATTACCCAAACCATGATCCGAACACATTGAACTTAATGACTCGCTACTGCGACCATTGCTCAATCTCGACGAATTGACGCCCGATGGCGCGGGAGGTGGGGGATTTCTCGGTCTCTGAATCGTCGATGTATTCACTTTGTCCGTACCTAACGAACAGACGGGACATAGTAAGTTTCAGAAATGGAAAGGAGCGAAAGATTGTTACGTTTACCCGAGCTAAGGCGGCAGTTCATAGAGAAGTTTGCGTGAATTTTCAAACGCACCGTGTCCCGTAGAAGAATCTCCACTGGGCGATCTTTTATGATGCTGACTGTTTAATGTATTTAACGCATGTGGTAGAGTATGTAAAGAATGACCAGCTAAGATCGGTTCGCTCGTTGTACGGCTATGCGTTGACGCTGCTAAGGACGCGGACGAAGGTAGTGTACCATAATGAGAGGAGGGTATACCACCTGTACTTCCGGCCGATGGTGGTGGTGGTGGTGCTACACGCTTCTTCAGCGACCCGTGAATATTGACTGATATATCTGGCGCCATGGGTGCAGGTACTAAAACAGGGGGAATAAAAGAAAATTAGAGATAATGGGAAAAGTCAGGCACCACTGATAAAAAATGTCATGTATTAATTCGATAAGAAATAAGTACCAGCAACAGGTTTCCTTGATTGTGGTGGTGGCGGTGGAGGCATTTGTTGTCTGTTTGTTGACGAACTTGGAGAAGAACCGCTTTGCAAGCTATCGCAAGTACTACTTCGGCTTCGTAGTGTCACTGGTGAATCTCCCGGTCCGGTACCACCACCACTGCCACCGCCGCCCACGTAAGAGGGTGGCCTACTGCGTGATTTCTTCTCGGGTGTTAAACATCCATTCTAAAGTAAATGAAGTAAAAATTTGTTTTTACGTTATCGCTGCTCCTTGTATTAGATTAATAGCATTTCCAATTGCGCTGTATGTTTACATACCCTATCTTCTATTATCGTTTCATCATCCGAGAAGTCGGTTGAGCCTTCATCGTGGGAGAGATTCCAATCGATATTGACATTGTCGAACAATGTTTTTTGTCTTTGTAGAGCGTGACTCAGCTAAAGACAATCGTTTGATTTTCATCATCATTGTATTACATGGTATGGTGTTGAAAAAAATTTAATGACAATTTTATTAACGGCTTTACCAATTCTTTACAAGTATGATGACCCATTTCCTGCGCGATATCAAGTGGCGTTTTATCCTGTTTGTTTCGATGTGTAGGATCAGCGCCTGCCCGTAACAACAACTTCATCGCTTCTGCTCTGTCGTGCCTCGCGCAAAGATGCAACGCCGTTTCTCCGTCAATGGTGGTTCTGTCTATACCACCTGTTGACATGTTTTGCACTAGGAAATCGACTATATGTAAGCTATTTCCCATTTCGCGCAAAATGGCTAAATGCAAAGCCGTTTCGCCTACATCCTGTAAAGGAATAACGCAATTTTCATTAGTTCATAGTAGTGAAGCTTTTCATGCTGGACAAGGTGTTTACAGATACTCGTTTAAAGAATTAGAACAGTACTAGTTTGTCAAAAATTGAAAAAATTGATTACCGATGTTGGCAACGGTGCAGCCAAATCCACGTTCTCGGCATAAACTTGCAGAAGTTGTTGCAAGTCGCGATTATTAACAGCGTGTTCCAAATCGGAGAGTAGATCTCGCTCATCCGCGCAAGTGTTCATTACGTATCTCTTATCCACATATTTTGCTCTTATGAATTCGTATCTTTCCTCCCTGTATAGTGCAGCAAGGCACAAATTGGATTATAGACAAATTAATTACAATTGGTACTGTGCCAGAATTCCAACTAGGACGGTATTTTAAAATAAGTATTGCAATTAATGAAAATTTTACGGAATAGAAAGTCTGAATTTTTGTACTGTCTAAATTATATTAATACGTAATGAATATTTTAGGTGTTCCAAGCTGTGATGTATTCGCTGTTCAGATAGAAGAGTTATAAACTATAAAAATCTGGTGAGTTGATTACTTACATCGTTGACGTTGGCGTTGGTTTGTGATTATGGTGCAACGTAGCTTCCATCACTTCGTTAAACGCCTGATTAGTCATGTGACGCGCAAGTAGAAGTTGCGCGGTGCCTACGTTGTCCAGCGTTAGAGACTGTATTCTAGATATGTGTACCCCTAAGTCTCGATGTATTCCACTACATTCTATGCACACGATTATGCCGAAATTCGTGGATAGCCACGTGGCATCTGTGAAACAAGTACAATATTTTTATACGATATTATACAGAAAGAAATTCTACGTATCTGTCTATATCTTGTTGGGCATTCGTTTCGATATTCCGCAGTAGTACTAACAGTAGAATTTTGTATATCGCCTGGCACGAATAAAAGAAAAGATGCACCTAATAATACTAACGTTTCACTCTCGAAACGTGACCTCATCAGATTTACCATTTTGCGAGGAACAATCACAGCATTGGTCATTTCCAGGTAACCTCATGACACACCGGATGACGGCCTGCTGTAGCTCGACTAAACTCGGGTTTCCGCTACCAGCTTCTGCCTTGCCGCTAGCGTCGAAAGCTCGAAGCAAAGCGCGTTCCTTGCAGTTCACCAAAACCGACATCCACGCTCGTTGATCTGCTTCATCCTCCGCTTGAAAGTGGTACGTTCTGTTGTCTGAAACGATGCAAGTTTAAGAGTACTATAGAGACGCATGATCACACACATTCATTACATTTTAAATTTCGACGCGACTCCTCGTGATACGAGGGCCGTCCAATAAATTCTTAGAAAAAGATAGAGAAACAAATTATTTTAGGTAGATTTTTTTTAATTTTTCAACATAATCTCCTTTTAGCTCTATATACTTTTACAAACGTTTCTTCAACTTTTTTAAGCCATCTAAAAAGTAAGATTTCGGAAGGTCCTCAAAATAGGCGGTGACCTTCTCCTACGTTGTAAGAATTCGAACTTTAATTCCATGATTTTGGCCATTGAAACTGCACAAATGTGCACCCGTGCATTGTCTTGATGCAAGAGGAAGTTTCTTACTTCGATCGACAATAAAAATGAAACCATGTGGTGGATATAACTGAGACTTTGACAGCTGTCTAGTGAGTCATGATGCTTACTAAAAACAAACCATTTTCGATGCTACGAGCGCCAGGTCTTGGATTTTCTAAGGAGTTATTGAACAACCCTCGTAGTTTGCGTAAATTTAAATATTCTTAACATCCGTTCGTAATTCAACTTACAGCTAATGAGATCAAAGCCCCGTTTATCGTCCGGTACAAGCTTAATTTGGCAGGTTAATAAATTCACCCTCGTAGGTGGTTTATTCTCGTCCGCGTGACAAATGTCGAGGTAGCCCTCCGCTTGAACGGCGCATCTTCTCTTCTGCCAGACCCTCCTCATTTTTCCTTCGCTCTTCTTCAGAAGGTGGCCGGACCGTGTGACGCCGTGTTGCTTGTCCCCTTGAAGCTGATGAAGCGAATATCCTACATTCGCGTTTACATTCAACTGGAAATCATACAATCTTGAATGTTCACGGAACGCGTCGCTGAAGGGTGCAGGTTCAAGGTCGTTAAGTTTACCTCTTTGTCGCAACCGGAACTTCTAAGGAGGTTCCTCAGTTCTGTTAATCGCCTTCTTTCCTCGTCCTGTGTTTGCCTGATCTTTTGCAGCTTCACGCTCAAATCCGCTACGTACGAGCCAAAATGCTCTATGGTCTTTAGGCCGTCTTGAAAGTAACTGTAGGAATCGAGTGTTTACATTGAGTATCCTTAATAGCGCCTGAACACATTAAGTACCAAATTATAGGACATTGGTACTTAACGAGTTTATGACTGTGTGTGGTTCAATATCAGAAGGTGTCTCAATGAACTTACTTGGTTTGCGCATGATAATATTCGACTAGATGCTGAAGTAGTTCAATTCCTTTTTTTGTTTTGATTTCGTTCACCTTTATCAAGTACTGCAAAATACAACAGAAATTAATTAAAAAATTTGGTTACTAGATACGTATGTGCATTAAAGAAAAATATTCTGTTCTCTGAAAATATTTTCTTTTCAAAATCAGTGGACGAGAATTCATTTCGAGCGCGAACGGTCAACGGTTCCTTTTGCAGGGCGTATAAATCTGTACCGTAGATTGAAACAATCGTCGTAATAAATACAGAGAATTACTGTCGTTTGTTCCAGACACGATTCGGGGGCCTCACCTCGCACATTTGCAATTGAAACAATCTTCTCTCTTTTTCCATCTCATCGGCGATCTCGGCCGGCGTAACTTCCGTCCGAATGAGGCCAGCCTCTTTCGCATGCTGCTTCTTTTCCTTCTCGATTTTCGCGTATTTCGCTTCGTAATCCTTCCACGCCTTCTCGAACGGTCTCTTCAAGTCGCCTTTTACACCTCTGAGATCCCCCTTTAGCACCGAGTCCAGAGGAAACATTACGATGTTGTTAATGTTCTGCATCTGTCGATGAGAAAAGCAATAATAGTTGTGATTGGATTCGCAGAACCGGTTAAAATACCGTTTACCAACCTTTTTCGGCCTAACGCTCCCTTTTCTTAAATTACGAACACGTCGATTATATTATGCGCTCAACGCGTTCGGTGCAGAGCGAATTTTTAAACCTTTGAAATACTTGAAATTCGAAAAAAAAATTAAATCTCTTTCGAATTATTCGATCGTCGAGACAATAGAGACAATTATTACTTAACGAGCAGACATATTAAGGTTTTAACTCTTTCTTTCCTTTATATGTAGCAACAATAGCCTTCTGAAATCCTCTTATTCTACGGATTCATTCCATGTGTATAAGTCCATTCGCGTCGGAAGCGGTACTTTAATGCGTAATAAACCTCTACTGTTACCGACTGGCCGTCGCTCATATTTAGAAAATCCGTATATGTATCATCCGCGTACGTACCAAAGTCTTCATCAAAGCACTCAATTCTTTCGTGACGACCGCGAACTTTAAGAAAGCAGCACCGATATCCGGTTCCTGTTCTTTCAGAGCCGCATCGCCAAGCCTTTCCAGCGCCCTTCCAAGGTATACTTCGTTATCGACATGAGCTGTTGTACAAAAGAATTATAAACACTTATAAAACGAATCAATTTATAACTAAGTTTTACAATTAACTTTGTAGCTCAAAGTACAGGAAAAAATTGAATCTGATATAAGAATAATGATATAATTTTTTTTGTGCAACAATGCAATATGGATTTGTGCTTGTTCTTTGACTGAAACCACGCGGTGCAAAGTTTAGGAACAAAATAATGCTGCAACGATCATAATACATTTCTTATAACAATGTACCTTGCACTTTTATGGGGCATATACACAGTTGTCCCTACTACTAGCGCCTCTAGCGGAGAAAAGAAAGGATTAAGAAAGTTTTTTTGTTCTACACCACGTTTCTGTACGCAGAAACACAACTAAAAAAAACTGTCGGCAGGTACGACTATAATGCGAGCGAAGCCGTAAGATTGAAGCTAGTTTTTTTTACACAAATCGATTCTTTCCATCATTTTGCATGCTTATAAAACTGTTGTAACTTTATTAGATCAAGAGGCTTCACGAATTATATCTTACGTGAAACGCGTAAGGGATAATCGTTATTTCTAACTAGAAACATTTTTCTTCGACACAAGATACGAACAAGTACATGGACAAAGAGTAAAAAACACGAAACCCCGTAGAAAATTTAATTAAACGAAGAACTCGACGGTCCTCGTTATACGCGTGTCTCACATTGCACAGCCACTAGGAAAGCAGGAGAGGAAATGTGAAACATGTAATTCGAGGTTCGATAAGAATTTTTTTTTATTCAATCCGCACTCACCGTTTCCAGAATTGTGTATAGCTTTGATCGCTTTCTTCAGCTTCGTCAGACCATCCCTGTCGAAGTCCAAAGTCTGCAACAATAATTATTGGAAACGTAAGAAATTCTCGACGCACGGTTTTCTTTTTAACATTCCTACTTGTACGCGCCACGCGTTACAAAAATAACATAGGGACAGGTGAAAGATATTTTTAATTCGATTCTCGTGTATCGCGGGCTAGGTTAGGTTAACTCGTGAGTATTTCATTAACCCACTGCACTTAAAATACTAACCGTGGCACACCTCTTAGAACATTTTTAAAAAGAAAAATAAAGTTATAAAATAGCAGCTACGTTAACCAGAAGTTTTAGTAGTCATTATGCATATGTTATACTGTTGTGTTATAAGGATGCGTCTCTCCTGAAATGACCTTATAATTGTTTTGAAACGGATATACATATGTAAAACCGAAACTGAAACTGGATATGGTTGGAGATATAGGTTCTTCATAACCGTTTCAAGACCCAAAACCGTATCGTAACTGTTTTCAAGCCCTGCCATTGTATCTTTCGTTCGTTATACGAAATTCGTATCTAGATAAGAGTTTCGCCGGTCTCTGTCTCGAGAGGACGTAGCGAAAAGGCTGAGAGAGGCGGAACGCGCGGCAAAAGGCGTCGCCGACTGTTAAACGCGCAAAGGAAAAGCAACAACAACGAGAAAAGGAATTCCCGAGTAGAACGAACCAGCGATACATTTTATCGGATCATGCTCCGCCGGGTGGAAGATTCGTATATCTTCGATCCTCGCGGCGCGCGGCCTTCTTATCGTCGATTTTTGCATTTCGCGCCGTCGCGCTTTCACGATTTTCAATAAACTCGAGAGGATCGCCGACGCAGGTAAAAGTATATTGGAATTCTTATCGAGCCGGCGTAGTTTGCTCGAACAATCACAATTAAATCTGCATCCCGTCCAGATACGCGTGGACGAGTCGAATATATTGGAACGGACGATTCGCCTCTTTCAAAGATGGCCGAATTTCTTATCTACGAGAGTTCGAAAAGTTCGCAGCCTTGGCCACCCAACGGTGATATTGGCCAAGGTTTGTTTACCTATCTCGAACTGTCGTTTGTTTTATGCATAACCTCTAAGTTTAGTGTCGATATGACTGGTAGTTCGCGGAAGAAGTTGATTTTAAAAAACCTAAATTAAAAAATAGTAATTACAATTTAACAGACAATATAAAACCAAAATCGAAGAGAACATAGAAATTTATTTTATTCAGCGTAGACCACTATACTCGGCCCTTCGAACGTGAACAAATGTCGACGCAAGGCGTCGCGATAAATATCAGACGTTTTAATAAGTCGGTCCTCAGGGTTGAAGAGGAACGCGCGTATTGTACAGGGGGTTGAAGGGTCTTGTTTTATTCTTCTTTCTTTTTTCGAGCCGACAGATGATTGCATCAAGATATATCACGACGCGTTGTTGAGCACGTTACGCTGATACGGTAGTTTGCTCGACAATCGTTTCTTCAGGAATTTGCATTCGCTCGACGTGTCATTCCTTTCATCGACGAATCCGTATCGAATTTCGCAGTCGAGTTCTATCAAACTACGATTTTCTAGATACGACACAAGCACAATTTAACTCTGCAATATTATACCTACACATGATCTCGTTGACATTTTATTAACATGAAATTATTTTCGAGTAAACATTTCTGGCCACACATTATATTTTCGGTAAGGAATTTTTTTCTCGACAGTGAATAGGATTTCGGGGGTATGTCTATTCACCAAAAATGATCGAAATTGACACCCGCATCCGAAAATAATTTTTCCAGAACGATTTGAAATTTTTTTTCGCCAAAAAATTCAGCACCTACCCCACTATAAAATTCCAGATTTAACGAAATAAGTCACTGGTTTCCATTGTATCACCCTATGTGTTCTCAATACCCGGTAATCTCTTTTAATATAATCTACGAAACCATTGTCTTACGTCCAAAAGCAGCTACTACAAAGCAAGCGTAACGTATAATGATTACACGTTCGTTCTTTGTTGGAACGAACAACAATGTAAACTTTTTGGTTTTTCCGTTGCAATGCGTTAAATGTTTTCAGTAAATCTTTGTAAAGAATTTAATACTTTCTATTTTAAAACAAGAGTTAGCAAAATAATTTAGTTTGCAAATTTTTCGAGAAAAAGCTCGCGCGTCGAAAGTTTAAAAATTCCTATTTAACACAGGTGGCATGAAATAGTACGCTACAAGCTGAAATTTGTTCGGTCGAGAATTAACGGGTGTTGTCGACACGGAGAAAATTCAATCGACAGACTTTCCTTCGCTTGTATTATCGTCAAGTAGCTGCTGGTCGTACAGAGACATTACGCTGGGTATAATTGAAAAGTTAGAATTGAAGCGTTTGGATCGATGAACGACGTCCCTTATTGTTCACGCAATACGGCCGTTGGTAGCGTGTGAAGAGGATCGTCGAACAAATTGAATAAGATAGGGGACAGAATGACAGAAATTCAATCACTACCACCGACTCACATATTCTTGTTGTACCTTTTTTTTTGCTTGAGATTGAAAACGTCATTTCAAAGTTTTCCTACTGACAATTACATACTTCGAAATACTATGCCAGTGGTTCACAAACTGTGCGCTATGGGATATTTAAAATTTAACCACCCATAATTAACGTGATAGTAAAAGAACCAAATTCGTATAAAAATTAGACGTTGGAATATGGCGACTGGGATTTTTTCCGTGTAGAAACGACAGGCAGCAGAATTCTCATTAACAAGGCCAAACGTGAAATGCATTTTTGTTATTTCCGCGTCGGAATAATAGGCGGACATTGATAACGGCACGATAATAATAACACCGAACGTGCCACGGATACGAAAGTAACGAGAACTCGTTCTACGAATGAAACGACATTCTTAGGCGTGACCTTCGATCGAAGATTAAATTTACAAAAATTAAAATTAAAGCGGTATAAATCATCGAGAGAAATTTACAACGATGGAGTTAACTTGCTTCTAAAATTTGTTCGTTATTTGGCCATGTCGGAGGACCGTTTCTACTGACCTAGTAATAAAATACCGCGTCGTTCATTTTGTACCATAACCTCTTTTTATACGCGGCAATCTCACTATTGAACGGAGTTGGCAGACGCGACACGTTTTCTAATTTTAGTTATACGCATTCACAGAAACAAACGCACGACTGAACGACTTTCCTCGGAACACGAGACACAACGATAATAGCACACGTAATCTTACGTTATTACGGTGCCAAAACTGTGTCGTGTCTGGAAGCGGTAGTTTGCGAGTCGAGCATCCAAGGAAACATTCATAAATTCGACTTTATTAATCCATTAACACTTTGACAGGATTTACCATTATGATACTAGAAAAACTAATTCTCAAGTTAAGACGTTGAGCGAAATACATTTGAATAGAATTTGTGAATTTTAACAAGATTACGAAAATAAATACTGAAACAAATTTTAGGTTATGTAGTTTACAATGGTCTAAAATCAAAATTTTACTTACTGCAGAATATTATACAATTTTGATCTGGCAGTGAACGTGTTAAGTATCAAATTATCGTTTGTTTCGAAATTTGCATTTATTTTATACGCAACGCATCGAAAAATATTGATCCTTAGAATGTCAAAACGGGATGGGAACAAAGAAAGCATGTGGCGTGATTTTCGAGAATCGAGCGAGAAAAGAAAGTGCGAAAAGGAAAGAAAGAAAGTCGAGCGAGGGGACAAAGGAATGCGTCGAGCGAGCCAGTCAGAAAGGTGAAGCGAACGAGAGCGAACAGAGAGTCTTAAGAAACGATTAAATTTTATATTACTATCGATAAACCTTTTTTCATTTTATTGTCTCGATTAATATCCATACAACCGTTGGAAATTTCTTACTAATCTCGATTGGTATAGGCAGATCGGTATTTTAAACTCAAATTGCAAAATCGATCGAACGTTCTCATCCCCGTGTAAGAGAAGACAGGTTTCCATTAAGCGAGTTTGGCATAGAACGCGGCCGAGGGCGTTGCGCAATCGTCGTGCAAGCGATGTTGCGTTACGCAGAAATCGCAACACGTTTCGGAAAACCGTGTCGTCCGCTTGGACTCTCGAATTGGAAACTTGCGAAACGCGAACTGGCCAGGCGTGCAAGTGGAAATTGGCAAATGTGTGGCCCACTCCGGAACTGACCTCCCTTACAGCCGCCGAGCCAACTCCGGAGAACGGATAAAACCGATGGAACAGGTTTTGCACTCCTGAGCCAATGAACCTCGTTTAACATACGGTACACTAACTTCAACGAGCTTAACGCCTTAACAAAATTTCCCGTTCGCTGTAAATACAACGACGCGTTCGTTTCCTAATTTTGTCTCGTTTAATATCGTTCGACACCAGGAGTTCCGAAGGATTCTCGAAAGTTATCGAATTTATAATAATTTTTTTCGAACATTCTAGAGACTTCCGAATATGTTCGACATCCCTTGTATCCCTGTTGGACACATACTACAGTAGAGGTTAGGGATGGCAAACAATGAAAAGCCATCGATAGTTTTACAATTAACGTTGAATGAAAGACGTATTGTTTTTAGAAATATATTTTGTTTATTTTTCTTGTGGATGATACAGGTCGAAACATGCTGTTACGCATAATACTACGTTACAATTTTTACGAATATACAGCGAGGAGCAGAATCGAACGCATGCACGAATTTTTAGGTTAGGGTCATACGAGCGTCAAAATGACGTGCGTTTCTATGTTTTTCCTTGTCTTGAGATTGAAAACAACGAAGACAGACAAGACAGGCATTTCTATTATGTCTGTCTTGGTTGTTTTCAATTGTAAGACAAGGAAAAACATAAAAACGCTCGTCGTTTCGACGCTTGTGTGGCCCCTGGCCTTAACAACGACTGAAACAGTCCGCGTTGCTACATTTTCAACAATGGGTGCACAATTGTTTCGTCAATAATGAAAGTCGAGCACAGTTACCACAATTTTTGTGAAAAGAAGAGGAAAACGATAAACACCGATTGAACGCGACGAAGCAACGAGCGAAAAAAGCGACAAAAAATGGCTAGATAAAAAAAGAAGCACGGGGACGTAGCAGCAGAATTAGAGTGGTTACCGTATGCATCGGTAATAGCTGCTCTCGTGCGTTGAGTTTAGCACGAAAATGGCCGCGTTAATGAAACACCGTGTAAAGCATATTTTAAATATAATTACACGAAATTTCAGTCTGCGTTTGAAAGTGTTCAGATAGGACATAACGAGAAGGTAGAAAGATGCGACTGAATGCACGCGATTCATCTCTAGCATCCTCAGCGTCGTGTATCGGGTCCCCCGTTCAAGTTATTGATTTATACGCTGACAGTCGCATCGCGTTGCTGTTTCAGTGCACATCATGAATTTCCTTCCACCTCTGTCTCAGCGCAGACCATATTTACCCAATCATTATACACATTTGTTACGATTCAAAGGAACTGCATTATTTATGATGCACTATCCTGTACGCAGGACGATACTAAAAAGTAGGACAAGCTGGAGCAGAATTGGACTAAACGCAGTATAATTAACACGTTGAATGCCCCGCGCATTTTATGTGGTTTGCCCATGGCGCCGCGTATTTTTACCATTGGTCGCGTCGCCGGTCACCGGTGACCCCCACGGCAATCAACGTGTTAATGAATTACGTGCAATTACGATCACTGGTATAATCACGAAAGGGGTACGAAGACATCGATTTTAGGTGATTTTTAAAACAGAAAATCACTCGAATAGAAAAGCCTTGCACAAACGCTTACAGAATTCACGTCCTCCTCGTCTAAATAATTTTCTTCTTCGTTTATTTCCCTCGTGACTTCGTCGGTGTCTAACGTTGTCCTTGTAAGTCGAAATCGTGTACAAATTGTAGAATTACAAAGTTGAAATTTTATTTATATTGATAAAAGGATACTCGTATCTTGACTAAATATCACAAGAAGTACACTTTGAGAAACACTGTTCCAATGGGACAGTGTCCGTGTCTTATTTCTAGAGGCGTATTTTTCACTTCGCGTCCGTTGCATTAGTTTGCGAGTCTCTGATGCTAGGAGCTGTGCAGATGGCCCTTGCGCGTTTGCAAATCGGTCCAGGTAAACGACTCGGATACGAACGACCTACCAAGGTCGCCGCGGCGAGGAATTTCTTTCGTTCTTGCTTGTTGCTCGTCTCACTTCGTTGTTAGAAGCGAAAGGGAGACATAGAAGCAACGGAGAGAAGCTGGTTCAACGGGTCCTAAACTGTGCTCGATTCTAGCCCCCTATAGGATGACCCTACGTCGCGACGACGCAGTTTCTTTTATTTCCTCTGTCACGTTGCGTTACACGGACGTTAGCAGCCATAGTTGCGTTAACTCGCCATTCTCCTCGGCTCGATATAATCCAAAATGAAATTTCAACTTTTACCCTTCGATTAATGCACTTGGGTCTATTAAACAGAGTTTGATTTTCGTCTGCCACGATAGCTTCTGCTTCCCTATAACCTTGGATTATGTAAAGGTCACAACGGCTAATTGAATTCGTCTTTAAATAAACTTTCATGTCGTCAACAAAAATGTATTTACAGTAGCGGAGGTATTCAAACGCTTTTGAACCAGGATGTTTTGTTGTTAAGAAACGAAAGTTGAATTAATATTTTAAAAATACTTTTATTTTATTATTTAATTAACTTCTTTTATTATTCTCCTTTGTCTAAATTTTGGTATTACGGTTGTAATATATGAAAAACAAGTCTCTTTACCCAATAATGTTTATTAGCGGTCATTGACGTGACGATAATCGTTTAAATTTATATTCGATTTAGAACAAAAAACTCATCGTTTATAATATCAAAGCGAACCTCGATAAACACATCAGATAATACGAAATTTCCTGGTGTAATAAACGCTGATAAAGCACAGGCGTGGAGTTTCCATTCGACTGATTCGATTAAAATGCTGATTTCTGTCGGAATGCTTCGCGGAGATTCAAATTAATTGAATTTTAACTCCTTCGGTTTGAACGTTTCCCATTGATTGCATTGAATCGCGCGATTCGCAAATATCACGTTGCATTTAAACGGTTTTCGTCTAGTTATTTAAATCAGCGGCTTTCAAACTGTTTCAAACGCGGTTCTCTTCAAACAAGTAAAGAATTCTTACGCCCGAAATTTACGGACGTATTAAAATTAATGTTTTTGTTTATTATAATTAATTCAGAATTAACTCTTTTAGTGCCGAGCGAAAAACGGGTGCCTATGCGAAGAATACTATGGTTAGAGAAAAACTCATAAAAACCAAACTAAAAATGATATTTACAAAATTCAAAAAGCAGCATATTACGAAATAAAGAAAGAATAAAGTAATGGCAATTGCATTTCAATATTTATTGCAAATCATATAAATAACATAATTATAAAATATGATAAAAAACATAGAAACAAGTTTCTCTTCTACAAACAATATTTACACATAAGAATAATCATTGCTTGATCACAGTTTTATGTAGGTCACGTAGTATACAGTATTTGATTTTCAATGATTTTTTAATAAATAATCAATTCAAAATATGATATAATTACAAAGATATATGAAAAAATAACAAGCAATGCATATTAGGGACTGTTTCAGAGTTTATTACTCTGCAAACAATTTTAAGATATAAATTTAATTTTTTTGCAAATATATGTTCCTCGATGTCCACAAATTCAGATAAACCATAAATTATTACAATACCTTACTTAGTTCCAATGTTATACTATACAGGATCGGCCACCCCTGGGAAAAATTTTAATGGGGGATTCTTGAGGCCAAAATAAGACGAAAATCAAGAATACCAATTTGTTGATGGAGGCTTTGTTAAAAAGTTATTAACGTTCAAAGTTCCGCCCGTTCTGAATTTTTTTTCTCGAAAATGCACAGAATTTCGGGGGTATATCTATTTACCAAAAATGATTGTGATTGTCCCCCGCAACCGAAAATAATTTTTCCAGAACGATTTGAAATTTTTTTTTCCGTCGAAAAATTTCACACCTTCTCGAATTTTTTCTAGAAAGTTGGTAGGAATTCGGGGGTATGTGTATTCACAAAAAATGATTGTAATTGACCCCCGCAACCAAAAAAAATTTTTCCAGAACGATTTGAAATTTTTGAATTTAATTGTTAATAACTTTTTAACGAGGCCTCAGTCAAGAAACTGATATTCTTTATTTTCGTCTTATTTTGGCCGCTAGAATCACCTATTAAAATTTTTCCCAGGAGTGGCCAAACACCCTGCATAATATGACGGCTCCAGAATATACATTTCCGCGACGAAGTAGCGTTGAGTTGCTGGTTCGCCCGAGCGAAAAAGGCCTCTGGTGCGAAGGGTTAAACCCAAAAATAATTTTTTAAATGCTTTTGCAATTAAATTAGACCCTTTATAATGTTTTATATGAAACAGAGCTTTCTCCCAATGCGAAGAATAAGGCACCATCGCATACGCAACGATATATTGTCGTTCGGCACTAAAAGGGTTAAGTTGTTTCTATCGATTTTTATAGATTAAATTTTGTACTCGTTAAATGTGAAAGATTATTTAATGAAAGTCACATTAACATTTTATAGAAACCTTTTAAAAAACAATAGAATTTTTACCCAGCTCGTTGTTTACAAGAAAATTGTATAAATAGAGATTTTCATATAATCAAGTAGAAGTAGAAAAATATTTGTTCAAAATCATAATCGTCAGTCGTGTTTGACGATGGAATGAAACAGTTTAATATAACATTGTAAGGAAATAAGATCGCAAACTTTTATTAATGTTAACTAACTTTTCTAAGTCGAGACTTAAAGTACAAAAAGTTGTACGGGGAGATCTTTCGTATCTTGCGTACACATAATCGATATCTATATGCAAATCGTCTGTATATAGATAGACATAACATAAATATAGAAGGCAGGAAAATGATCGAGAAAAGAATCTGCCATCACGGAACGTTCCGCGTCGGTTGAGCGATTATGAAAAAATTATCTGGGGCGTGTTAATGTATTGGCAACATGTAAACGACCGGTTACGCAAAATCCAATAGCATGCTGTTCGAATCGATGTCGATGGGTTCAGCTTACCGGTACTCCTCTACCGTCTTTGAGGGTAAACGCACGCAACATGCTTCCTCGAAGTATTTCAATCAATGAATCACCGCAAAGTACTTGGTTGGAAATCTTCCGGAAAGTTCGATCTATCTCCATGACCAAAATTATCAAGTTGTTCGACCTACACTACAAAATTGAATTTCCATTATGCAGAGAACTTTGGCTTTTACACAACTTCGCGGACGCTTAAAGTTACCGAATTTTGATCGCATTAATTGTTTGCACTTTCAAGAAGACGCACTGAACCAAATTCCGAGTTTCGTGAGATAATTACATTAATTACAAGAGCTGAAAGCAAGCAGCAACAATTCTACAATGGCGCATTCACTAATTCGGTACAAAAAAAAAAGAAAAAAAGAGGACAATTAAAAGTTAACGCAGATAAATATGATACAATACTTTCGGACACTTTGCTAAAATTTATTAGAGTTAGAAAAAAAGTTGTGTAGTTCTTTGCTAAAAAACGATAAAAAAAAAAGACTTAAAAATATCATAACCTCGAAATGTGTACGTTTCAAAACTCCTCAGCGACGAAACATTATTATTGCAACCGGTCGTGCAATCGTTTTAGCGCTCGATTTATTTTCACCGTATCGTATATTCGCCGGTAACGATCAAAACATTTTATTTTCATAAAAGCCTGACTGCCCGTTTTCTTGCACGCGTTTCGTTACGTGCGACGGCTCGTCGATCGTACCCGAGCTACAGGCGAATTTCGAAACGTGCGTCTCGAATTAATCCGAAGGAGATTCCCGTTTAATCGATTTTATCATATCTTAGAAATAAATCGTTCAATTAACATAATATGCTAAAAGGACCGACCAACGCGATTTCGTTTCAAGAAATCCCTTTCTCAGTGGATTCGTCGCGGTCATGGTCAAATTTCTATTTACCCACTGGGCAGAGATCCGAACGTTTCACTTTTCTCAAGCGAAACGTCGCGCGAAACGTTCCGGGGCTGTAGCGTTTAAGATGGGCAAAATTGTGTTCGAATAACTGATCACCAATGAAATCAACATATGACAATTTGTTCATAACCTTTTAATTTGCTCGCGCTACTAATGGTCGTTTACCTTTTATTCGTTATTCGTAACTTTCGTGTCTAAATAAGAATTTTGCCCATCCCTGCCGGACGTCGCGTCTGCGTTCCGATTCACGAAATCACCAAACGAACACAAGGCTCCGGTTTCTCTTGGACGACGACAGCGATCGTGAGAAAAAGAGAAGGCACGGTCGAGCGTTCATCTTCCGCCGCGAGACGCTAACGAGAATAGACTGCGGTCGCGCCATTTCGAAAATAGCCGCGGAACGTAAATTTTGGTCGCGCGAGTGTCGTAAGTACCGATGCTAAAGCGGGAAAGTGGGTGACTTACAGCCACTCAGGGTCAAGAGTAAACGAAGACGATACTAGGTTAGGCGAATTCCGTGTCCCCGGTAGTGTTAGCATTCTCCGCCCGGAACGCTTTGAACGCTGTGTTCGAGCGTGGCCAAACTCCGTACCAATTAATCCCAAAGGACACACAAACCGTCCCTTGTCCTACCTAACCTTTTTGCCGTCGAATCGATCAGCGGTAAGACAAAGCCTCTGTGACGAATTAATTACACAAATTATTGGTTAATAACGGAGGAATTATTCGAAACAAGAACCCATCTACCAAAACTGTTTTACGTGATGTTCGAAGTTCGGTCGCTAACACAGTTCACCATCTAAAGATTAATATAAGATGACACCGAAAATAAAGCACATAATTTACGCGTAAATCAAGCCGATCAACATTTCTATTCTAAAAATTTCTATTCTACCTCTTTTGGTCGTCGTGACCTACTATATTGATTTCACGACCCACCGATGGGCCACGACCATTGTCTTAAACCAGTGTTCCTCAACCCGAGTCCTACTGATCCCTACTAAGTTTTTAGAAGAAATAAAAAAACATTATATATTGGGTTACAAATGTTCTTCTCGTAATATTTGATTCTTATTAAAATGTTTTCGTCAGTAGTAAAAGAAATATGATATTTATATTTAACTGCATAATAAACGGAACTGTTAGGTACTTCTTTAGATTTAAATTACTAACGCATTTAAGATACTATGAACAGAGAAAGTTTGAGAACCTCTGCTATAAACGAAGACAAAATCGGTCACTTTCCTTCTATTCTTCATTGTAAGCAATCTCGCAATTGTTTTCTATTATAATTTTCATACGCCGTTGAATACACTTTGCTGTGAAAACCGAATTACGATCTGGATGAAAATACAGCACGGATAAAGGTAACGACTATAGAGGGTGTTTCGAAATGAAACGATCAAAGTGCGACAGTATGTTTTAAATGGTAAATAATTTTTCGGAATTTTATATTTTTGAAACTTCGAACACGTCGCGACGCAAGCATGATACGAAAGATTGAATCCAGCACATAACGAAGTTTGGGTCGACCTTGTTTGACTTCAGCGAATCCAATATTGATTTTTCCTATCAGTTCTTGGCGCGTATTGATCACTCCTGAATATATTTTTTCTTTCGGAGTTAGCCAGACGTAAAAATTTTACATCGAAATGATTTTTCACAAAATCAAAACAAATTTTTTTTTAATTAACATTTCAATCTCCGAGTGGGTTCCTTTTCAAAAAGTAATATACTAATTTAAATGTATGCAAACGTATACACTATTAAGCGGCGTTCATTTGTTAATCGCTAACTTAATTTAGATAAATAAATGTAAACAAAGCAAGTTTGTAAATTTGACCATGACAGTAAGCGTGTTAATAATAAAAGTACTTAACTAAGCTCTGTAATCGGCCACGCAGAATGGAATTTGTAAAATACCTTCTGCATGAAGTATTTAATGCTTTAAAAATTGTTCGAGGAAAGTGGTAGTTTCACTCTGTGTATGAGATTCGTGAGAGGAAACGTTTCACGCGTAATATTTCCTAGCTGAAAATCCTGCGGGTCATTACTGTGAAGGAGGAGAAAACGAACTGACCCGGAAGACGCAAGCGCATCAAAGCAGACGGAAGTGGTCGAGAATATAATTCTCAAGAAGCACCAAGTCGAACTGCACCGTAAAAGTGACTCGTACCATTACGGATGCATCGATATCGACTTTCGACCGAGGCAAAAGTAACACACGCGTATTTTCTAGAAAATATCCACCAGGACCTAATAATACTGAATGCATGAAACAGGGATAAAACAACAACTTTTTACGTAGCATTACTGAAACCAAATTTTCGATCTTAATAAAAATTTTAATTCTTTTATCAAGAAATACACGATACAAAATTTGAGATGCATAAAAACTTATTAAATTTGTTGTTAATTAAAAAAATATTGTCGCAATTCTTGATCATTGCCAAGCAGTTACCTCGTAATATTTTCTACGGCTTATCTAGTATACAGGGTGTTTGGCCACTCCTGGGAAAAATTTTAACAGGAGATTCTAGAGGCCAAAATAAGATGAAAATAAAGAATATCAGTTTCTCGACTGAGGCCTCGTTAAAAAGTTATTAACAATTAAATTCAAAAATTTCAAATCGTTCTGGAAAAATTATTGTCGTTTGCGGGGGTCAATTACAATCATTTTTGGTGAATACGCATACCTCCGAAATCCACTTTCGAGAAAAAAATTCGAATAGGTACTGAAATTTTTAGACGAAAGTAAAATATTTAAAATCATACTAAAAAAATTATATTTAGTTACAGGGGTCAATTACAATCATTTTTGGTCATTACACATACCCCCGAAATCCTATTCACTTTCGAGAAACAAATTCAGTACGGGCGTAACTTAAAACGTTAATAACTTTTTAATGAAGCCTGAATCAACAAATTGGTATTCTTGATTTTCGTCTTATTTTGCCCTTTAGAATTCCCCATTAAAATTTTTCCCAGGGGTGGCCGGACACCCTGTATATTTCATTCTTATATTAAATCATCGTGCTAAATTATTATATGTAGGCAATACTTAATAATTATTCAATTATTTTAACGAAATGCACGGTAGTAACCGCAATTAACCCATTTCTGAACGATTCTTCCTATCTGCTTTAAAATCTATGCTAGTTTTTCCCAGTTCCCCCTTTGTGAAAAGAAACTTTAACAATTCCATGCATAAATTCCACTTCCAAGCGCTGCGGCACACTTTCCGCGCAAAGTTCCCTATCTACGCGCGTTACAAAATACGCCCACGGTTTGATAATATGCAAAAGAGTGGTGTTGTAACGATAATATTGCGTCTTATCGTCATTTATTGATTGTAATTTAATAGAATGTAGAAAATCTTAACGCTTTACGATATGCATAGTACATACATGTATATGTATAAATACGTATGTATATTCAACGACCCAATTTCCTTCGTTGCAAAAATTCCACGTAGAAGAGATTTATTCCAACCTCGATGAACTTTTTTACCATGAGTCAAATAAATTATGAAAGATTTTTTAAGTATCAGAAGATAGCGATCGACAGTAATTTAAATAAAAAAATCATAATTGTTTTAACGCGTTTCAATAACATTAGTAACGCCAAAGAAGTACACCACTGAACTCTTGAATATTTTTATACTTCAAATAAAATACAATACTGTAACAGATTTGGATAATATCCTGTTTTTCTCGATGCCAGGAGTTGCATGATGAATCTTCCAAATAAATAAATAGGATGCACATACAATAATCGATGCTCTTCTTCGTTCGATGATTGGTGAAAATCTTCACGACCTCGGATAACTTGGAAATGGGTTCCGCATTCGAGCCGATATATTTCTACTAAGCAGCGCAGCCCGCAAGAGTTACGATGGCTGTTGAATTACGAAAGGCTCGCGCAATAACATTCTTCGCCGATAATTACGTCGGCATATTACGGTTTGCTATTACAAAAGATCCATTATCCGCATCTGCGTGAAAGAATTGTTCGGGACACTTTTTCTTTTTAACAAGACCATCTCATTCCTGTCACTCTTGGGCGCATTGTGCCTTCATTATCCTGCTAATTAATCCCGATTCCAAATCTCTGCAACGCGTAACGCGTACACGAGGCTCCTACGTAACGTTTCCTTACAAGACGCGTACACACGTAATATGCAAATACGTCAAAAATATTATCATCGATCAGTCGACCACTAAACTATTTATCTGAAAAACATATAAACTAGAAGTGAGACTATTCGAATAGTTTAATCTTGAATATTATTACTAAAATCAAAAATTATAAAATATTCTATTTAAATATAAAGTCCAAGTAAGAAGGATGAACTGAAAGAACTCGCGTATACTTCACATTACATTATTTGAATATCACAAATACCCAGATACTTGATCGGTGCACAAAATATTCGAATGGTATTCGAATGAAATTCACGAAATATTAAAATCACTGGGTTATTCGAATACAAAAAGGTCCGACAAGTTCCAGCGCTGGTACATATAAACATTCCGCGCACGGCAATCTCAAACGCTCGAAACCCGATGTAATTAAAAATTCCTAGCGATCACCGTATTTTCCCGTTGGGTCGCGCGGACGAAACGCAACACCGACAGCATGTCTGCATACATTACCCGAACTGGAAGTCGTAGATCGACTCCGTACGGGTATTTACATCACCGATACGTGGAAATTGACAGTGACACGGACCAGAGACACGGTAAAAGTTGCGTGTACCGAGCCCGCGAGACGTTCGTAAAAGGTGATGAGAGCGCGTTGCGCCAAAAAAAGTCGTTACATCTATCGCGATCGAAGATATTGCAGCTAAGACAGATACCCGCGGAGCAATTGTGAAACGCCCACGCATCGGAACACGCGCTCGACCACCGATCAAATTCTCTCAGTAAGGTTACACGTAAAAACGCGAAGCGTGCAAGTGTAACGCAATTTTTCTTTTTCACGAGATAAAAAAATCTTGTGAGGGAACAGTCGGAATATAGTAAAACGAAAACAAACAAACGAAGTGTTACCTCCTCGAGGGACGTGATAGTCTGTCTGCATTGTGGCATTCGCGAAACGAAGGTGGACGTGGTAGGCGAGTTGTAATCCTCCCTCGTCTCATCGACGAATTCGCTCACAGCGATTAGGCCCGGCATTTTTTCTCTCTTCTCACCTATATTACCCTGAACGATAACGAGCTCTGTAGATTGTTCACCGGTGTGGCACTTGGTGCCGTCGCACTCACTTCACTCTGACACCACTCACTTCACCGTTTCTCCCGTGCGCACCATAAATTCCGCGGGAGGGCTGTCACCTTCTGTCTCCTCCCAATGCCGTTTCCCGTGACGCACGGTAAACGTCGTCCCGGTGCGACCAACGGACCCAGAGCGGAGCGGGTGAGAGGGGGTAAGGGATACAAAGCGAAGAAGGAGAGGGAAGGGGGTTGGAAAGAGAAAGAGAGAAACTTTGAGCACACGGTCTGTCTTCTCTACCAGCGAGAGACACTTGCGTGACACGATTATTTCCTTAACATTTTGGTCGCTTGGAGTTTCCCGCACTGACCGCGAGGAAACATATTTCGCTTCTTTTTTTTCGTCGCACGGCTCGCGATGCATACACACTTTTACGCGCGTACGCGACTGCGTCCCAGAGAAACTTCTCAGCACCTACACGCCACTCGATCCAAAGTCAACCCGATCGGTGTCCAAACGTTTTCATCCACGGTCAAAGTTTCACTGAGGAGGCGCTGTATACGCCCATACCTTCACCATTAAGTTCACAACTGAAAAGAAAGTCGTTCGTATTCGATGATCGAAAGTGCCGTCATCTTGTGGCAATTAATTACATCTACCGCCGAGCAAATACTTTGAATCCCAGACTTGAAAATTACTTTTATTCGTCGTGATATACATGTACAGTAGTATGTCGCCTTTATGTTCACACGACGCGCGGCAAATAGGAATAGGAACAAATCTGATTTTATTTTAGTTCTTTATTTCAACGAGTGTCAATATTTTCCTCATAGAAATAATCTAAACTTGAACTTATACAGAATGAATTTTTCATAATACATGCTGAAGTATTTTCTTTTTATTTAACGTTTTAATATTCTCGAAAACCTTTTTCGAGTATAGACGATGTACGCATTATTTTGTAACATAAAAATTAAGGTACGGATATAAATAAAGCCAATAATGTATGAATTTTCCACTTTTATTACAGAAACAAGGAAATTATAGAACAAGAGTCTCTTGTAATTTAAGTTGTTTTTTGCTTTTTGCTTTAACTTGTGCTGCAATACGATCTAAATCTCTACGACCTTGACTTGTAAGTTTGCGTCCACCAAGTGGAGCCTTCTCGATGAGTTTCAGTTGTTCCAAGCTCTGAAGAGCTTTGCGAGCTACACCTCCTGCAGATCGGCAAAAGTGACTGGGGTGGGTGCCATTACGTTTGCGTCCTCCAAAAATTTTGGTGACTGCTCCTACACCAATTGGGCTTCGAATATAAATGTGACGTACTAATGCAGCACACCTAATGTAGTACCAGTCTGGATCGTATGGAGCAAGTTCCTTGAAACGTGCAGATTTTACAATGTCTACCCATTCTGGAACTCGCATTTTGCCAGTCCTATAATTCGTTACAAATTAATGAACGATTATCGTTTTAATTTCAATATTTCAAAAGAATATATGTTAACCTATTTTTGAGGTTAAGAACGTTTCCACAAAAATAATTACTTACTTTTTCAAGAACGCGGCAAAAGCCTTTACGAACTTGTGTTGGTCGACGTCTTTTAGCGTTACGGAAGGCATCTAAAACAAATATTTATAACAGAAGTGGTTAATAAACAAACACGTTAACCATGTACCACATGTATATTGCTGTAACACCGAATATTTGATTACTGTAGTAAAACGTGATACACATTTTAAAATAAATATGAAAGTTATGTAAAAAGCATGCGTTATTTTTTATTATAACGTATGCTACTTTTTTAAAAGTAATATGGCAAACTAAAACTGCCAAAAGTACACACCTTCGCGCGGAAGCTGACCGGAAAGAGAAAACCGAAGATGGAGTAAGAAGCATGAAAACTACAAGATGGCTACACTAACAGGAAGAGACCATGAAATATTGGTACATAGAAAGGTATCTTACAGACTGTACGATGTTATATCGGTACGAATTTCAATATGATTACCGTTGTAATATCTGATTTATATTTTTTTTTTCAATGATTAAAAAGAAATTATATTTAATTACTTTTTTTGTATTGAAGAATAAAACGGAAATACCAACTTAACCTTTTCCTTGTACAATGCAAATGCTTCGTCGTGTTTGCTGGAAGTAAGATTTGCATTGTCAGATATTTAATTGTGTGTTAACGAACAAGAGAATTTATGTCAGTTCAGATAGATATGATAATCAATTTGATAACTACTATTCATGAGTCATTTTGATTCAACGAATTATTAGCGCTAGCGCTGTCGGTTGCAACAGTGTGAGTCACACTGTGTGGCCAGATCTGGCAGAATGAGTGCATCAAAGGTGACTGTCGCATGGCGATGCAGTAAAGACCGTTGCAAATTGCCAGTAAGTTCATATGCTTAACGATATGAGTAGCAAAAGTGCATTGAAGATATGAATATTGTTTTATTTAAAAACTTGTGTTAGCAATATATAAGAGTATCCATTTTTAAATTTAGTTCGGTTGTTACGAAGAATTATACAATGTCTCCGGTGTTGATAGAAGAAATTCCTTTCTCAAAAGATTTTCTATTTCGTCAAGTAAGTTTCAATTATTTTTCATTATGGCATATGCAACGCCATTTAGCTACTGAAACTGAACTGTTTCATCTAAAAGATAACTTCATGATGCAGACAGAAATTACAAACGTGTTAACCTCTTTAGGATACTATGCAATTGTTTCGGAATTCTGTACGAACACATGACATGGTTACATATTGTTACTATCTATTCGTTAACAGATTAAACGCTATGTCGGTGTTTAAGGGCGGGTAATAAATCAATCGTTTAGGCAGCGTCGGTGAATCATATTAAAAAATATGTTTACACATTTTTAACGAATTTTATTGACGCATTTTAACGAGAAATGTGGTTTTCCTTTACAAGTATTACAAAAAGTTTCGATTTTCTTGGTACTCCCAGCCTAAATGATAAGTAAAACGAAATTTTTTACAAAAATTTGTACATTACCACCAAATTATGAGTTGTACCTGGCCCATGATTACAATGGTAGAATGGCATCCACAGTGGACGAGGGGGCCTTTAGTCCCAGATTAATCAAATCTCTAAATGAGTTTGTTTGTGTAATGAACAACCTTAATCTGTCGCGTCCACAAATAATTGCTATATTAATTTCCTCCGCATAATTTAATCGAAGTGCTAACAAAGACTCTGGGTGATGTTATCTTGAAAATTTTATCCAACTTCAAAATTTCGGCAATTAAATTCTTGAGCTTTCTATTAAAATTTGTTCATCGTTTCAGATGAAGCAGTGGCAGCGAACATTTGTTGTACATATGCAAAGAGAATCTCCGTAAACGGTTATATTTTTTAGGTATAGCTTCCCATGATGTTCCCGGAGTTAATCCACCGTCGGGGGCGTTAATTAAATTGCGTAGTTTCCGTGTACAAAACTGCATAATAAAAACGGACTTAATTTATTTCTACGGAAAAATACGTTTTCACTTCGCCGATCTGTCGACAAGCGTTCAACAGACTGGATAATATTGAACACCATTGTTAATTAATACTTTCATCCCTTCTAACTTATAAACGACTCGTCATCCGGTGGCTGTACTAACTAATCAGATAAACGATACCTGTAAACGTGTCACCTTTCGTATATATTATCAGGACGATATTACAATTGCGATCGAATTTTCGTTGGTCAAATTGCCCGGCCGGTTTCTAAGCGTCGAAGTGCGTTGATTTTTCGGAACGTTCGAGAAACGTGACGTAAGCGATGATAAAGACAAAAGTTGGTGTAATCGGGTAGCTTGAACGGGCTGCCTTGTCGAAACTTGAAATGAAGGGACCCCCCATAGTGTGTCGCTGGTTTCTGCTGCATAGTTGAGGGTTGAAATCGATACCGTTTCCAGGGTAACCGGTGGGTACGGCGACCGACACACAGGCAAAGGTATCGGCCAGAGATGCCAGACGAAGCCTCGGGTGCACCGGGGACACCGCATTCCACATTCTCACACTATGCCAGATCACGCGTACGTGAGCTCGGACGAGTTTCGGACAGTCGACAAAGGCAAACTGACACATGCCCTCTTTTTCGATTCTCCGAAGCTGCCCGAAGCAATTTCGGACCATCTCGTGGGTGTCGAGAGAGGAAGGCTCACATTATTGGTAAAAGATTGTCTCTAGCGTTAACAGAGTCAACAATGTGCAGCACCGTTTGAAATTCCGAGATTTCTGCCGCGTTATCGACTGACGAATGCGTGTATGTGAATTTGATTGGTCGAATCAGGCGTCGCGCTTCACCTCCATCTTGATTTCTCGTAAAGCGATTCACTCTGCCGTAGTGTCATAGTAATACGCTGTCACGCCGTCGCGGCGCCAGCTGTGTTCATCGCAAACAGTCAGTGAGATTATATGCTTTCAACGATATGAGACGCACGAGTGCATTGAAAATATGAATACTGTTTTGTTTAAAAACTTGTGTCAGCGATATATAAGAATATCAGTTTTTCAATCTTGTTCAGTTACGAAGATGAATCACACAATGTCCTGGAGGTTGCCAGATGAGATACCTTTCTCGAAAGATTTTCTATTTCGTCAAGTAAGTCTCAATTATTTTTCATTATGGCGTATCCAATGTCATTTAGCTACCGAAACTGTACTAACTGTTTTAAGTAATGTATTGGTTTTTTTATCTTATTATGTGTACACAAATTGGTGACAGTTACAGTATACAACTAATAATGTTCATCTAAAAGTAACTTTATGATGCAGACAAAAATTACATACATGTTAACTTCCTTAGTATACTATGCAATTGTTTCGAAATTCTGTACGTACACATAATATGGTTATATATTGTTACTGTCTATTCATTAACAGGTTAAACGCTATGTCGATGTTTGGGGGCGGGTAATAAATCAATCGTTTCTTGGTATCCTCAGCCTAAATAACAAGTAAAACGAAAGTAGCTCCGCGTTTAACCTGTTGAACATATGTATACACAGTCCAGATATGTTTGAATTAGTTTTAAATGTAATCGTTTTAAAGCTATTAATTGTAAGAAGATATAAAACACGATTTTTCGAATAATTATAACAATAAGAGAAATTATACAAATTAAAATTAGTATCTTTAAGCAATCGAAAAATTAATTTGGTTGTTTTATTTTAGTTTTATTTTCTATAATACAAGCATACATTTTCAATTAACATCTGTGTAGTCATACAAGATATTATTATGAATATACAGGGTGTTTCGCGGTAAGTGCAGTTTGATACAACTCCTGAGCGGTAGGCGATAGGGTAAAGATTTACAGGGACTTTTAACGTCATTCTCTATGTAGAATGACACTTTGAAATGACCTTGATGCAATCCAAGGTTGCAGAAATGAACTACTTTTAAAACAGACAGGAATGAATATCTCGCAGGATCTTGCAAACGCATAAATCCCATCATTATCATGTAGATAAGATAAATTTTTTTTTTATCACAGTAATATTCCACATGGAAAATGATAAAAGTCTCTCTACATTTTCGATTTATTATTTACTGTTTAGGAATTATATTAAATAGCAGTTAGTGTGGAACAATCTGTACAATTTAAATTAAGAAAACAATAAATACGCTGTTTTTTATATATTTATTTCTTTTTAATGCAAATTCTTAGCTATTTGATCGCGAATCTTGTACGTACACTTATCTTCTGGCTGACATCAATAATCAGACGGCAGTTATAATCGATCCCGTCATTGAATGTTTCGACCGCGATGTGGCTATTATTCAGAATATGAGATTAAAATTGAAATATGCAAGTAAGTCGAAAATACAACCATCATTCGTGGCAATGTTTTTATAATATATATATAGATATACAGAATATTCGGTCACCTCTGGGAAAAATTTTAATAGGAGATTCTAGAGGCCAAAATAAAACGAAAATCAAGAGTACCAACTTGTTGATTGAGGCTTCATTAAAAAGTTATTAACGTTTAAAGTTACGCCTGTAGAACGGCAGTCTGCGAACAGCTACGTGCATGCAATAGTGGTTCTCACTCAGCACGAGAAACTCTGCTTACTGACGTATCGACAGCCTTACAGTTTTGTGAGTGAGAGCCACTATCACGCGTACGCAGCTGTTCGCAAATTGTTGTCCTACAGGCGGTACTTTAAACGTTAATATCTTTTTAACGAAGCCTCAATCAACAAATTGGTATTCTTGATTTTCGTCTTATTTTGGCCTCTAGAATCTCTCATTAAAATTTTTTCCCAGAGGTGGCCGAACACCCTGTATTATAGACTAGAAGTATTCGTATTTGTTTGTCAAATCGAATGAACAAATTGCTTTTTTTGAAATTTTACCCGTTAAAAACAAGCTATATTAGCAAGAATTACTTCGTTGTCATCATCGTTCACATCATCGACGTATTTTTCACAGAGGAATCGCCCTACGGACGTTCACGTTATTCTTAAATGATTTATTCGAAAGGGTCGTACAAACTTCGCCGAACGAACAATAAAATTAGAGATCAATTGTTCCAATCTGATTATATTACCCCGAGGAAATATATCTCGACGATTTAATGGCCCGCATTGATATATCTGTCGCACAGTGGGTCAGAAACGTTCTCGTCGGTTAAAACTTATTAACTGGAGTAGAATGTCGATTGAACGCGAATGTTGCAGTTAATAATTCGATAATTCAGTAAAGCGCCAAGTACTGTTAAGCACGCCGAGCGTTTAATTGTTGAAATTGCCACTCGAAGTCATCCGCGCGAAGCGAAGCACGAAAGGGGTCTTCGGGAACAATTCAATTACGTTCTTATTAATTTATTTGAAAAGCTGAACGTAACAGGCGCAATCTTACACGCTCATAACAGAAACTCGACTCGAAACAAAGTTGAGTCAAAGCTTCGGGAAAGTTCATCATCATTTATCCCATTGAACTCGCATGCCTTTTCATCCTTTCGTACGTTCGAAGTACTAGAGTTTAGTGAAAAAAAATTTAATTACTGAAATGGCGTTCTCCCGCTTGCCTGTGCATTTAATGTTTTATTTTTCTATCGTATTAATGTAACGAGTCTGCAAACAGTATTCCGCCATTTTGTTTTACCGAAAAAAGTCACGTGCATTTTGTTGCTCGATAATTTATGCACACGAACAATTTTTTCTTTCGGGACTTTAATTTTGAAAATGACGACGCACGGATGATGACAGACCACGCGACAACTAACGGGCCAAATGCCTTTTGCAGTGAATACGCATGTACACGCTGATCATATCACCGGAACAGGAAAGTTGAAGTCAGCGTTTACCGATTGTCAGTCGATGATTTCACGCGCCAGTGGCGCCGTAGCCGACGTACTCTTGAATCACTACGATGAAATAAATTTCGGCAAGCATTCTTTGCAAGTTATACCGACCCCTGGCCATACCCAAGGTTAGGCTCATTTTTATTGGAAATATTCGTGACTTAGTTAAGAGTAACCGGACTGATAAATAAGCCTAATTTTGAGCGAACTGCCTAAAATTGGACTGCCCTCCCGACAGATATTAACACACGTCGCGCGCTGGACACGTAAAAGGTAGGTAAGTACTTACGTGTTTCGTAGGCAGCCGTCAACTACCGGTCACGTAAAAGTCAAGCGACGCGTGATCCTATGACAAATTAATATCCCTTTGTTGCTTGGATTTTTCTTTAGAAATTGTCAATGTATAAATCTCATAAATTTATCGTTACTTTGGTTACCGACGATAATACGTTATTATGTGATTTATTGAACCATACATAGCAGCTTAATTTAAAATTACCTTTTATAATTATCGGTCGACGTTTCGACATCAATTTTCGTGTCCCCCTTTGGGCAATATATTCTAAATAAAATGTGTAAACGATACAAATATTGGCAATCTCAAATAACGAAATATGAAAATTCTGTTATAATAAAATAAATGTTGTCGACGTCTTTATAAAACATAAATAACATTTTCGTACATTATAAAACACGGAATTCGGTTCGTTAAGTAGAAAAATTGTATGAATATTCGGGTTCCGGTCGACTAATCCAGAGCAATTTTTTCTACAAAATTTGTATCTTTTATTTTCGTTTAACTCGGTGAAATGTTGGTACAATACTTAAAGAACAATCAACTTTTATATATAGTCCAGCAGTTCCCGGATAGCATATTGCACAACGCAAATTACACATTTAATCCTTCTTTTTTTGTTTTCAAATATTTCCAACCTCTCTTTACCGTTTTAAAATACACATTTTGTAAATGAACTTCAAAAGGCAAACGTTTTTTTGTTAAGGTCACATTTATTGCAGTTGATTCCAGTAATCCCTTTATTCTAAATTTATTTTCGAAATTCAGAATGTGTTTTACTCGGATGGCAAATCCAGAACGTTTTGTTTAACAGAGAGTGGGCGAAATATGTAAAAATATATTTTTGATCTTTCTTTTGCACCCTTTCAAATTTGCTTTTAATTTATATATTAATATCTGAATTATTTAAACACATTAATCGTTTATTTTTACTAGAGCACTATTCGTATAATGTACTCTTACATTCTTTAAAACATTTTTATATCATTTCGTGCCTAAACAACTTGAAACTGACTTCTAGAACTTCTAATATAACAACGAAGTGTAGAATATTTTGTTAATATTAATTTTTTTTTTCGCGCAAAGCATTTTTAGTTTTTAGTAAACCTTTGGACTCTGAGTTTACAATGAAAGCATAAGTATTTTCTTAATTAATAATATTTGTATTGTATATATCTATAGGTTGCGTTACGTATGTGTGTCACCAGCAAGGCATCGCTTTTACAGGCGATGCTCTTTTAATACGCGGATGTGGTAGAACTGACTTTCAGGTTTGTATCAGAAAGAAGATATATTCTATTATAGCAAAGTAATTTCCAAATTTGATGAAATCTTTAAAATATCAGTCGAATAATCAAAATTTAGAAAAGGCGTTAAAATACGAATAATTATTAATTCATCAAGCTGGGTAGTAAGTGTTCAATTTTAAAATCTGACGACGAGACTTTACGCAGGAAGTGCCAACGTAAAATTGTGTTGGTTCGATATTGTATGCGGTAACATCAGCGTACTGGTGCGCATCACTTATTTAGATGCCGCAGCTTTTACACGTGACATCAATATAGTGGCGTTTAACAATATTTTTTAATTCAAAAATTCCCACGATAAATCCAGGTTATTCTTCGAAATCGAGAAACCGTGCGTAATTTCTTTGTATCAAGTATGAATCTTCTTCACAATTTTCAACTGAGAAATATTAACCTCTGAAATTCACTGAAACTCACTTCAACGACTGGTTAAAGATTTTTAGTATAATCCAACACTAGTTTATTGCCTTTTCAACGAAAGTTGTTCAGTTGCGTGCAGAAGGTAACACATAACCTACAAAACGTTCGTAGTAAAATACGCGAAGGTTTATGAAACAACCTGATATTTCGTACTTTAACTGAAACTCACTTAAACGACTGGTTAAAGATATTAGGTATAATCCAACACTAATTTATTGTCTTTTCAACGAAAGCGTTCAGTAGCGTACAGAAAGTAACACATAACCTACAAAACGTTCGTTTCGTTTGAAGTGACTGTGTTTCTTTACATTTATATTAAGCTGACAGTTTACATAGTCAAATACGCGAAGGCTTATGAAACAACCTGATATTTCGTACTTTAACGATGCATTATTTAAGTTGCGTATACCTTACGTTATTATCGTTCGAGCTAGTTGCCGTTAGTAAATGGTGATTTCAGTTCTGGCAATTTCCGTATTACAGGGTGGCTCTGCAGTAGATTTGTACAGGTCCGTTCGTACGCAAATTTTTACCTTACCGGAGAATTACAAGCTGTACCCGGCCCACGATTACAATGGTAGAACGGTAACCACGGTGGCCGAGGAGATGGCCTTTAATCCCAGATTAACCAAATCTGAAAACGAGTTTATCAGCATAATGAACAACCTTAATCTGCCGTATCCAAAAATGATTGGTATGCTAATTTCCATCGCGTAATTTACCCCGAGTCGCGTCAACGTGGATCTCGCGCGACCGTTATCTTGGAAATTTTAACGAGCCTCGAAATTTCGGCAATTAGGCTCAATTAAAATTTGTTCGTCGTTTCAGATGAAGCAGTGCCGATAAACAAAGTCTGCGGATTGTATGAGCTTCTGCCGTTAGAGAAACCAAGCGTAGACGAAGTCTCCCATGATGTTTCCGACGTTAATCCACCGTCGGGGCGTTAATTAGATTTCGTAGTCTCCATGTACAAAAAAACTGCATAATAAAAACGGATTTAATTTGTGTCTACGGAATGAAAAGAAAAAAAAAAAAATTTTTCACTTCGCCGTTCCGTCGACAAGCGTTCAACGGACTGAATAATAGCGAACACCGTAGCTAATTAATACTTTCATCCCCTTTAACCTTTAAACGACGCGTCATCCGGTGGCTGGTATCAACTAACCGGAATTAAAATCTTATATTATGAAACGGATCAACGTTTCACGCGATCCTCCCGTTGTCACTGAAAATGTTTGCCGCGCACTCGAAACCGCGTGGCCCAATTTTTTCAATTAATTAAACTTTTTCAACGCGCTTATTTTCCAACGATGAACAATACCCTGCAAACGCGTCGACTTCCCGTCGTACGTACGTATTCGTAAGTATTACAACTACGCGGAACAGGAATTAACGACACGCGACCATCTTATATAAATTGCGTTCAAAAGTCGGTCGAGTCGCTACAGGCCGGACTTCGAGCGGCGATGTGCGTTTGATTTTTTTCGAAACGTTCGTGAAACGTGACGCATAGCGATAATAGAGACAAAAGGCGGTGTAATCGGGCGGTTCGAACGGGCTGCCTTGTCGAAACTCGAGACGAAGAGACCCCCATGGTGTGTCGCTGGTTTCTGCTGCATAGCTGAGGGTTGAAATCGATACCGTTTCCAGGGTAACCGGTGGGTACGGTGGCCGACACACGGGCAAAGGTATGGGCCAAGGCTATCAACTTGTGCATTTTCATGTTCTTCTGGCCACCGGCAGAGGTGGAGCAGATAAAAGCCACGCGGAATGTGTAATTTTCCGGGTCCAGTGGCTTGAGCGAAAAATAGAAAAATCGGAAGGGGCGTATTGTTAACGAACGAAATGTCAAGAGATGCTTGATAAATCGTCGCGTAAGTACGCGTACAGGTTTTCTTCCGGGACCGTAAAAATGACGAGAGGTAACCGGATGCGACGACACGGTTCCTGGCAATTTGTCCGCCTTGAACGGTAACCGATGTTACATGCTGCTCACGATACCTTCCATTTCACTCGTTTGATTTTGTCTTCGTCTGAGACGCGTGGCCTCGTCTCGATTACGCATTAACACGCGTAGGAACGTATTAGATGCGTATACGTATATGACGTCACGCTGTTGTATTATTCTTTGTGTATTAATAGCGTCGTTACTGGTGCAACAATGGTTGCAATGAAAAAGAATGCACGCGTGCCCGTGAATTGCCAACCACGTTGCTCAAAAATGCTCTGCAACGTCTTCCCTTCTATTGTCTAAGCATGTATTTCGTTTGGCCTGTTCGAAACAGATATTACAGTATATACGATTCAAATAAGCATCGTTTATATATTTAACACCTTCATTATTTTTACTAATTTCTTCTCTGACTGTATTAATTCATTATCAAATTTGTAATTAATGTTGATGTACAGGAGGAGACTTAAATTTATTAACCAAGTGAAATTTGTCCGGATTATGTACGGTATAGTATTTTCTTTTCTACTTTTGCGCGTGGGTGGTGTCAATTTCGCTTTTTTTTTTCTTTTTTAAAGCAATCGAAGCATCGGTTGTATGCGGCGGATGACGCGGCCAAACTCTATCATTGATTGGCATTCGCCAGTGTTTCTATACCTAGACTCGATAGAGAACCTCGTTTCGGTTGCTGTTGTCAAATACTTTGAAACAATTTACGTGGCAATCGGAATATGGATGGATAGATCAAATTTACCGTTTAATTGAATTTTGCGCGTAATCGTGTATTGCCGATCTCATATTCCTTCAAAATAATAATTATACTTGATTCGATCAATACTTATCGTATGCCAAATGCTATCGCAGTTTCTCGGGTAGTATTAACCCGTAGTCCAGTATAATTTTTCAATCGTAATCGTCACCGTGCGCGATGTTAAAAATGAATAATGATGATTTGATGATTCTTGTCGCGAAGCAAATTCGATGTGACATAATTTATAATAACGTAAACGTCATGATTGAATTAAATACTGGGGTCCTTAATAAGGGAATCGTGTGGATTATAACGTGAAAATATTAGAATTTTTAATAGGTGAATAAACAATTTACGATTTAGAATTTTTATTTTTGTTTAATCGATGAATTATTATAAGAAAGTGATTTTTGTGCTTAATTATAATTTATGTTCTAAATTATACCATAATACCGTCGTATATCTGTTTCAAAAATAATAATTTTCCATTTTGTACAGCTTTACGAGGCATTTTTCAGTTCGCCCGCGAAACGTATTGTTACGAATATTTTACATCATTAAAATTATTTGAAATAAAGCTAGTTGTATGAAAATCAATAACGTTGTATGTAGTCGCAACAAAGCAATTTATTATTTCTGTTTAATGCTTTCAACTAACGGTTCGTGGTCATATTCAAAACATTTCGACCTTCAGAATAAATCAATATCTTATTTTAAAAAAATGTAATAGATATATTTTTGTAATATTTAGAAGATACTAGTCTATTCCGAAGATAACATTCTACTTGGACCAAAACGTCGTTCGGAAAGAAAACGTTGAATATCGGTTCGAAATCTAAAAGGAAGTCTATATTTAATTCCACATTTCCGAGTTATTAGTATCTTCAAATAATTCAAGCGAAAATTAATGAATTCGCAAAGTGTAGATTTCCGTTATTGATTTTAATTCGTTGTTCTGTGCAGACATTACTACGGTTATTAAAACGCACGTTTCGGGCGTGACCAATGCTAAACGTTTCTATCGAATCTTATCCAGAATTAATAATACTCTAATATTAATTTATCTCCAAGAGAATTTTAAAATTCTGCGTGAATAATTAGCTTGAACAGCTTGACATATAGCTTTGAAAACCAAGGGGTTTGTATGTTTCGCGGTTATCAATAAGTTTTAAGTTTCGCGTCAAAACTGTGGAGAATTTTGATTCGAATTTGCCTGTATTTCATTATTGATTCGTATGCAATTACTGGTATATGTTTGTTCGTAGTGTTACCAGAGCCAACGATGTGCAGCAACGTTTGAAATCCCGAGATTCCCGCCACGTTATCGACTGACCACTGCGCGCATGTGAACGCACCCTCCGGCGCGGTCATCTAGTGACAGCGTTTGATTGGTCGAATCGTTTCAGCGGCACCGGCGCCGCGCTTCACCTCCATCTTGATTTCTCGTAAAGCGACCCACCCAGCAGCAGTGTCACAGTAGTACGCTGTGCTCTCGTATACGGCGGGTGAGTGGTGGTCTCGCATACTGCAAATTGTTCCGCCAACGTTTCTGGCGTTTGTTACGATCAGTGCGTCGTCGTTACCCACGTAGAAGACGGAAGGGAGGCGCGAAACCTTACGACGAGAAACCGGAAAGGACGACCGTGCGGGAATTTAAAAGGGCCAGGGAGAGAAGAATGATGAAGGGGATGCTGGTGGCCTCGCTGGTGGCCGTCCTGACGGTCTGCCGGGTCCAGGTGAGTGCCGGATTTCGTTTCACGGTAGAATAGAAAAAAAACAAAGACGCGACGGAATACGTAAGACGCGAGGAACACCACCGCGAATCGATCAACGCCGGACAATTTCATCGCGTCCGATCTCGATGTCAATTTTTTCCCCCTATTTTGTTCTCTCTCTTCTTTTTTTTTTTTTTTTTTTACCCTTACCCGACCGAACGAGCGGCAAATGTCACGCGCAACGCGCACCGCGCGATCGATGTACTGTCCACGGTTGTACGGACTCGTCTTGGCGAAATTCTCTTTAAACGTACGCCGATTACGGTCCCCCGTGCTACCTGTCAAACGGTTCACGAGGCTCGATCGATGCGTTTCATTTAGGAGTGCGTTATACGGTGCGGCTGTAACGATCGCCAAGCTCCTCCGTACTTACGTTCTCCGCGAATGTTTGCATACGTCGAGGACTACGCGATTCACCGCCTACCCGTACTCCAACGCTCTTTCCATGCGACCGAGCGGCATTAATCGAGCCTTGACGTTACACAGTGACGAACAGAAAGTATTTTGCGCAGTCGATAATTTTTACCATAAAATTACGTGCAGAACGTGGAAAGGATCGAATCGTACGAACGATCCTTTTTAGAAAATATATATGTCGCTCAGGATGGGGGGCGAGCCTCATTCATGTTAAATTTATTTTTCGGCCGATGACCGATCCACACTGTGCCGCGATCATTTTACCTACGGGTCGAAAATATTTTAAAAGCCATCTTTCAGTCATACCAACGTCAGTCGTTGCACTGTTATATCACGAGCAAACGTGGGAGGGATCCTAATGAAAATAATTATTGGAAAGAACATATTAATTGTAAGAAGGTGTGGATTATTTTATTTTTTTCAGACACTTTATACTGTATAAAATCTTGGAAGGATGTTATTAGATATTTTATACGTTTTATTGCGTATTTTCATTTAAATGAATTGGACAATGGTGGAAACGTTTATTATAGACTAAACTATGCTCAACGCAATTACATCATTTACATATTGTTCCATTTTGATATAGTTAATAATTAATTGTCGGATAAAATGGTAAAAAAATAATGTATCTTACAACAGCAGCTTAAGATGAACTTTTAATACCAAAACAACCTGACCTCTTTCACGAAGCTGAAAATCCAATATGACTGGAATAGAGAATGGAAATCCACAGCCCCTCCGCGTCTGTTATTAATTAAAGATGAATTTTATGAAGAGAAGTTTTTATATAATCTCTACGGATAGGATCAAGATGCTATTTTAAGAATCAGAACCGGCCACGCAAGATTTACCCACTCATACCTATTAAAAAAATGATGTTTTCATATGCGGAATGTGCAAAGCCAAAATTAATGCCAGTCATACCTTATCTTTTAAATTTTCTTTGATTAAAATGCCCTTTAACATTAATTCCACCTTTACAAAATACAATTCGAAGCGTCCTGAAGCTTTTTTTAAATTTTAGATATAAACACACATTAGTGGTTCTTGAATATTCCAAAGGAACTAATATTTTATTCGTCGATGAGAGTAAATAGATTCTTTTTCGCTCGAATGGAATCGTGTGTGATCGACAGAAATAAATTAAATATAAAGAAATCATTTGAAAGACCTTTTTTTACAACGATAAATTAGAAAAGAGTTAAATTTATTTCCTATTAAGCTAGATCGGTTAATAACTGTTTAAGAATAAATCCGAATACTGTAAAAGAAACTAAAGAGTAATATTGAGCTTACGCGTAATGAAGATTAACAACTAATTAGGTTACCAAAAAAGAAATAAATATCAACGAAATCTTTTTTCCCCTGTAGCAACTTTGAAAAGACTTTTAGTGCAGAGAAAACAAAATATTAAGAAAGATTTTAGAATTTAAATATAATATAAATATATAAATATGTTTACTTCGGAATATTTCTATACATAATTTGATGAAAAGTGCCGAGAAATTGAGTTCTAACGCGAATTTTTATTTTGAATATAAAATGAACGATACCAAAACGCGCGCCCTACATAGTTAAACAATGGCTTTTAATACCGCGCACATACTACCAATCCCTCTAGTATCTTCAGATACGAATCCCATTGAGTATGATTTCGCAGAATTGGGAAACAGAATTACGAAGCATTATGCTGCGAGGAAAGTTTACCGGATGCAAATATGTATGAATGAGTGGACAAAATTAAATTCTGAATTTATGGAAAAACTCTGGTAATTCTGAATAGCATCTACGTTTTAGCTCTTTATTTTAAAATATTGTAAATGTGACTATACCTGCGTTCAAATTGAAATTTCTTATAAAACATAGTTGAAATTTCTTCTTTGCGTAACCTAATTGGTTGTTAGTCGTAATTACACGTAAGTTCAATATTTTTCTTTATCCTTTTTACGCTGGGATTTATTCTAAAAAAATAATTAGCCAAGCTTAATATCGAAGATTACGGGCGAAAAGTTAATAACCGAAAAAGAATATTCTGTCTACAAATTAATAATAAAATGCCGCATTTTATAAGTGTAATTTTCTATCCATTTATTTGAATTGCAAAGTAATTGATAAATTGTCAGTTGCAACTACAGTGATGATCGATTAATTTCAATTACTGCTTGCAATTGATTTCTGCAATTACAGAATGTAATCGTTAATTGGTGTTAGCAGTTGATGATGAATTGTGTACTGCAAGTGGCAGATAATAATTAATTGCCAATAGTCAGTTGATAATTATCAATTGCAATTACATTTTAACCGACACCGAGAAACGTTATTTTAGAAGACGCTTCGTAGCATTCGTCGTTCGACCTCCGTCGCGCATGCAGCGCTTTGTCGGCCATTATTTTTTGTTTACGAACGTCACGATTGAAGTTTTCCCGGTTAGAGATTGGGTATTACAGCGTGTCAACTTCGAAAACCGGTTAATTAACGCCTCGCCGGCGAAGTCGTAATTTACGATTTGCCCTGCAACGGCCAGAGGGAGAGAAGAGAAGAAAAAAAAGAAGAAAATATGGCACGGAATAACTAATGCGACAAACCAGCGTTGGCTACCAGTTTTACTTAGATTTTCCATGTTCCTTTCGCGCGAACGTTCACGATAAACGTAATACGTAAATCTCGCAAGGCGTTGGTATTTTCGCTAGTCTACCGTATACCAAGAGTTTCGGGCTCGTACGATTTTCTTTTCTGGGAAAAAACACAGAGCGCCACGAGTCTTTACGAAAGCGGTCGCGTTTAAAACGTTTCAAAGCTCGTCTATCTCGGGGGAGTAACCTTGCGTATGCGCGAATTATCACGCACTAACGAACATAGGCGAAATGTTCCGTGGCAGCACGGACAAAGCACGAGACTGCGAATACACGTAAGTCGTAAAACAGATTTGCGAACGATTTTCTCGTTAACGTTAATTCTGCGTGACAGTTCAATTTACGGTGCTCGTTGCCTCGCCATCGCCCGCGAAATGGAGTCGCGTAATAAATGGAAAACTTTTTCTCGGGGAATGACGCGTTGTTTTACGCGCGGAATAGAAAATTACGAACACTTCTCGCGGGAAGTGAGGTTACGGGCGAATCGTAACAATCGCAGAGATTAATGTTTCTCGTTGCCTAAGTTAGCAAATATAAAAAAATAAGACGGGAAAATTAAGTATAAAATGGAAAAACTTTTCTCGGGATGGGACGCGTTGTTTTACACGTTGGAATAGAAAATTACGAATGCTTCTTGGAAATATTTCTCCGTATAGATACGCGATAATGAGAAATGGGGTTGCATAACGAATCCTTTTTTCTGGAGACGAGGCCCGTAATTCGTGGACCAAAAAATTAATTTTTGAACGGAGAAATAAATCGAATTTGAAAATAAGTGGATTACGCATGCACTCTGTTATGCCTTGGCTAATACATATATCTCTGTAACTCGTTCATTTTACATCTGGTCGCGTTTGTGGATGTCGTCAGTGACATAATTTTCTACCAGTGCTATTGTCCTACCGGTGTCTCGGTTTCTATCGAGTTTTTACAATGTAAAAAACATTATTTTACAATCGTCGATGTTCGAATAAATTGAATGACATAAACCTTAAGTTAGACGGATTTGTGAAGGAATTACTAAATATTTATTACAAATGTATTGTTATAAACTATTTTGAAAATTGTACAAATTGGAAATAGGTTATTTACATATTCATTCGTAATCTCGTTATACGGCCTTTTCCATATAACTACCTTGATTAAATAATAATTAATTAATTAATGTTATTCATACTTCAGTAATAAATAATTAATTGGTAACACAATTCGTTGCACCGATAAATTGTATAACGAGATTTTTGTATTTGAAACATTTTGAAATTTGTTTGAATTTAAAGTAAAATACACAAATTAAAAATCAGTGCTTGGAGAGATAAAAATAATTTAAAAGCAGTCTGAGTACGGTAACACTTGACACACGATATACGTAGTTTAATATCAGAGTCCTGACAGTAACATTTACTTCCTTCTCAACTTGTTCCTTTCTTGGTGTCATTTTTAGAATCGCCGTTACAGGATCGATAGGATATTAATTCCAACGACAGATTAATTCTTCATTTTCTGAATAGATGTCATTTCTCGATATTTAGTTTTTTTCAGTATAATTTAAACACAACTGATGTAATTTAAAGTGCTTACTATGATATAGTTATACAATAATAAACCTTGTATACAGGGTGTTCGACCACCCCTGGGAAAAAATTTTTAATGGGAGATTCTAGAGGCTAAAATAAGACAAAAATCAAGAATACCAATTTGTTGATGGAGGCTTCGTTAAAAAGTTATTAACGTTTAAAGTTCCACCCGTACTGAATTTTTTTCTCGAAAATGCGCAAGATTTCGAGGGTATGTCTATTCACCAAAAATGATTGTAATTGACCCTCGCAACCGAAAATAATTTTTTTAGAAC